TATTCCGAAAAACTTTGTTTTTCTGAGAAAAAAATAGACAGTCAAAATTTCGAAATTCATTTTAACATGGTCAGATGTCGTTGGCGCCTTTTTTCATTTCTTAAATATTAGCGTATCTCAATTTTCAATCAATTAAAAAAATAAAATAAAAACTTTAGCGGCACTAAGAATAACTGCCGAGATAAACGCGAGACACTGGCGGTACATTGACGAGCTCGCAAACATCTCGCATTTTTTCTCGCGCCGGTCTCGCATTTGTTTGGGCGCGAGCTCGCATTTCTCTCGCAATTTGAAAATTTCCGAAATGCAAGATAAATGCGAGATGGCGCCGAGAAAAATGCGAGGTCGCGCCGAGAGAAATGCGGGATCGCGCCTAGAAAAAAGCGACATTTTTGCGAGTTAGTCAATGTACCGCCACCGAGCTCGCATTTATCTCGTCAGTTATTCTTAGTGGGTGCCTAAAAGTTTAATCAGTGTTAGTTTGAAGCCAACGTTAAAATAAGAAAAAAACACCGAAAACGGAAGCATTTCGAACTGAATCTCTATGAATAAATTATTTTCAGGTGGTCCGAACACACGTGACTAATAATTGTTCAACTACCATAACTTTTTTTTAAACAAGATTGTCGGTAAATGCTGTACTTTGAAGTGAAGTGGTGTATAGCGCGAACGCCTCCCATCTCCGAGAGATGTACGTGAAGCAGCGCAAGTGCGCTTGCATACAGTTTTGATATCGCGAGTTCAATCCTCGCAGCGGCAACTTTTTTTATTTTTCAAGAAAAAATAGCTTTTTTTTTCAAACTTGTGGTTTTTATACTGTTTTAATGACTTATTACAACTTTGAAAACCAAACTAAACTACTAAAAAAATTTAAATCCGATATGAAAAACAAAATGAACGACCAAAAAGTGTAAAAATCTAAACTTTCAGTACTAAATTTCGCGACTTTTTTTCACTACTGTTTTGACCATAACTTTTTTTCTCAACCTTTTTTTGAAAAAAACTAAACTGTTTTTGAATAGTAAATTAGAGCAGCTATCCAACCATAGTAATATTGAAATTCGAAAATTTTTTTGAAAATTCGTCTGCGGTCCCTATTTATAAGTCAATTTTCATGAATTTTGCTGTTGAAAGGGAGAGGTCTGAAAGATTTTTTTAAGAATTTTATCTTTTTAAAATACGGTAGTAAATTGGTGTCTTTTTTGCACTGGTTGAACTTTCAAAAATTAATATTCTTCTGAAGGAATTTTTCAGGTGGAGGTTATGTGTAGAAAGTCAAAAAATCACGAAATTTCAAAGATTTTCCTTTTCAAAAACAGCGATTCCTTTGATCAATATGAGGTTTTCCCTATAAAGGACAAGTTTGAGGCCTAGAAAATGACCTTATGGTGGTGAAGATGAAGGTGTCCGAGCAAACAACAAGCCAACAAGAATGAATTAGATTTGAAAGGGACGGAAAAGGGAGAAGAGGCCATTTTTGCACACAGCATTTCCTCAGGATCGCATAGAAAATGATGGGTTTTTTCCTAGACGAAAACAAATTATTCTGGAGCATTTTTTGAAGATTCCGGGCTTGATTTGACATCATCAAGCTATTCTCAGAAACCCGAAATTTGAGGAACATTTCGGGTTGCGCTCATTAGAACATGAGTAAAGCGAGTCTTTTTTTCGGGAAAAAGGCTTTTTTTTTTAATTTTTCGTCATTAGAGTCATTTTTAGTTCAAATAAGGGATCTCTACGGAATCCGGCTTAATAGTTCGAAAGTTAAAATTCAAATAAACTAAGAAAACAAGTTGAAAAACGAAGTCGAAAGTGTCTTGAAGGGGCGTCGGCGTGAGAAAATGTCAAGTTTGAGTTGAAGAAAAAGAAAAAAACACGAACCCCAGTGCAAAACAATAAAGATGATTGCGCTTCTTGATGTTTTTTTGAGAAAGGCGAGTTTTTTTCGAAAGTGAAGATAGAAGTCAGATTTTGGAAGAAGCCTAAAAAAGTTAAAGTAACTAGGCTTTTCAAATAAAGAGAAAGTAGCGGAATAGTTCAGAAAAGTTATTTCTTCAAATATTCGACTGAAAACAGATTTTAAATTTGATCTTTCTCAATTATTTGTATAAAAAAGACAAAATTTGAATTTTATGACCTCTCTAGTTTTACTGAAAAAAGCTTAAGTTAAAACTTTGATTCTGAGCTTCTAGTGGTCACTTAAGTGAGCAGAGTCAAGCTAAAAAGACATTTGCTATCAGATACAATCAGTAGGTTGAAGTCACAAAAATACTTTAATGGCCACTTCAACTTTTCCAACTTGAAAATTGCTTGAAAATTCGTTATGAACGGCTTCAAAGACGGTAATATTGCAAAATTCATTTGAAGCTAGTAAATTCCTATAGTGACCACTTAAACTTCTCTAAATACAGAAAAAAAAATCCCGTACCTCAATATTTTGTATTTTGATCCATTACCTGACTTTTTTAAGGCTTTTAAAGTTCAAAGCGACTCTGGAAATTATTTTGAAGTTAATAGAACCCTCTAGTGGCAACTAAAAGTTCTCAAAGTACTTTGAAATTCTTATGATTGAGAAAATTGAACTAGTATGAACGGCTTTAAAAGACGGTAACATTGTAGAAGTTTATTTTAAGTCACTAAAGCCCTATAATGACCACTTGTATCTCTTATACTTAAAAAATCCTGTGTTTTAATAGTTTGTATTTTAATCCATTTTGTGACTTTTCCAAGGTTCTTAAAGTTTTTTTTTCCAAGACTTTTCCAAGATTCTCAAAGTCCGTAGCGGCTCTTTTCAAAATTCCTGAAACCCTACAGTGGCCACTCCAACTTTTCCAAGTACTTTGAAATTCGTGCACTTGAGAAAATAAATGTTTGACTGCTCGATAAAGGATTTGAAAAGTCGGCAGTTTTTATAGAAGTTTATTTGAAGCTTCTAAAACCCTCTAGTGTTCACTCAAGCATTCCAAAGTATTCAAAAATCCAAACTTTCTTGCACTTTTGCAAAGAAAATAGCTTTATGTACATTTATAGCCTCAAAAAAAGACTGAAGGCTCAGCAAAAAACGGCGTAGTGTTAGAAGAGTAATTGGAACAGGGCAGCCGAGGTAACTCAATTCCAGCCAGATTTCCTGAACGGGCGGTACCTCTCAAAAGTGCAAAAGTTTCAGAAAAAGTGTCTTAAAAGCTCAAGACAACTGACTAACACCAAACAGCAGGAGGAAAACGTGTGGGAGCCTGGTTGACAACTGTCTCGATTGATATATATACCTGCTCCAGCTCGCGCCTCGAATTTTTTACACTTTCCTCTCAAAAATCTCTTTTTTTTTGGACTAGAGTGTTGAAAACAAAGACGGAGCTGAACCTCAATGAATTACGACGACCTTAATTGTTACACTTGTTCTTCACTTTGTAAGCTGGAGGACATTTGGAATGGCTTGCGGATCGAGAAGCATAACCTAATACTATTCGATAGCATCGCGCGCAAGTCGTTTTGGGTCCGGCATGGTCTCCGCAGTTTTTCGATAGCATCGCGCGCAAGCCGTTTGGGTCCGGTTTGATCTATCGACAGACGTTAAGGTTAGAGCCATTCCACTTGCGGCCAGCTTGTTTCAAGCCAAATCGACTTATCGGTTTTCCGTTGAAACTGGAATGATAGGGAACTTTTCGGACTATTTGACTTTTTATTTTGAAGTTATAAGTAAGAGATCCTATTCTAGTCGTTTCATGATTTATGAACCTCCTAGACCTTCTCACTAAGAGCTTGGTCGCATTTGGAATGGCTAAGAACGTCGCAATTAGGGAAGCATGGTGCATAGTTCATTCGCCACTACTTGAGCATGTCTGACCGGTCTGTACCCTCTTTTCTCTCATCGAAATGAGTCATAAATAAATAAAAAGCTAGTGAAAATAAGAGCGTTATCGAGAGAGAAAAGGTGCTTCAATTTAAATTTTAAACTTCTTAGAAAGCAAAAAAGGTTGGGAAAGAACTATAAGCTACATTGTGGCCTTAAAAAGACTTCTAGGAAGGATACTTTCGACTTTTCAAGGCCTTTTATACAGGGCACACCCAAAAACTGTACCCTGTGTAACAGCAGTATGGATCATGGTCAATAAATTGTTACACTGTTTTTTTTTTGTTGCGAGAGATTGATTGGTAGGCATTTTGCACGAGGAAGTTTTCAGCGTCAATATAAGTTCTTGCAGTAGTTTCAGTATGGTGAGAAAAGGTAAGGAAGTGTTAAAAGTCAGAAAAATCTCCGTAGAGCTGTAAAAAGCAGAAAATAATAGACGTTTCATACTTTTATAAAGTACTTGAAAAAAAATTGAAAAATGGTCTTCCTAGCAAAAACCACTTTTGGTCGCACAAGGAAGAGCTCGTCACAGCTACGAAGCCATTTCTTTTTGCTGCGCCCGACATAAAACGACTTGCGCATCAAAAATTGTTGCCGAGCCATTCCCAGTGCGTCCACGGCCTTTTGAGTGAATTTGAATGACACATGAAGAGAAACAATCAAATCCAGATTGCAACACGAAGAAAAAATTTAAAAAAGTGGCATAATCAAAAAAAAACTATAAGTTCTGTTCTTCAAGCTCAGAAGTTGTCTCAAAATATGTTTCGATTTTCTAAAATCGAAGGAAAAAAAAATTTTCCTTCTCGTCATGTTCTCAAAAAAAAAGGCGTTTTTTATTTCTATTTTCGATGACTCTTCACACTAATGGCTTCTCCTTGTCTCCCCCTACTTCTCGATTATACTTGAAAAACTCCTGCGTAGGAGTTTATGACCCTCCCCCTATTTTAGTGTTTTCAAAGAATTTTGCCAAAAAGCTTCACTTAGACAAAATTTGAATTAAAGAAGTTTTTTTTGGGGAAAATCTCCTGGTCGCACTTGGAATGGCTCAAAGCGCCGCGGTCGTCTTGCGATTGAAAATTTCTATTTGATGAAAACCTGCGCAAATCGTTTTGGGTCGGACGCATTCAAAAGTTTATTCTAGACTTCAAAAATGGTGATTTTCTACGTGGAGTCTTGCCATTTCTATCAAATCGCCTTGTTTTGGATACACTGCTTAAGGTTTTGCAGTATAATTTTACACTTTTTTAAATTTTCAATCGTCAGAATGTGGATCAATATGAATTTTCGAGTGATAATCGGCGTGGTTTGTCTCCTGGCTGTCCGTGAGCTACTTTTCTATTTTTTCGCAATTTGAAACTGCTCAACGCGTCGCTGTTACGCTCAAAAATGGAGTATGATTTTTTCCTGTAACTGCGCCCGACTTTTAGCGACTTTCTCTTCTCATATGCTGAAAAACGCCTTCGCGCGATCAACAAAAAAAAAATCGTGAAGAACCGCGACGCCTTGAGCCATTCTCATTGCGGCGCTTTGAGCCCGGTAGAATCAAGCATTATTTCGTTCCAGTTGTTATTTTGGGCTCGCTTTTCTTTTGCTTTCGGAGAAGGAGATCGTCGAAATCGATGATCCCATCAAGTTCTTCGTCAAATGGCAGTGGAAACCAGAAAAAGTCACCAGTCGAAAAAAAGATCGAGCCGATTTCTGAAATCCCGAAAAAGGGATCTACGGTATCTATTTTGTACTTACAAGGGAAATGAAAAAGGTCTCGAGTTGAGAATTTGATGAAATTCCATCTAAAAACTTTTATAGACACCCTGGTCCGAATCAAATCAGTTTTAGTGAGAATTTTGCCTTTTAGTGAAGTTAGAACGTCTTGAAATTGGAAATCAAAATTTTTGAACTTATGAAAAAAACTATTTTTTTCACAACTTGGGATTTTTTTCGGAATTTTTTTCTTGGATAAAAAAACGATATTAAATGATTTATTTTTTTCCGCAACTTTGTCACGAAATTTAAAAATCTACGAATATTTGAACGTTTAAAGCTAGAGAGCGCTGGTGAGCAAGAGGGTCTTTAGAGAGAAAAATTTCCAGCTCTCTCTCTCATTTTTGAACGCTCTCTAACTTCGAAATATCCGAATGCAGTCTCGGATTTTTGGCGTTTTTTTAGGATACTCAATCGAAAATCGAAATGAGCAGTTTCTGGTAGTTATAAAAAGTTCTTATGTGTATCTCAGTCGAGTTGAGGCTTTTGATACGATAAATAATTTTTAGTGTACACTCAAGTCTTCGCAACGACGTTCGCAACGACGTTCGCAACGAACGCAGTCGTCAACGCCTCCGGTGAACTCGTTGAAGAAAGAAGTTTATTCCTTCTCCAAAATGAAGATTCGAGATATTTCGAACCTTCAGAACGCCCCGTCCCAGTCCCAGAGAAAAGAGCAGAAGACGCAAAAATCCGCGTCTGTGGTCGTGTCGAAAGTGAATACGGTCAAAACCAAAAGAAATACCATCGATCAAACGTTTGTGAAAGACATTGTTGTATTCCTTCAACCCCTCAATGTTTTTCAGTAAAACACTTGCTAGACCTAAAAAAGGTTATAATCAGAAAATCATCGACATGCAGGTGAATCCAAAAATGTTTTTATATCCATTTTTTACAATTCCAGGAAGAAGCGTTAGACAACTTGGATAATTCGGTGACTTTGGCTGCGACCCAGACATTTAAAACTATCGAACAGTTTTGACATATTTCCCCCCGTCTTCATTCCAACTTTATCGATTTTCGAAATTCACTCATGGAATTGAGAAACTTTAATGAAGATTTCTATGACAAGAAGGATTTTTTCTTTAATTTGACGCTTTCCATGGAAAAATCGTCGGTTTTGCGGCGTTTCGCCAGATACTAGGAAAATATTTTCGCGCATTTTATGAAAAAACGAATCATGTTTCTAAGTGACATTAAAAAAAAATTTTTTCCGTAATTTTCAAAATTTTTTAAAAATATTTTATGTTCTTCGGAGCAAATGTGCTCCTCCGACAGCCTCTCACAGGCGGTTGTGTGGATTTACGGGAACTGACTTTTTTCGTTAAATTTTTCTTTTTTTCTTTCATATTATCGATTGAAAAGGTCTTTTGTGTTATTATCGACGGCGAAGCTTAAATTATCATTGGGAATCTCACTTTTAGCCCTTTTTTTCAAAAAAATTCGTCCAGGCGCTCTAGAAATTGTGTTTAAAAAAATATATATAAAATATATATACTATAACTCCTTTTTTTCAAAAAAAGAAGCTGGAAATTAGTAGGGAAATCCTCCAAAATGTGTGAATACGGTGTTTTTGAATGTTTTTCATTTCTTGAGACGGTTTTTTTTTTCAATTTTGCGAGCCTCTCCTTCATGATTAAATTTAAATGAAAAAAAATATTTATCTATGAGATTGTTTTGCTAATGATCTTCTCTAAAAAAGTTTTTTGAGCCATTTGGGCTTCAGGAAAAATTTTAATTTCTTACTTTCTTTATTGTTTCGGGTTCCTAATTTTCTCTCTCGTCCTTATCATTTCGGAGGCACTCCTTTATCGATTCTATCTCATTTTTCTTCTCTCAGTGACTCGATATGGAAGGTTTTCTTGTTTATTTTTGGAATATTTCACATTTTAGATATTTTTCAGGTGATATGAGCCAATCTTTCCGGTCCCTGGCGAGCAAAATCGTCTGTATTGGCAGGAATTATAAAGATCATGCTTTGGAGCTCGGAAATGCAATTCCGAAGAAGCCAATGTTGTTCTTGAAAGTTTGATTTTTGAGTGATTTTTTGCGAAATTGTATTTTTTAGTCTTCGAACGCTTTCGTCGAAGAAGGACAACCGATTTTGATCCCTCCGGGTTGTCAGAACCTTCATCAAGAAGTTGAACTTGGTGTTGTGATTGGCAAGAAGGCGAAGGTGAGCTTCTTAGAAAGGGAATAAAATAGAGAAATGGACAATTTTTCCAGAATGTCGCCAAAAATGAAGCGCTTTCGTACGTGTCTGGCTACACGGTTGCCCTGGACATGACCGCTAGAGATTTTCAGGTGTTGAAATAAAACGTTTCATGAAACATTTTGAACAAATAGTATGATTAGGACGAGGCGAAGAAGGCCGGGGCTCCTTGGTTCTTGGCCAAATCTTTCGACACTTCCTGCCCCGTTGGAACTTTCATCCCCAAGGAGAAGGTGGGAGTTAGAAAAATGTCTCAGCTGCAGTTAATTGTTAAGAATGGACAATGGAGAGTAGTGAAAAAAATAATGCTTTTTTTCAAGTTTCGCGATAATTTTTTTATGAAAGTCTTTTTTTCCAGGCTTAGTTTTGGTTTTGAATTTGTTTTTTGAAAGTTGTTGAAAATCGACTGATTTCCTTTAAAAAAAGTGTGCTATAAATTGAATTGAAGTGTCCAAGGACTTTTTTTAAACAAGTAAAAAAAATAGGCGTTCAAGTTTTACTTCAAAAACAGGTTCTAAAGCTTTCACACAATCGTGTTTCCTCATAAAATTGAATTTTCTGAAAAATTGTCCTCAAATTTGAGAAAAAACCTGCGCTTTTTTTGTGAAAAAGTAGCAGTGAAATGAACAAATAGCATGATTACCTCATTTTTCAGCTTCCATGTCAATTTATAAACCAATAATTCCTGTTAGAATTGTTTTTTCGAAATTCGTTTTTCCTGATTTTTTTTTTCAAGGTTTGTTTTTCAACTTATAATTGTAGATCAACGATCCACATGACGAGGAGTTGTACTGCATCATCAACGGTCAGGAGAAGCAGAGATGTCGGACAAACGTGATGATTTTCGACATCCCCACGATCATCGAGTACATCACCCAATTCGTCACGTTGGAGCCGGGAGATTTGGTCCTGACCGGAACGCCGGCTGGTGTATCTAGAGTTAGTTTTGCTAAGAAAAAAAGTCTGGAAGGGAAAGGGGTGTGATATAAGTGGTGACTTTAGGGTTTTTTCAAAAAGTTGTGGATTTTTTTTTCTTGTAATAGGTCAGAAAACTTTCGGTTGAACTATATAAAACCCTGAAAGTCTATGGTTTTTTAGTTATTGGTCATTGGCATATGAGTTTTGAGGGATTTTATCTTGACCGGAACGAAGATTGGTGTTTTTAGAGTTAGTTTTACTGTACAAGTTGGAAATGAAAGAGAATCGGAATAAGTGGTGACTTTAGGGGCAACGTGAGCTTTTCTAGAAGAACTATGGATTCAATTAAGGGGTAGCCTTAGGGATTTTTGAGATTATATAGATTTTTTTCGTCTTGTATTTTTGGTCAGAAATCTTTCAAATATATCAGATAAGAACTCTGAAAGTCTATAGTGTTTTTCCATGTGAATTTTGCGAATTAACCTCCTTTTTTTAATTTTTCGTTTTTTTAAAAAGCTTATTGATGACTTTATCTTGACCGGCCAGTTTTCTAGAGTTGGTTTTTCTGAAAATTTCCGGAAAGAAAAGGGATTTGAGATCAAGTAATGTTTTAGAGGTAACCGGCCTGTTCTTTAGGATTTTTGAACTCTTAACTTCATTTTTCGCATTTTTATTTTCAAATTCCTGATATCCCTTCTCAATGACTGCTATTAGAGTCCTGGTGGCTTGATCTAGACTCCTTTAGTGACCACCTAATTTTAACTTCTGTAGTGACCACTTAAATATCGATTTTCAGGTCAATAGCGGCGACGTGATCGAATTCGGCCTCAGCGGCAAGCTTCAAGCCAAATTTCATGTACAATAGAGAAAAACATTCGATTTCAAATGCATAGTTATTGATTAATAAGATGAATTTACGTGTACTTTTTCTCATTTCACGGACTTCATCAGTCAAATCATGCTGCACAAAGAGCTTTTGGAGAACCCAGTTTATGGAGAAATGCTCACGCGGGGCCTCATAACCGGCGAATGCACTTGTTACAGGTGAATCTGGCATCAAAAATGGGTTTTCAATTCCGAAAAGCTTCAAGAATCACCTGGTCAAAAGAGTTCTTCTATGCCTCCTCCGTCGGCTTGATAGTCATTAACCTCGTCATTGTTATCTTGTTCTTCACCTGGTCTGATGTCATTTTCGGCGGCACATACGGTTTGAATCCAGATAAAATTGAGAATTTCTTGTTACCTTTCAGGCCCCATACTCCCAACGCCACAAAAAGAATCTAAGGTGCAAGCTAAAAAGGAATAAACATTTTTGAAATATACTGTTTAATGTTTTTTTTCCACGGATTACTGTAGGCGGCAAGGCACATGACACACGCCCGGCAAAATGCATGACTTACGCATCGATAAAATTTTGGAAAGCGTACGAAACGTTTTCCGTGTTTGTTTTTCATATTAGTTTATGTTTTTTGTTGTTTACTCTGTTTCGCGCTTTTCCCGATCGATTCTAGTTTGTCTGCCACAGTTCTTACTCTCTTAAAGATAAAAATAAAGGCTTTAAAGTCGTTTTTTGGTTGTGCGTCAAATTTTCTTTTCTAATTTCGTTTCGTAATTTTTCTCGTTTGTTCAGTAGTTTATCGAAAGCGAAGTTGTTTAGAACGAATCCAAGGGCAGGTCCCAAGTAAGTAGACGAGAATGGGCAAGTTTTTGTCGAAAATATTCGGCAAAAAAGAGATGCGAATATTGATGCTGGGGTTGGATGCGGCCGGAAAGACGAGTTTGAATCATTGGATCGACTTTATATTTTTTTAATTTTAAGCGATTCTCTACAAATTAAAAGCTCGGCCAATCTGTGACAACGATTCCAACGGTTGGTTTTCAATGTGGAGACCGTCACGTACAAAAAAATATCAAATTTAACGTTTGGGTTCGTTTTTTTCTAATTTTTTTCTATGATTAAATTTTGAATTTAGGACGTTGGCGGACAGGATAAGATCCGGCCATTGTGGCGTCATTATTATACGGGAACCCAGGCCCTGATTTTCGTCATGGATGCTGCGGATAGAGATCGGTTCGAATTGAATGATTGAAAGTTGGAATGTTTAATGATATTTTTGCAGGGTAGACGAGGCTCGCGTTGAGCTGCATAGGATTATCAATGATAGGGAGATGAAGGACGCAATCATACTGGTTTTCGCCAATAAACAGGATCTTGCTGATGGTTCGAATGAAAAATAATAAATTTTTGTAATAATTGAAATAATTTTTCAGCAATGAAGCCGCACGAAATACAGGATAAACTCGGTTTGACGCGGATTCGCGACAGAAATTGGTCAGTTTTTTTCGAAGTTTTTAGAAACGATTTTTTTCATTAATTTTAACTTCAACTTGGAGGTATCCTTATCAAACTACTTAGAAAACAAAAATTAAAAAGGAAATTTGGGGTTTTTACAGTGCAGAAAAAAATTTGTTTGGTTTTTTGATTTTTTTACTTTCATGGAACTATAGTTTTATTAATTTCACGGAGTTTGGGGAAAAAAATTATCAAAAAAAGCTTCAACCGTCATGTGCCTTTAATAGCGAAAAAAAATTTTTTTCATTTTCGAAAATTATTTTACCGTGATATTTTTTTGTTTGTTATTGAAGCCATTTGAAACATTAACTTTTTGAGAAATATATCCTTTTTTTCTATTGAAAAAAATGAACTTATGATTTTTTTTTTTATAAAAAGTCCTCAAACATTGTTTCCTCTTGTAGAAATTTTTTTGAAATTTTTTTGATTTTTTCTCAAATAGAAAACCAAAAATTCGGTAATTTTTCTTAGCTTGTATTCTCAAAGTTTCACCTTTTTTGTAACCTTCAGTACCAAATCCAAGGTTCCGATCCTCAATCCGTGAACTCTGAATGAATAATATCTCTTCTCTTGTCTCGAAAAAGCCGCCTTCTCATTGATTTTCATTGCACCTGCTGCGACGCCATAAAAAAAGCTTGATGAATTTTTTTTCTTCAAGAAACGGACATTGGCTTTTTCTTTTCTCGACTATAGTCGCGAATGACGGATTGAGAACGGATTAAAAGTGGGATTTATTGAAAGTTTCGGAGTTCAAGATTAGAGAAGCTACTTTTTTTGTATTTGAATCATAAGGTTTTTGTCTAAATCCGCCTATTATTGAAGAAGGAAAATTAGAAGTGAAACTGTAAGATTTTTTCTAAATTCAATAGCAAAATCACATTAGAAGTTGAAAAAAAAGCCGAAATCATAGTTTTTCATCATGAATTTTTTTGTAGTTTAGCAATATATTTGTATACTCAATGAGTTTTGAAACAGTTTTCGGAACCGTTTTGTGAGAAACGAATTTTGAAGTTTTTGGGCTTATAATAAAAAATTTTTAGGTTATTTTTTAAAGTACGATACTTGTGTTTATTATTTTTCCAGTGGTTGATTAAAAAAATGTTGATTTTTTTGAGGAGAAGTTTCAAATATTAGAATACTTGAAAGTTCGAAGATTTTTTTTTGAAAGAGTGATTTTATTATTTCTGAAACGTATGAACGCGGTTTCGGTCATTGTTTCAGGACCCTTTTTTTAGTTTTCAAGCCAAAAATTGAAAATATTGCGATTTTCGGGTTTGTTTCACTATGAAATGATACAATAGATATAACCGAAAACTAATTATATAAAAGTAGAATTTATCACCAAGGTTCATGCGATAAAAAAATGTTGGCCCTCCTCAATTTTTAGCTTGGGAATGAAATATAAATCGATAAATGTAAACGCTCATTTTCTAATAGAGCCCTCATTCTGTCACTTTAAAAATTTTTCTGATTTTTTTCAACTTGATAAATATTTTTTTAGGTACGTTCAACCATCGTGTGCAGCCACGGGCGACGGTTTACATGAAGGTCTAACATGGCTCAGTCAAAACTGTAAACCTTGAAAAAAATGAGTTTATGTATTGTATTATATAATTTCTTCCTAGCTCTTTTTCTTTCACTTTTTGTATTATTTTTTTCACCGAAAATTCCATTTCCAACAAAGTATCTTACAATTATTGCCATTTATCTAGACGAATGATTGTTTTTTTTTAACTCTTTGAGGTGCTTTTTAACCTGGAGATTTTCTTCTCTTTTAACCATACGTTTTATGCCATTTTGACGTAATCTGTGATACAATCATTCAATTTTTCTCCTTTTTTTACTCTCAAATTTCACCCCTCACCTTGCTTACCATTCAACATCATTATTGCCAAGTTTGATAATATTCGTGTACTTTCATTCCTTTGTTGCCTTCAAGTGTCAATTTTTTTTAATAATTTTTGTCGTTAGCAGATTTCGAAAAGTTTTAGGCTTGAAAATAACAGATTTCTCTGATGACCGCTTGAAAAAAAGATATAGAAATAAATTTTTCTTTATTTTTTTGGGTGTTTTTTTGGGATGTTTTTGAAATGTTCGCGCATGTTCAGGTTACCAGGATACGAAAAAAAGATTATTTTTTTACATTTTTATGAACTTTGTTTTTGAAATTAGGGCAGCTAGATGTAGTTTTTTTCACGCTGATTCCGAATCTTTGTCCCAAATCTAACCTCGACGCCTTTGAAAAAAAGAACTTCTCAAATTTTTTTAAGATTATCAAAAGTGGCCACAGTTTTTTTCCCAACGGAATATCATCCATTCAAAAAAAAAAAACCGAGTCATGAATGGTTTTTCAATTTTCCTAAACGCTTGAGGCTCTAGATATATATATATACTAGATATATGCACTTAGCGGGCAAAAACCCCGTCGAATAGACTGCTTTGAAACGAAATGATATGTTAAGTAGACGATGCCGATCCGTGGCTACGAATTCGAGAACAGCGACGGCGCGGCGTCGGAAAAAGGTCATAATCCGCTTTTATAATCGACTTTTCTCTGCTTGAAACGGTGTGATGAGCTCATTCTGCGCCAGTTTGAAAACTACCAACTATTAAAGGCGCATGCACAGAGACAGACTGCGCGCATTAAAGAGAATAATTAAAAATGTCGAAACGCTGGTAAAATTTTTTGTGGTCCTTGTAGGGTTTCGACGTTTTAGTGGCGACTAAAGTAGTCAAATTAGTGGCCACTTGAGAGGTGGTTTTAGTGATCACTTTAGTGTCCTCTTCGAGGAGTCCTCGAGGAAAAACCACTAAAAATTTTCCTAGTATAAAGCTAGAATGGGATATACTGCGAAAAACTATATTGGCCACTTAAGAGGTCCCTCAAGGGCTACTTGGATAGGACACCAAAGTGGCAACTAAAATCGTCACCATTGAAGCCACTATTTTACGTCTTAGTGGCCACTATAGTCATTTCAATGGCTACGACTTAGATCTCTGAAGAAATTGCTAAATTTTAGCCGCTCAAGTGACCACTTAATTGAATACATTCAGTAGCCAGTAGAACGTCAAAATCCTAAAGTGGCCACTTAAAACTTTTTCCATTCAGTGTGTAGGCAAAGCTTACGCGCAGCGTTTTTGGCGCCAATTTTAAATATTTGTTATCATCTTTTCAATTGAAATACCGAATATAATACGCACTTTTTTTTTGATAAAAAATTGATTTTGTTAATATTGAACGTGAGCAAAGCCAATAATGCGTAAATTTTGAATTGGCGCCAAAACGGCCGCTTTTTTTTTAACCACGCACTGTAAAAGCCGCATACAGCTGATTCTGGCTTGAGCCATCGAAAAAGGGTCCTGACACGAGGATACACGAAATAGTGCCTGGCTCGTGGAGAGCGCGGACAGGACACGCCCCCTTCGCGCCTCAAGCTAGTCGTGAATCAGATATACAGTCGTTTCAAGCCGAGAAAAGAATTACATGTACAACCTTTTTTGGATTGTAGAAGGGGAGGAATGCGCACGCTTTTCGGTGCTTTACGCGAAGGCGTCGACGCGGAAACACAAGATTTGGGAGGGCGACGGACTTCTTGTCTGTTATAGTAGCTTCGCCGTCTTGAAGTCCGAGGACGAGAAGGACGTCATTTGCAGGTTTCTGAGGGGTTGTGAGATTTGAAAAAAGAAAAGTTTACTTGTGAGACTTTGAATAGATTTTTAGGGAAAGACATAAAAATAGAGTGATCCAAAACAATAGAATTCCTTAACTAACTAGAAAACTTTTTGGGGTCTTTGAAGGAACGTAAGGTTGGATTTTTAGGGATTGACCACGCCCAATTTCCAGACAAAGTAATACGGGAAAGAAGGAAACTATAAACCAAAATAAAGCTGAATTCCAAGGTCGACGTCTTTGAAGAAGATTGAAGATCTCGAGGAGGGAAAGAGCATCTTCATGGGCGGCTGGGAGGTTCAAATCCAGCAACGTCTTTTCGTCGCTCCCGGTAGGATTCTCTTCATAGCCCATCCCGCGGCAGATTGTCACGATTTTTCCTCTCTCTTCGAAGCCCCCGGCTTGTCTTTCTGCGTGCGCCTTTAAAAAAACAAAATTTCAAGGCTGAATTGAAGGCACATGCAGATGAATAGGCCGCTTGTATTGAGGGGACATGCTGCGCCTTTAATATAGCGTAAAGTTAATGGTAAATTAAAGGCGCATGCACAGAAAGTGGTCACCTGTTTCGAAGCGGAGGGTTGCGCCTTTAATATGATTCAAAGTTTAGGCTGAATTAAAGGCGCATACACATAGCTAGGCTGCGTGTTTCGAAGGGAAGGGTTCTGCCTTTAATATGACGCAAAGTTTAGGCAAAATGAAAGGCGCATGCTCATAAATGTGCCGCTTGCATAGGAAAGAACGGTTGCGCCTTCAATATAACGAAGTTTAATTAAAGGTGCATGCACAGAGACACATCGCGCGCATCGAAAGGATGGGCTCTGTAGTTCAAGGTAAAACAAAAATCTGACAAGCTGCGGCGGAAGGGCTCGTAAAAATTTAGTCTGAAAATGAAGTCATTTAATTAGGAACGATCTCTTCAACGCCCAAAACTCTCCCGCCACCTCAAGTCAGGCTTTCCTCAACGCCAGACTCAAGAAAAAGACCCTCGATTGAGAAAATTGTCGGGGCCAAGGTAATAAGAAAAATATATAGTTTGCTCACCGCTGGAATATTCAGCGAGATAGTGTGCGAAAAGAAGAGTTTTAGACGCAGTTTTAGCGTTTTTTTTTTAGTCACAGTTGTAAAGGACTACATGATTTCTTTGAAGGTTCATTGCTTCAAAGTTTGACCCTTCATGCGCCTTTAAAAACTCTCAAAAAATCACAGTTCATTCACTCTTGCTTTCGGAGAAAAATCGCGTTGAAATAATTTTTGAAGAGCTCGCTATGCGCTTTTAAATTTTAGCCAATTTCAGCCCCAGTCAATTATAATTTGCTTTTAATTGAATTCAGTTTATGCTCATCTCATTCCTACTCTACAAAATTTTTGCAAAGTGCAGTGCCTATGGCGGCATTTTGCAAAAAAGCTTCATGCATTTGGCAAATCAGTGCTTTGCATTTTGCACAGAAGTACCTCGCATTTTGCACTTTTTTTCGTATGTATAAAAGTGAGCCCAAAAAGAAATGCAAAATGCGAGGTTCTTCTGGGCAAAATGCAAAGCTCTGATCTGCGGAATGCATGTAACTTTTTTTTTTGCAGAATGCCAGCATAGGCACTGCCTTTTGCACGATTTCTGTAGAGTATCAGCGATGAATAAACTTTGCTTGACTTTTTTTTAAAACTATGAATAAAATTCACAGAGAATCCAGTCGAAATCGACATTTGTGAGTCCGGTGTGCGGCAGTTATGAGGTGGTGAAGGTGAGTCTAAGTTTTTTTTTTTTGAAACTGACCTTTTTTGAGTGCCGCTATGTATCATTTTTGTATTACGAAAATTTCACAAAAAAATTAGTTTAAAAAAACTTTTAATTGGACATCTCTGAACAGAGAAAATACTGAATCAAGGAATTTCCCTTTGTTTTTTTCTTGGAGAACTTCCTTCGAGCATTTTTCTTGAAAGTCATGAATTTTTCCAAATTTTTTTATTTTATTCTCAATCAAAAAGCAACTTTTTTTCTACAGATTTATGGAAAAAAATCAGGTTAAAGAGAGAAAAAAGTTTTTTTCTTTGAAAATTTTCTTTTTTTTCAATGTAAAACCCTCATAGATTTTTATTATATTCGATTTTTTTTTTTCATAAAACAATCTTTTTTTTAAAGGTCCCCCATTCATCATCAACGAAGATGAAGTGGCCGAACAATCAGTCCCGCCAATTTTCGCAGATCCGAAATTCACCAAATTCCTCCGTGATCACCAAAAAGACGGCGTTCGGTTCATCTACCAGCGATTGAAAGTTGGAATTTTCGACTTATACAGAGAGGAAGCTGAAAATTATCAGTTAACCGCCTTCTCTCTCGATTTTCTCAAAGTATCTTATCAATTTATCTAGATCTTCCGTTTTGTCCAATTATTTATAATTCATATGTCTTAATTTTCCATGATTTTATCATGAAGAACGAAGGAGGCGGCGCGATCCTGGCCGATGAGATGGGATTGGGAAAAAAAGTGTTCAAAACAATCGCGGCGACCTGGGCTCTGTTAAAGGTTGATTTTTCGTTTTTGTAGGGAAAATAATAATAAACAGTGTGTTCGATGATTTCATGCTCTAATAGTTCATATAAGTTTTTTTTGAAATCAATTTTTGTATGATTAAAAGATTATGGGCCGAATTTTCTTCGCCCGCAATGATTATCAGTTTTTTTCTCATTAATTTTTGTTTGATCTTGAGCTTATTATCAAATTATTATTTATAAAAATTTTTTTCAATTTTATTCGAAAAATAAGTTTGCCTTTTAAATTCGAAGGACCACGGATATTGTAGAAGGAGTTTCCTGGAACGAAAAAAATACCGTATTCTTTTCGCTGTGATATTTTAGCGCTCAATTGAATTTATTTTTTTAATGCTGAATAATTCACTTCATTAACCAACTTGACATTACTTTTTTCATTTTTATTTTATTTACTTTTAAAAAGTTTTCCGAGGTTGTATAAATATTTTTTTAGAACAAGCAATTGAACCTCTCAAAATGCCTACTCGTCGTTCCATCGTCTCTTGTGAACAATTGGCAATTTGAGTTCAAGAAATGGTTCCGGAACGACAGATTACCGGTAAAAAGAACAGAAATCATGAGATGGGAAAAGGAGAAGTTTAGGCGATGAGAATGCAGAAAACGAAAGATTTAAAGACGTTTGCCGTTTCGGCCAACTACAATCCTTACCTCATCATCAGTTACGATATGGCTCTCAGGTAATTATGTGAGAAAATAGCGTTGCCGCGATATTCGAAATTATCTCTGACTCTCCACAATTCGATTATCTTTTTGCTCTCTGACAGCTTCTTGGAATTTCTCCGGAATCACTTTGAACAATGCATAAAGAACATGTAGTTTTGTGCCGCTATTTCGGGAAGTAATCCGAGTTTCGCTCTAGGATGTCTTTTGGACCGTTCCCTATGCGCCTTTAAGTGAGTGAAAAAATAAATGAATTCCGGAGGGTCAGAAATAATTTTAAATTTCGCCGAAATTACTCTCAACAAGGCATAATTGTTGGAGAAGAATATTTGAGAAAAAAATTCGATTTAATTTAAAGGCGCATAGCTTTCGCTCCGAGAAAGGTTTCCACACTTGATTTAAATTTTCAGTAGAATAATTTTTCAAGGATTTCAGCACTCAATCAGTAACTTCTTTATTCCAAAATCCATTTTTCTATCGGCAAATGCGGAAAGTCTTCCACATACTTTTAAAACTTCTGAAAAAGTTTTTTTATAGCTTTTAGGGGCCGAAATTTGAGTCATTGATCCGCCGAAAAGTCTACCAAATTTAAGCAGAGAAACCCATTTTCAATCCCAGCGGTCTTTATTTTGACTTTTTAAATGTTCCTAAAATGAAAATTGACTTGACCTGCTTAATTTTCAAGGTACCAAAAAGAACTGGCAAGCTTGAAATTCGATATGATCGTTTGCGATGAAGGACATCGGCTGAAAAACTCGGCCGGAAAGTTGAGAAAAGCGGTGAGAATTCACGTTAAAATTTTAATTCTCGACTGAGCTCGGCTTTCCTTGTAACAGAATGCCCTTAGAAAAAGATTTTTGTAAATTGAAAAAAAGAATAAATGAATTGATTGATTGATCTCTTTGGCTTCTTGTTTAATGTTAAAATCTACTCAAAGATTAAACATTTTCCCAGATTTCAGGCTTGTTTTCATAATTTTTGAAGCCTTTTCGCTTGAATAAATAAAGTATCAAAAGTTTTTTTTTCACCAACGGGTTTTAATTCGCTTTTTCGGCCAGAACTTATCATTTTATGCATTTCAAAGAGATTTTTCCTTATCAAATTGTCAAGTTTATTTTTTTTTTTTGCTCTCTATCAATTTCTATTCTAGCTCATGTCCTTGGAAATCCCTCGACGTTTAATCCTCACTGGAACCCCCATGCAGAACGATTTGACCGAGTTCCATTCCCTACTCGATTTCGTCGTGCCCAACGAGTTTGGAACCGCTGCGGAATTCAGGGAAATGTGCACGAACAAGGTTATTTTGTGCGGTTTTTGGTAATTTTCACGTAGGTCACTTGAAACGGTTTGATTTCTCTGCACTATCCTGCTACCTATGACCTTGTCGGCGAGGGAAAAGAGAGCGCAGACAGCTCCAGAGAATTTCTCAACGCGTCGCGGTCGCGTAGGGGTTATTTTTCCAGAGCTGAAAAAAACCGAGAGACTGGTAACCGAAAGTGTCCTGGGCGCTTCTGAGCGTCAAGTCGAGCCATTTATTTTGAAATTCCCAATTTAATCAAGTTTAGTGGTCACTCAAGTAGGCTGACGTCACTGAAGTGATAACTAAATGGCTCAAAAGGTTGCCAAAGCCTGTGTAGTTCCGCGCGGCGCGAAAATATACAGATAAAAAGAAAGTCGCTCAAAGTCGGGCGCAGCTTTAAGCTCAGTACCATCGGTGAAGAGGCTTCAAAAAATCAAAAAAATCGATCATCATGGTTCAGGAGTTTGAATTGAATGAGAAAACTTCAAAGTGCATGCTACGACGAACTTCAGACGTCAATAACGCTCATTTGCCACCGAAACGTAAAAAAATAAAATTTCAAGCTTAATAGCTTATTTTTGATTTCAGATGAGTTTGTCCTGTTCTGCAAGCCTTCGCCATTGCAGAGGAAGGTGAGGATTGAAATTTCCGATAATTTCTGATGGCTATACGGTAATCTGATAGCGAAGGCAGTGTCAGTGATGAATATGTTCAGAAATATGACTAACTTAGAAAAAAAATGCCTGATTTCAAGTTTGACGTAAAACGATCTACAACAGTCCTTTGAAAAATCTTGATTTTTTGAACTGAGTTAAAAGTTTTGAAAACTTCTTCAAAGTCAGTCAGTTTTTAATAGGCCAGAGTCAACAGTTTAGACTCTGGCCTATCGATAAAATTATGAACAGAAGATTTCGAATCGAAAAATTCATTCCCAGTCTAAAAATTTTCAAAAAACCATGAATTGACTCCATTTTCTCAGCTCCACTTGGACATCACTGATCGGGTCACCGGCGACCCCCTGGTCCTCATTCATTTCCTAAGAAAATTGGCCAATCATCCAGTCATCCTCTACGAAAAACTCGTCGAGAAGTGCCTCCCAGGAGAACTCGAAACAAGAATATCTGGGCATTCTCGACTCGTATCCGAAAGGTTACGACCCTCGCTCGGCTACATCGACTGATTCCGGTTTTTGGAGCGAATCTGCAGATTTTGAACCGTTTCTTTAAGGAAAACTCAGTGTTCTGCTGTCGATGATCGCATCCTTCCGGAAACTCGAGGAGAGCACGGTCATCGTGTCGAACTCGACCATGGTAAAGATTTTTAGAGGGTAGCGAGAGGTCAACGGCGGCCTGAAGAGACGCCAGAGAAGCTAGGAATACTCTCTTTCTCTCGCGTCTCTTCACGCTCCTTTGTTCTCTCCCTTTATCTCTCAAAACCCATGAAGTCTGTGAGTATTCTGGAGCCATATAGAAAGCTAGTGTGAGATGTGAAAAAGAGAAGGATGAGAGCAGTGACCGTCTGAAGAGACGCCAGAGAAGCTAGAGAAGTTTTCATTCTCTGGCGTCTCTTCACGCGCGTATGTTCTCTCTATATCATTCAAAATTCATAAAGTCGATGAATATTTTGAAAGTTGCCATCAGAATAGAACTATAGCATTGGAAAATAAGAAGGATTAGAACCAAGAATGCCCGAAGAGACTCCAGAGAAGATAGGGAATCTCTTTCTCTAATGTCTCTTCAAGCATGTTCGTTCTCTCTATCATTCAAATCAGTGAAGTTTCTAAGTTTTCCTAACGCTCTCGACTAATAAGCTAGTGTATTACATGAAAAATAACAGGAATAGAACTTTTGAAGCTAGAAGAGACGCCAGAGAAGCTAGAAAATCTGAAAAAAAGAAATAATGAACTTTCACGCCTCAATAACTAATTGTTCTACTCAGACGCTGAATATGGTGGAGATGCTGATAAGGGCGCTTGGTTTTCGAGTTTTCCGCCTTGACGGATCAACGCCGGTTTCTGAGCGACAGAAGCTCGTCGCCAAGTTCAACGAGTCCTGCTGTCCCGACAATGTCTTCCTGCTGAGCACTAAAGCTGGTACTTGATGAAAGGAAAACCTTAATTTAATCACCGGTGGCTTGAGACATAATTCAAACGAAGTCTTTACACTGGGAGGGAAAATAGTGGCTTCTACAGAGATGTATTTAGTGGCCACTTCAGTGTTTTCTCCGAGTAGTACGAATTTCAAGTGGCCACTAAAAGTTTTTTCAGCGAGTTGATGTGAATGTGTTGTCCGTTTTTCGCGGCTTGAAATGACAGGATTTCTCTGTACCCTCTCCATCTCTCTGCGACCCTCTCACGCTCAAGTGCTATTTTCATTTTTCTCTGACCTCGCCGGTGAGGGAGCAAAGAGACTAGAGAACTTTCAAGTCGCAGGATGGGCTATTAAAATCGACATCTTTTTTAGGTGGAGTAGGCTTAAACTTGACCGGAGCTTCACGGCTGGTCCTGTTCGATTCGGATTGGAATCCGGCCAACGATGTTCAGGTAGATATTTCTGCTTGCTGAAGATATTATTCAACAGCTTTTGTTAATTTTATCCCTAAAGTGGTACCTCAGGCGATGGCGCGAATTTGGCGTGACGGACAAACAAAACCCTGTCACATTTACCGGCTCATCGCCACGGTTTCCATCAATTTGTTCCAAAAAATAAATTAGAAAAATAAAATTGAAGGGCACAATCGACGAGAAGATCATCCAACGGCAGATCAAGAAGACGGGCCTCGGCGCCGTCATTGATCTTCTGGAGATGAAAGAGTGCGCGAACATCAAGGACGAGGACCTGGATGACATTTTCAACGTCCCGGACACGGAGTGCGAGACTCACGACTTGTGCGAATGTCCCTGCGATGGGCGGGGACTTTTGATCACGGAGAAGGACGAGGAAGAAGAGGAACATGACGAGGAGGGAAAGGAAGAGGAAGAGGAAGAGGGTCAGTTTTCGGGCGTCTCATTGGAAAAATGGGTCCGGACTTTATCAAAAAATCAAAAAATATATAGTCAATGTTTCCCGACTTGAATGGCGAGGGAGGAGAGGCAGGGGGCGGGACGCGTAGCGTGTGCGTACGCGGTTTTTGGCACAATTCCAATTCAATTGCCGCCGACTATTTAAAAAGCTCCGCTCTTTTTCAATGTTTCACACTATTTTTTGATGTACACATGAGCATAATCAATAAATAATTGAAAAAGGAACAAAAAGCGAAGAAAAAAGCTTTTCAAAGAGCCGATGGCGGTTGAATTTAACACGTGCTAAGAACCGCGTACGCACACGCTACGCGTCCCGCCCCCTGCCCCGCCTCCCTCGCCTTTCAAGTCGGCAAATATTGACTATAGTCATTCCTACCGGACTTGGAAGGCTCTTCAGAGGATATCTTTAGAAGTTGTTAAAAAATAGTCAGCGCTGTCAAAATATTTTTGAAACGTCATTGAAAGGCAGGATGATGTAAATAGGACCAAAATGATGTAAAACGATGACGTAAGATGAACTGGAAATTTCCACCCCTTGCTATTTCAGAAGTGAAAGATTCGGAAGAATCTCAAGGTGAGGAACCCTCAGAAAGCACTCCGGACATTTTCGAAGCTCCTGAAGACGGAGAAGCTGAACCAACCGAAAAGGAGGTCGAAGCGAAAATTGAGAAGGATTCGAAGGTTAGAATTATTCTATTGGGCTAGATTTTTTCCGATTTTGCAAGCTTCAAAAGGAATTTTTGTGGTTTTCTTTAAAGTTGACACAATTTAGAGATGAGCAAGTTTAAAGCCTCTCAAAAACGCGCGATGTCGCTGGCGGTACATTGACGACCTCGCTAAAGTGTAGTCACCCTAGTTTTGCGTTTCTTTTTTGCGCGATATCGCGTTTTCTCGACGCATTTTTATACATTGAAAACTTTTGTTGGGAGCGTGGAAGAACAAGAAACAAGAAAAACGCGATGTCGCGCTAAGGAAAATGAGATGTCGCACCAAAAATGCGATGTCGCGCCAAGAAAAATGCGATGTCGCGCCAAGAAAAATGCGATTCGCGCCAAGAAAAATGCGATTCGTGCCAAGAAAAATGCGATTTGTGCCAAGAAAAATGAGAGTCCGGCGCGGCGAATAAAAAGTTCATTTACAAGTTCCTGAAAAAGTGTAGTTACGCTAGTCTTGCGTTTTCTTTTGCACGATATCGCGTTTTCTCGACGCAACTTTATACATTAAAAACATTTGTTGGGAGCGTGAAAGAGCAAAAAACAAGAAAAAAGTGATGTCGCGCTGAGGAAAATGCGATGTCGCGCCAAAAAAAATGCGATGTCGCGCCAAAAAATGCGAAGTCGCGCTAAGGAAAAATAGGGGTTCATTTACGAGTTCCAGACCTCGCGTCGGACTAGACCTTTGTCACCCATTTTCCGCGTTATTTTCAGCGCGTTTCGATGGCCGAGCTATCGCGGTGGCGACATTTCTCACCGCGGCACCCGGCCACGTGGGATTATTTCGTTGAAAAGGCCGGCCTCAAGGCGAAAAAAGAAGACGACGACGAAGAAGAAGAAGAAAACGAACTCACCTTTGCCTTCTACCTGTCTTCCAACTTTTAGGAGGATTTTGGAGGTGAAATCAAAAAGATTTTCCAGTTTCAAGATTCTTTTTAAATAATTCGAGTTCGATAAAAAAATGCTGTTACGATCCATCTTCAAACTTAAATAATAGACAATGATTTTTTTGAAAATTCATTTAATTTTTTTAGGTGTAAAATATTTATGAACACCTTTTTTTGGTTTTTTTAATTTTTCATTTGTAAGCCTTATTTTTGATTTTTTTCGCGTTCACTATCCCTTTACCGTGCTCAATTTGACCTCAAAGTTTGAAAAAAACATCATTTTCAGTATTTTTTTCGCTGTTTCTCATACTTTTTTCCTCATCTTCTCTTAAAATTTCCTATTTTTTTATGAATTGAGAAAATCTACCCTTTAACCTGAAGAAAATTGTCTTTTTCATGTCTTTTTTACTTGAAAAGTTTTTTTTTACTGCTTTTGACCATGCCTGAAAAATTCTCCTTCGCTTTCAGATCTTCCTCTTCCAATTTTTTCAACCTGGTCTAAACATTAAAGAAAATGTTTAATTTTTACTTTCGACATGTTCCACTCGACCTTTAACTGAGAAACAAACCGGTTTTTATCATTCACTTTTTTTTTCCTTTTCTAAAGATCTCCCATTGAGATCTCACCTTTACTGCCCTTTTATACCTTTTTCGAAACCTGTCTTTTTTATTTTGTACCGTTTCAAGCGATTCTCGGGCCCTTGGAACTTGCAAAATCGCCAATAAACCCTGTGTTTGGAACCTGTTCTCCAGAAAGACCATCAAAAGGCCCTTGGAGCTAATCAAACGGACGGACAAAATAAATGGAGATGGGTTACGACCCCACGCGATCCTCTCCTTCTTCTCCTCCTCCGTCGTCTTCTGAAACGGGTCACGTCGTCTGAGAGAAGGCCAACGACGTCTTCAGATGTCGACGTCGTCGGAAAGAAAGAGAGAAACGCCGCTTTTTATGGTCTTCCGAAGTGACGAACTGACCTCTCGGGGCGAACACACGCGTGATCCGTCGTCGGCTGGCCCGACGTCTTCTGTTTTATTTTCTTCGATATTTGTTTTTTGACGGCTTCTGCATGATCTTGATGTATGGAAAATACAATTTCGGCAAGTAAATTAAGTCTAGATAGCATTTTAAGGGTCTAGTTTTTGAACCTTGATTTTTTTCCTCTGTTTTCTTCTGGATCCTTTGTATTTAGGTTCATCTCAGCCTGTAGGTAAGAGATATTTTTATAGCAAAAATTTGACATAGTTTGTTTTTTTCCTTGGAGCTCCGTCGTAAACTTTCTTCAACTTTGTTAATTTTTCCCGTTAAAAAAAAATTTTATTCTTGTGGTTGGAAATCACCAGAAAACACCGGAAGAAGATCCTGAAAGTTTCAGCCTACTCAAATCAAAAAGAAGGTCTCGAAATTGGAAAAAAAAACCCATCAATATTCGTTAAAGGGAGCCACTCGCAAAGTTTGGGTCCTTATTCCATGAAAAAAAAAATTGTGCAAGCTGGGGCTTTCAGGATATTCATCTGGTACATCTATTTCGGTCAAAATTCAGAAAAACTTTTAACTCCACGTAAAATAACCGCTTTTTTCGTTACCTAGATCCGTTTGTCTCTTTTCGGAAGCTTTGGAAAATCTGTTGTTTGATAATTTCGTAGGAAAATTTGGAGGGCCAAAAGTATATATTTTTCCGGCTTTTAGAATATTTTAGAAATGACAAAATTCCAATTTAATGTTCCTGCCATCTCAGTTAATGAATCTTCTGTATTTTTTCAGATTTTTGCAAGATTCCACTGAAATTTTTGGTATTTTGATTGAAATATTGAACTTCAAAACTAAAAAGAAGGCAATTTAATCTCGTTTTTTCTTTCTCAAAATGACCTGGCAATCAGTCAAAGATCGGTCGCTATCATTCGGAACACATGGGAATCAGAAAGTGAAGGTTTTTCGTAGTAATGGAGGAACATGATGAAATTGCTGTTGAGATGACTCTTTTAGGCCTTTTTCCATAGTTCTTCAAGTACTGTTCTCAAAGTTAGTTTCTCTCAGGGCATAACAAAAACAAAAAAAAATCAAGGGCCTGAATAACAAGTCTTGAAAAAATCGCTTATTTTCAAGGTTTTTTCAGTTTCAATTTATGTTTTTGATTCGAAATTCCCCTTTTTGAGCCATTTTTAAAGGTCTCTTTTCGCTTATATCGCTCTTAGAACTGTTATTGAGTTTGTATGATTGAAAATAAAGGAACAGAAAAAAATGTCCAACGACCTGGACCACATCCTTTCCGCCGATCCGTTCACACCTCTGCCGGATTATCCGACGGAACAGAGGGCCAAAAAAGTCCCACACGCCCCGAAAAGGCCCTGTCCGCTCAGTGCCAAGGAGAAGCGGGTTTTTGAGCTTTTCCCAGCTTTTTTTCAATATGTTTTTGAAGTTGGCGGTGAAGAATATCTTGAGATACGTTCCTGAAGAGCACCACAAATTATTAGCCCGAGAATTCGCCGAGGAACTGGAAACCTACGGCCATATCTATGCGTATCGGTTCATGCCCACCTTTGATCTCAAGGTTGGTTTTTTGGTAAAGAAATGAAAGAAATAAAAAAAGACTTTTTAGGATATAAGATTATCAAAATGTTCATTTATAGTCAATTTTTTTCAGTAGTTTCGAATGTGAATTTGCTCACTAACTTGAAAAATCCATTTAATAATTAGAATCCGAAATTTGATAGAAGCAGGGGTCCAATGAAGAAGAATAGAGCCAAATAATAGCTTTGAATTGGAAAAAAAGTTTGACTTTGTACAATTGTGTGAGCCTTTAAAAAGATATCTTAAGTCAAGTTTTTTGGTGAACTGAAGCCCAGCCTCTGCTTATTTTTCTCAGAAGTGTCCATTTGAAGTTTCTTTCTTTTCTTCAAATCTTTGAAAATCTATCAGAAAAAGGAAATCTCGCTCAAAAATTATTTAAACGTCTTTTGTGAGTGAAATATCTTTGAATATTAAAAAGGAACATTGTATTTTTCGAGCTTTATGGTCTCATGGTAACTATCAAACTTTAAAGTTTTAATAATATTTTTTTAAAGCTTCTATGGTTTTTCAGTTCGAGACAATGAATTGAAAAAAATATTTTCACAGGCCCCAGCTTTATTCGACATCTCAGCCAAGAACCATCATGCCAGCGCGATCATTCTCATGATTCTCAATAATTTGGACGCTCGTGTGGCTCAGTTCCCACAGGAGCTCGTGACCTATGGGGGAAATGGTCAGGTGTTCAGCAATTGGATTCAGGTAACTTTTTGAGTTTTTTTTTCTTATTAGTACTGAAAATTCACGTATGAAGTTACTATCACTGCATTAATCTTGGTAACTCGAAAAAAAATTATAATTTTCTTAATTTTCGATCTTTTCTAATGACGTATAGTTCTGTCACTTCTGACCAGAGCTGCTGAGGTGTCGGGTCGGCCCGGGGCGGACCCGTAAACCAGAAGAGTCATTTTTCCTCATTTTTTTCACCACTTTTTTCACTCGGGTTTCCCCGATTGCCCTTTAGCAGCTCTGTCATTACCCCGGGACAATTTTAATGACGTTCTCCTGCCCAATTACAGTTCCGAATCGTCCTCCGCTACCTGGCTCAGATGACGTCATCCCAGACCCTGGTCCTTTACTCGGGCCATCCTTTGGGCCTTTTCCCCTCGTCTCCAGATTCGCCCAGGATGACCGTCACTAATGGAATGGTTGATTTCAGTTTTCTGTACATTGCGAACACTTTGCTGTTTGAAACAGAAAGCTTCAACACACTTTAGTGGTCACTTGATCTTCACGTTTGACGTTTAGCATGGTTTTTTTCCCGTTTGAAGCTCGGATTTTTCTGAAATTTTTTTCAATCGTTCTCTGAAAGTCATTTTTAGGATTTCTCAAAGTCGCAATCCGCGCGAACTTTTTATTTTTAAAAGATTTGAAGTTCTGAAGATGTACCACTGAATTGTGCCTGAAACTCATGTTTTGCATTTTTTTTTTTTAAATTCATATCTTCAAAAATAAAAGTTTGAGCAGGTTTCGAAGGTAATAGATCTTTTTCTAGGCCTTTCGAGAAGCCCCAAGCAAATTTTCAGATTATTAAGAACCTTAAAAATCGAGTTTCAAGAAAAAATATCGACTTTTCGGAGTTCGTGAACCCTCAGAACTATGAAATCTTCTAAAAAAATTTATTAGTTAATTTAGAAATTTTTTTGAAAAGCTTTTTGTTATTTCTTGGTTCAGATAAGGTTCCTGACAGTTAATATGATCGTCGAATATTTCTGACAAGCCTAAAAAAATTTTTTTAGCGATCCAGATTTCCAGATGATCCCGAGGTACTCGACAAAAAGAGCTTTACGACAAGTTTTTTTCGCCCTCGGCGTTACGCAGTACGGTCAAATGACCGCCGGAAGCTTCTGCTACATCGGTCCGCAGGGAATCGTTCATGGAACTACGGTTTTTTTAATATTTTGTTTTAAACTCAGAATACAATCCATGTTACGAGGGTTTTCTTCATGTGCAATTTGTACGGGAAAATACACAGAAAATCCAAAAAAACCTCAATTTTCAAAAAATTGATAAAAAAAAAAATCTTTCTAGCCTTCTAAAATAGTTAAGACAAGCTTAGGAAATCTAGAGCGGTCCCTATACGGGCAAACTTAGAGGTCGTTGGAGGGCCCTCTCTAGGGGCCACTTTACCAACCCCTTCAGGGACCCCTAAAGCTTGCAAAAGTGGCTCCCAGAGGGGTTTCAGTTAGTGGTCCCTACAGGGGTCCACTATAGGGTTCACTTGAGCTTTATGGGCTGAGTGGTCAGACCAAAAACCCCTATAGAGATCAATTTTTCTGCCCCTATAGGAGTTGTTTTCCCCCATAACCCCTATAGGGACCCCTTTGGATTTCCTAAAAAAGGATAATTTTTGAGAACAAGTATCTTGGAGCCATTTTTAAAGTTAAGAAGGCTTTAGTCCAACGCATCAGGAATTTTCAAGGTTTTGAATGATCAAACAATAATTGAGTGAAAAAAAGGCAAATGTTGTAGATCACAGTCCTGAACGCTGGACGAAGGCAAGGACTGGAAAATCTGGCCGGTCGAGTTTTCGTCTCCGCCGGATTGGGTGGAATGAGCGGAGCCCAGCCAAAAGCTGCAAAAATCGCCGGTTGCATCGGTGTCATCGCTGAGGTTTTTTTAAAATATATCAACTCGAAAAAAAATTAATTTAATGAAGTTTAAGAACCGATAATTGAAGACTGATCCCTCTCGGATATTTAAAAAAAGCCGTGAGAAAGTTAAAAAGTGAATTAAATTCTGGAGAGTGAGAGGCTTCGAGCTTCACGGAGATTACTTTGGAAACGGCTCAAATAGTTGAAAATCACTCAGAATTGTAAAACAAATCAAAAACTACATGGATCACAATAATTGATTTCAACTTTGAGATCAGCCGAGAAGCCTTGCTGAAGCGACACCAACAAGGGTGGCTGGAAGTCTACTCGGAGAGTCTTGATCAGGTTCATTTTTCGAGACTGTTTTCGCTATTTTTTTTTGTTGTTCTAGTCATAGATGTAATCGACTAGATCAAACAAGAACTTTTAAAGGTGAGCAAGATTTTTTAAAACAGTAAAAAACAACCGCCTTTGGCGAACTAGAAGTCCAAATATGTAATTGATCAAGTTAAAAGCATGGTCTTACGGTTCATCCAGTTTCTTGAAAACCTCAGAATACAGCGGATGTTGTGCTGAAGCCCGGAGACCGCGGCCTATGTGGAAACTTTGAGTGAAGATTTTACATGGAACTTTTAGACTTCACAATAAAAAAAGAAAGTCCTGGAAGATTCTGAGATTTTTCAGATCATCGCCTGGATCAAGGAACACCGGGCCGCCGAATCTTCGATCAGTATCGGATATCTAGGAAATATCGTCGATTTGTGGTGAGAATCGATTTTTTGGCTTTCTTATTCAAATTTTGGGATCTCAAGGATAGTTTTTTTGCACAAAAAAAATTATTTTTTTAGTAAAGTGGCATTTTTTTGAACTTTCGAACGATCTATCCTCGTCTTTCCGGAAATACGAACATATACAAGATGAAAACTAAGTTTTAAGGGTATCTAAAAATTAGTAATAATCTGAACTGTCCACTTTTTTTGCATAAATGACGAACTAGTTTGAAAAAAATTGACTCAAAATTGCTTGTTTTATGAAAATTTCGATGAATATTAGAAAATGCTGGAGTTTGAGCTCCGTGAATACTACTTTATGTTAAAAAAATTAAAGAAGTAGATCAAAAATTAAGGTTTTCTTGAAGAATCGGTTCGTTTCTTGAGGTTAAGAAAGGAACTTTTGAGATTTTGGAGATGTTTTTTTGAACTTTCTAAAAAGTTTTGGATAATTAAGGACCTTTGAATAAAACAGATCTTCTGAAAAGACAAAAAGAAAAATCGCTGGACCTGATATGTTGAAAAAATACTTTGAAAAAGCGGAACCTTTAGGGAACGACTAGCGAATGAGCCGGAAATGCTGGTGGAACTGGGCTCCGACCAAACTTCTCTTCATAATCCGCTTCTCGGCGGCTATTATCCGGCTGGTCTCACCGTGGAACAATCCAATGATATGATGACGTCAGACCCGACCAAATTCAAGTCTTTGGTTCAGAAAAGGTCCGGAATAATACTTTTTGAAAACTCGTTTCGCCAAAAATCAAAACAGTCTGACTTCTCTGCGCCCTCTTTTTTCAGAAGACGCTCTCTTTTTTAAACTGTCCAGCAAGTGCAATGACGTCATCCAAAATTCCTCTCTAGAGTTCTAGCTTTCTGATTGGTTCATGATTCATTAGGGGCGGAGCTTGAAGGATGAAAAAGTTCAAAGTTTGATCGTACTGTACTTTTTTATAGCCTCGATGAGAGAGAAGAGAGCGCAGACAAGTCAGAGTTTCAATCTGCATTAATAAGAAAAAAATTTTCTGCAGTTTACTCCGACAAATCGCCGCCATCGACAAACTCGCCGCCCGCGGCATGTACTTTTTCGATTACGGTACTTTTTTTCGCGACAAGACCATCGATGCTCCTTTAAATTGATGCTGTTAATTTAGTTATTTTTTCATTCGAAAAATAAACTCAAGCGATTTTTTAAGAGTCTCATTTTGTGATTTATCACTAAATTTGCTTCAATTTTTTTTACGAAATCGACATTATCAAAGATTTTGTTTCTACAGGGAATGCCTTCCTTCTCGAGTGCCAACGCGCTGGCGCAAATTTGCTCAAGGAAGACGCCGACGACGATAAATCGTTCAGATATTCGTCCTATATGCAGGATATCATGGGGTTTTCTGAAGTTTATGGGTGAAATATTTCAAAGGGAAATTCCAGAGACATTTTCTCAATGGGTTTCGGACCGTTCCGGTGGGTCTGCACCTCTGGATTGCCCGAAGATTTGGCTCAAACTGATCGGGTGGCAGCGAAAATCATTGCGGATCTTCAGAAGAGCGATGGTTTGGTTTATTACTCGAAAAAGGAAAAATTGAAAGCGCTGTTCAAAAAAATATGGAAAATCATTGCCGAACCTTTCAAAACGCAAAATGGAAGCAATAGTTGTTGATTTTTATACGGGGATAATCTCTTTTTTTCGATATTCTCGAATTTTCTCAATTTTCCAGTTTTTTTATGAATTTATAATTGTCATACGTATCGCTTATTTGCGTAATTCGAGAGTTATCCAAAGAAAATCATTGAGAACGTATTCATTCAACTTTTTAATCGAAAAATTCATCAAAATAGCTTCTGATAAATGAAGTTCTCAAAAAAATAAAATTAACCATCTTGTAAATTTTTTATTCCGATAGTCAAAAAAATGACGCAAAAAAATACGTATTTCGAAGAAAAAAATACAATTGAAATTTTCACCCAATATTGTGGACTATATCGCAGCGAGAGTAATGCTATACCGCGGGGGAGCCGCGAGCGATATCGCTCGCCTCTCGCTGCGACCTCGCAAACGTCTCGCGCTATATCGCTCTCTAAAAAAATTTTTTTCTTCAAAAAAATGCTTTTTTTCTTGAATTTGATTGATTTCATCATAAAAGTCAAAAAAAATAAAGCAAAAAAATGTTTTTCAAATTTCAAATTTTTTTGAGAGGGAGCGATATGGCAGCGAGACTTTGACGAGGTCGCAGCAAGAAGCCGTGGCTATATCGCGTGCGGCCCGCTGCGATATCGGCAATTATGTTGGGTGTTGAAAAGAAGAAAGAAAATCAAGTTCTCCCGCGGTGCTCTACAAGGTTGCTCTACGGACAAATATCGATCCGTCAATTTTTCGAATTTTCAGCCCCTTTTCGTTTATTTCTTTTGTTTACTTCTAATTGTAGCGTTTTTCTTCCCCTTTCGCATGAGGATCGACGTAAAAAAGATACTTTTTCTGATAAACTTCAGAAAATTATCGCGAAATATTTTTGCGTTGATGGTTATCGAATTTTCTTTAAGTGATGCGGAGATTTTAGAGGATCTTGAAGTATGCTTATTGAAAATCTATTAACCTGATCCCACTTTTTTTGCGGAAATAAAATCGCGAAAGCTGAGGATCTCATGCGATTAAGCCTCCAGTATTTGTACAGTTCGCCTCACGTGAATTGACAAGAAGTTTATCATTGGGGCGCGCTTTTTAAAAACCCTTTGATTCATTTTTTTTTTCTTCCATATTCACGTATCACGGCATTCCTGATGGGGTCAGAAAAGGTGACCGAGACGTCAAAGTTTTTAAATTTACAAAAAAAAAGTGCGCGCTCCGGATAGAATTACGTCACAATTACACTGAATATTCAACCTTAGTAACTCGTTTTTACAATCGCCTTTTTCTTTGCGTTCTTGAGATTTGAACTTTCGCGCCCAAATATTTTAAACGTCTCCCCACCCCGTTTGGGAATGCCGTGGTACATTGGAAACGCTGAACGAACGTGCTCCGGACGTTTATGATAAATTCTAAGGGACACTTAAGAGTGCTGACGCTACTAAAGTGGTCACTAGAAATGCCTGGACACGTCCGTTTTGCGTTACCAGTGTCCGAGTTTTTTTTTTCGGGATTTTTTCATGCTCTTTTCGAAGTAATTTCGTGAAATTCAAAATACCGATCAGACAGTGAAAAGAGATTGTAGCCATTGACAATTTACTGTTCATCCTTTGCGATTCAACACAGAACAAAAAAAAACCCTCAGCTGCTTTTAAGAGCATCGGGTTAGTACCTGGTATTGTTAGCCGGCCTCGCAGTTGATAGAACTGTGTCCACCATAGATATAGTTTGAAAACGTCGTCGTAACGATTTCTTGTCACCGCGATCATCTGTATTCTCATAGATGAAATACTTTCGAATGCGGAAAAAGAGTATATAAATACAAAAGTTGAATTAAAAGAGCTGCTCGTAAAGTTAAATTATTTTTCCGCAGCCAGAGTGTCTTCGGCCTCGATAATCTTTTATTCATCGCCATGGAGATTAAAATTTGTACACACTGTATAAAACCGCAGAGACTGGCGCGAGAGTTTCTAACAACCACATTTTTTAAAATGTTTATATATCTTCATAGGCAAAGTCGGGAGGACCCTTTGAGCTTCCGTTATAAATCAAAAAGCTTCCATTAAGGTGTTTTATAGCCGCTAAAAAGGAGAGGCTCAAAAAAAAACTGCAGAAGAGCAACAAAAAGAGTATTTTTGATTAGCGTTCCAGTCTTTCTAGAATTCTAAAGACTCGATAAATGGTGGAAAATGGGAGAGACAGCAAAAAAGGAGCCTTTTTCGCCCTGAAAGGACCGTAATGTAAATAAGATATATATATATAAAAGTTTATGGGTGGAACCTTGGAACCTTTTTTACCCTTTCCGTCTTTGCCTATGATATCGGATCAAGGTTTTTCTGGTTTTAATCCAGTTTTAATATGGTCAAGTCTTCTTCTCTCTCATTATAACATTTTTCTAAACAAAAGCCTTCGAAACCTCACATCGATTGTTCCAGTAGTAGTCGATAGTTTATTTCTCCAGGACGCTTCTTCGTTTCCATGCTCCAGAGTTCTTTCTAAAGGAAAAGTAATTAAAAAATAATTGTTCAGATATCAAACTGCTTCATTTGAAGTTGTCGTTGAATATCCATGGACTGCTCAGAAAAAATCGTTGAAAGCTTCCTGCAATATTTTCAAAATTGAAAAGGAATCAAGTCGATTGCATTATTTGAATCACATGTTTTGACTGATTAGCTATTTAAAGTCATAAGTAAGTTAGGGATGCTCTATGCAGTCAGAAGAACTAACTAGGCGGTGTGCTAGAGCTCCGCTCGGCCTTGTTAGAACTAATCCTAGACGCCGAAGGCCGTGACGGCATTTTCCGCGGGGGTCCCATCATCGCTTTGTCAGCATCGCGCTGCCAACAGTTTATGCTTCGGCCACCGGAATGGGCTTCAGCGTGACTTTGCATATCCAATTCGCAAGCGAAAAGGATCGGCACTCCGGGAGTCCCGCGGGCCTAATCTACCAGCGCTTATAGCTCAGAAACTTATTTTGGAACTTAGAAGTGTTTATGGAGGTTAAAAACTTATCTTGACGTTGAAGAAGCGAGAGGAGTCGTGAAGAAAGCAGAAATGATGATTGAACGCAGGTCAAAAAAGTAGAAATGACACGTTGCCACGTGGTTTTTCTTACGTGTTAATTTTTTCGATATCAGGAAAATTGAAATGAAGTTCACGTTTTATTTTTTTGCAGAGAATGAAATTTTCATTCTGAATAGTCACGTGACGTGAAAGGTAGAGGCTAGTGGAGACACTAAAAAAACTTTTTAAAGTTTTAATTCTTCAATTTTTTTTTTCATATTTGTCCTTTTATAGAGACATAATTCACGTAACTTAGAGCCAAACTGAATTCGCTGATGCGTTTTGAAGTTTTCTCTTTATATTTTTCTAGTTTTTAATGTTTTTTTCAAATTTAATTGAACGATCCGCCATACAAGTGTTTTTGTTTTTTATTTTCGCTTAAAGAAAAGAGCCCCCCAATGATAAATCTCTGGTCAATTTATGTGAGGTAAGCTGTACAAATACCGGAGGCTTGTGTGATTGCCTGGGTTTTATTATAATTTTGTTGTGAAATGGATTCTTTTTTTGGTAAATGTCATTTTTTTTTTAGTATTATTTACCCTTTTTGTCTGTTTTATGTTTATCTTCTTTTTTTTTCAGTACCCGACAACGTGAAGCAACAGTACGCTGATAACCTAAAATGGATCGAAGAAGCGGAGAGAAATGGCCTCGTAGTGGGAAGCCAGGCGAGGATCCTTTATTCGGATCGGGCCGGCAGGATCGCCTTGGCCAAGGCTTTCAATGAGCTTGTCAGGAAGGATGAAGTTCAGGTACTTTTGTTTGAGACTATTTTATTGCTTTTTTTTCATCATTATTATCTGTGTTGTTTTTTTAATAATGAAGAAAGTAGTCCCAACCTTGAAAAAGTTTATATTTTTCCGAGAAGATTACACATTTTTTTGTCTATAAAAAAACGAAAAAGAACGGGCCATTCTCAGGCTTTGATATTTTTATTTCTTGGGAACTAAAAAAAGTTGGGAAGACTTTTTAAGATCTTTATTTCGTGAAACAGATCGATTTTTCGCGATTCAATTCATTTTTTTATCAATTAAATTTTTTTGATCAATTTTTCAGCATGCGAATTTTTTTCTTGTGGAATTTTTAAAGCTATACGATTATTTTTACTTTTTATTTTTATAAAAAAAGTTTTTCACAAATTTTATTTCCCCCTCATAAGAACTCGAATAAACTGAACTTTGGACGCATTGAAACCTCAAACTTTGAATGATTACACACTAAGAATAACTGCCGAGATAAACGCGAGACACTGGCGGTACATTGACGAGCTCGCAAACATCTCGCATTTTTTCTCGCGCCGGTTTCGCATTTGTTTGGGCGCGAGCTCGCATTTTTCTAGGCGCGAGCTCGCATTTCTCTCGCAATTTGAAAATTTCCGAAATGCAAGATAAATGCGAGATGGCGCCGAGAAAAATGCGAGGTCGCGCCGAGATAAATGCGGGATCGCGCCTAGAAAAAAGCGACATTTTTGCGAGTTAGTCAATGTACCGCCACCGAGCTCGCATTTATCTCGTCAGTTATTCTTAGTGCATATATCAAACAGGTGATTTAATGTCCTGATAAGAGAGTACAATGCAAAAGCTTTTTCTCATTTTTGTGATAAGTGATTAAAGAACACTCTTTTTCAAGTTTTTGCACAAAAACTGATGAAATAGACATTTTTCGAGACTTGGAGGCTTTTTTAAGATTCCTAGAGAAACAGCTTCAAGTTGTGAAGTGCAAATCCAATTCAAAAAAAAAAAATTTTTTTTCAATATTATGTTTTAAATCATTCAATGCTCCCTAGCAGGGTGAAATTTAAATTTTCGTTTACTATGAAAACTTTAAGGAAGTAAAAGCGCTTAGAAATTCAGAAAAGTCCCAGGAATCTCGAAAGTTCACGCAATTTTGATGAGAAATTAGCAATTCTCCGCTTTTAGCTATCTGAATTTCTGATTGAGAAATAATTCAGAGAACGAAATTATCAATTTGGAAAAATGAATTTTATACTTTTATTCATATATCAAAAATACTGTAAATGCCAATAGAGAATCTGAAAAAAGCTTTCTGAAAAAGTGATCGAGAGGCCACTCAAATGGCAAATGAATAAAACGTGCTCTCAGCGAACATTTCACTGATTTTCCCTCAAGTGATTTTACCCTCACTTCTGTATACCTTTGAGGAAGAAACTTGATGTTCTAGATGGCCTTAAAGTGATAACTTTTTTAAAGCTCTAAAGTGACAACTCCTGCAGGCTCCGATAGTCATCTCGCGCGATCATCACGACGTCTCCGGCACGGATTCGCCGTTCCGCGAAACGTCGAACATCGACGACGGCAGCGCGTTCACCGCCGACATGGCCGTTCAGAACGTGATCGGTAAGGCTTTTTGGAAGGGTGCCAAGTAAATTCAAATTCAAGGCGACTCATTCCGTGGCGCGACGTGGGTAGCGCTACACAATGGCGGCGGCGTCGGTTGGGGTGACGTCATCAATGGAGGATTTGGTCTCGTTCTCGATGGAACCGAGGTACTGTAGGAAGTTCCATTTTTCAGACTTCATAAAGATTGCGGTGAAAGGAGCATGTTGTAAGATAGAATTCCAAGATTCTTTGAAAAAAAATCTGAACTTTGATTTTTTTCTTTTTAAAAAGAAAGACTTTTTTTCATATAATATGTATTCTGCTCCGAACATCAAGCTAGATATGCTCGTTTCAACAAAAGAAGGATGATTTTGAGAGGGCCGAAAGAAAGGCGGAAATGATGCTCAACTGGGACGTTCCCAACGGCGTCGCCCGACGGTCCTGGTCGGGAAATGAGAACGCGCGAGAGGCCATCGTCCGTGCTCAGCAGCAGGTTTCCTGCTCTTCTCCTTCCTTTTTTTTCTTGCCTTCTGCCGAAATGCTTATCCATCCATTTCATCTTCAAGGTCCCGGAAATGCTCGTCACACTTCCGCATCGCTGCGACGACGCACTGCTCGACGACCTTTTCTGACGACTTCTTCAAAAGAAACCTGCCCCCGTCTTCTCTAAAAATAATTGTTCATTTTTCTTCCATACATATACAGAAGACCGAAATACAAATATTAAAAAAAAGTATGATAGCTGTGAAACTGCATTGCAGAAGTAATTATCAATTGTGAATGAATGGAAAAAAAGGATTTTAAAAAGAAAAAAAAATAAATTATGAGCTCCGTTCAGCCTCAGAGCACATTGGAAGCTTGAAAAGACGGTTAGTTCATCGGAAAGCTTCCTTCATTACTTTTTTCCAAATTTATTTTTCAAATGTGCCAGTTTCAAGAAAAGTAAGTTGTAATTGAATCAGTAATTTGTGAAACTGGCAGTAAGCTTTATTAAATTAGAAGATTTGAAAAGTAAGAAATTTTTCACAATTTTTGTTGTTTTTTTCTTCAGTTTCAATCAATTTTCATTGAAAATGCAACGAAAATATTGAATAAGAAGAAAATCCGAAGAAAAACTGTGCAAAATGGCGAGTCTGTTACGGTCAAAAGTTTTGACCTGACTCCGGAGGTCAACGCGGCAGAGTCTCGAGAAGAATCTCCAGTCCTGGCGCGAAAGGCTCGGTGTCTCAAAATCCGCGTCATTCTTTCTTTTTTCGTGCCTGCTGGACGCTGTGTTGCTGCTGCTCGTGGTAATTATCGATTTTATCATTATAATCGTTGTTTTGAAATAGTTTAGCTTGGATTATATTAACTGCATCTTTGAAAAAACGATTTTTATTTTTAAATCTTTAAGATCAAATTACTTGCAGATTGAAGGCCGAGAAGTTGCACGGCCAACAATGTCAATTTTTATTGTCCTGAAAAACTTTTTTTCAAAATTGATCCATGCGCCTTCAAACATCATAGCAAAAATTTTTAAAAAAACTTTGTTTTTTTCTAGAAACCCATAAGGACTATTATGAAGTGAAAAAAATTCGAAATAGTGGCTAAGTTTTTGAATTTATTTTGACTTTCTTCATTCCGCGTTTTCTTATAATCGTTTTAAATTATATCTTATTTCAGATAAGTTCGCGAAAAGAGCCGACTTTAGTGAGCTTCGTGCCCAACGGATAAGATTACAAGATACGTTTTTATTTGATATTTTCGTGTTATTTCATTTAATCAAATTTACTAGAAAATCAACTCGAGAAGGACACGACGGCTGCAGTTTGAAGGGAACAGATTGGAATATCAAAGTATAAGTTAGAATGTGGTTTTCTGTTGCTAATTTGAAATGTTTAGAAAGGGTTCATTGGAAATCGCAAAAACTTACCCGATCGACAAGTACAACAACTACACGATCAGCGTCTTCGATCCACGCGAGTAAGTTTAGGTTCGTTTGTATTTTTATTCGATTCCCTTCCTTTTTGGGATTGGAATCGTCCAAAACTGGGGCGGCTGGGCGTTTTCTTTTCAGGAAAATTCTCGAAATTGAACAATTTTCTAGAATATAATCCAATTTTCTTTTTCCTTGAAAATTTTTTCGCTCTGTGAAATAAAGTTCAAAAACAACGTTTAATCTTATCTCAGTAATTTCCTTCTTTAGCATTAATAGTGTCTAGATAAGTAATAGGATAGAAAAAACTGGAAAAAGAAATTACTTTATTTATTCATTTTTTTCAGACTAGTACCTCAAAATTTTTCAATTGCATTTTTTTCTGTTGATCTACGAAAAAGTTGTCAATTTTTTTAATTTCAGCAAATATAATCGAAAAAAATGTGTAAAAAAATTTTTCGCGGGAAATATTTTTTTAATCGATTTTTTTCAAATTTTTTTACTTTATTCAAGAGCATCAAGCCAGACATTCCAGCATTTTTCTTCGAATCGTCCGCGGAAGAAAAATTGAATAATTTTTTAAAATCAACATTTTCTTCTCTTTTCAAAAAAGTTTGCAATTTTTTACAACTTATTTTGTTTGAATGCTACTGCAGATGCACGATTGTGATTTCGAAGTTTTTTCAGTTATTTTTTTGCCGCGGACAGTTTGCTCTCAATTGAACCTTATTTTTTTGATGGTTTTTTTCAAGAGTAGCACTAACAGTCTTTTTTCATATATAATCCCATTTAAGATTAATTTAAACGTTGTTTTCAGAATTTAATTCTCCTACATTGTAATAAATGTATTCAGAAGTCAATAAATTGTTTGATTCCGAGGATTTTCCTGAGAAAGTGGTCCAGGCCGGGCCTTTTTTCTTGCCCGGGCTTGGGTGGATGGTCAACTAACGGATGCAAATGTTTTACAAATCGATTATTTGAATTTTTTTTTTTGACAATAAAGAGTTCTTTTTTTTTCACTTACGATAGTTCACTTCTCAGTTGTACTTTCGTGTTTCAGACCCAAATTTTTTCTTTCGATTTCGAACTTTTTGGAGAGATGGTTTGCGATAAACCAACATTAGAAAGATTTCTTTTGGAGTCTTGTTTACTTTTGAAATTCCATAACTTGAATGAAAAAATTAATCACTTTTTCTTTAGGGTAACTCATCCTCGAAAAGAATTTTTTCACTGGCGGGTAGATCATTTGATAATTTTTAAATTTTCAAACGATTTTTTGCGTTTGTTTTTTGTTCTTATCAAATGTTAGTTATTTTTGCTTCCTTACTAAGCTAGATTTCAAAATTTAACTTTCTGGGTCTTAAACACAAATATCCCTGATTTAGGAGACAATTATCTGGTAAAACATTTGTATCCGTTAGTTTTGACTGGAAACTTCCGAATAAGGGTTCATTTTTGCAAAGTTTCACTGGGAAAGCCAAGAGAAGAAGCTATTTGATAGAAAGTCAAGTTCATCAAGAGTCGCTCAAAGAGTTGAGCTTGTCAATTGATGCGTTAACTTGGGTGAATTCCGAAGGGGCTCTGGAGCTTTCGGGACAAAAGTTCAAGTAACTTTGAAGCTTTTTTTTGATTAGAGTTGCAAGATTCTGATGTAATTAGTAAAATTAAACCAAAGTCGCATTTTGAATGATTTAGTATGTAACTTGTAATTTTTCATCCACTTGAAATTTTTCGGAAATGTTCCAAGAGTAGATTCGCAGTCTTACACCTTCGTATTAAAAATTAGAACACATATAATACTCGGTTTTTAAGCTCACATTTTGAATAAGCATTCAATCGAAAGTTTTTTATTTGAGTTAGATTTGAATTTTTTGAACTTATTTTTTCCAAGACTCTTCGAAAGTTGTTAGATTGTGAAGACACCTTTGAAACTTGAATCATTTTTATTAACGTAAGACTTTGAACTTGATGGAAAGATCCAACAGACGCCCAGGCTTTCGAATTTTTTGAATTTCTTCAAACTTCTAGCTTCAGTTTTTTTAATTTTTTAAGCTTCAATGTTTTTTTTTTTTATATTTCGCAATCTTCAAACTTTCGACATTTTCAATTTTTTTCCAAGCTTTTCGAAATCTTTGAAAAAAAGGGCGCGATCAATCCTTCCATTGAGTTCAAAGAGAAACATTGTTAGATCAATTCGAAAACGCTTTAGAAAAAAAAGTTCATTCATCAGAAACATTCAAATCAAAACATTGACATTACTTCAGAAGGACTTTAACTTTTGTCATGAAGCTTCTCCAAAGGCGCCTTTGCTGTTCACTTTGTCATTGGATCACTTGGCAGACTCAGCTCTTTGAGGGGATTTTGATGGACTTGTCATTTCTTTCAAAGAGCTTCTTCTCTTTGCTTTCCTTGTGAGACTGTGTTAAAAATTGACTCTTTATTCGAAGGCTTCCAGACAAAAAGGCCATTTACTTGGGCCTTGGACAAGAAAAAAGGATTCGGCCTTGGGGCCATTTGAAGGAAACGCTCAGGTCGCAACAGGATTGGAGGGTTCCGAGACCAAGGGGAAGAGGAATCGAGGGGGCTAATGGGGAGGGTTTCAGGTCGAGTGATGTGACGGGATGGATGCCGGTCGAGACGCGAGCCGGGATGGATGCCGGACGACGTCGTACTCCGAGGGCGGCATCGAACCGGACACTCTGAATCATGATTTTGAATAAAGTATTCTCCTTCCCCTTTTGTACCTGGTTTTGTCCGGCAGGGTCAGAGCCGCTGCCGGACTTGGGGTTTCAGTTGCCGGCCTGGCGTTCCGCTCTCGCACTCCACAGCCACCCCCTCTGGAGTCTGAGCCTGAGTCTCCAGCTCAGGCCTTAAGGGCCCAAGCCGGAGATCTCAGCCTCAGACCCCACAGGCTGGCTGTTGAGTCCGAGCCGGAGGCCTTGACCTCGGGCTCCAGAGGGCGGTGGAGCCCGAAACCAAGTCTTTGGTAGGTGGCACTAGGCCTGGTGAGGGTACTGCTAAGCAAGGCTTTCTTTTCCTCTCCAAGCTCGTCATTTGACAGTGTCTTGCGTGGTCATGCTCCTTTTGTTTCACCACAACTTCTGGGCTTTCTCTTGATCCAGCTTGAGCTCAAGCTTCTTCTACTTGAAGGCCAAACCTTGAAAAGACATGCTGAACTTGTGCTAAGTTGAAAAAGTGCTCTTGAACTTGTTTTTTTTTTTTCTGAGTGAGTCTTCAAGTCTTTCAAGCTTGAATTCTTCGCTTAACTCTTGCTCCATTTCAATAATTTCTGGAGTTCTCTAAGGTCAATCACTTCACGAGTTAAAGTACCAAAAAGTAGTGAAAGAAAACAAAGTGTTTTTCAAACTTTCGAGTCCTTTGAGACAAAAGACAGGTTTTTGACGTTTTTGATGATGTTTTTTTCTATAGTGAACATAAGAGGAGTCTCTCAGAAAAGCTTGAATTTCGAAGTTGATGAGTTATTCGAAAAGTTTCGCTGTTTATCTGCCAGGCTTTCAATGTGTCTTTTTATCCTACGAAGATTTGCTACTGCGTAAAGCTTTCAAGTCCACCAAAGTCACTCACTCCATAAATCAGATGTCTTTCCAGAAAATAATGAAAATTTCGAATTGAGTTGACCTAAAAAGTGTAAGTTCTTGATTACAGTTGTTCGATGAAAAATTTCGTCAGTTTTTTGATGAGTAAATTGTTATTGACTGACTGACTTCGATGGACTTTACACACTATGTTCAAAAATTCTACAAAAAGCTTACAAGTGTTTCGACTGTTTCGAAAAACTTTCAGCATTTTTTTGTCTTCTCCAACGGAACGCATTCAATAATTTAATTTAAAAAAACTAGAACTGAAAAACTTTGAAAAAGTCGTAAAAAGCTTCAGAAAAAAAAGTTTGAAATTTTTTTAAAATAAGAAGTTCAGCTTTTTTTTTTTTTCTCTTCATTTCTAATTACTGTGTTGAATTGGAAAAGACTCCGAAATGCAAAAAATACTCTAAAATTAAAACTACAGGAGCCTTGCAGATGAACTTTGAAAGAATTGTGAGATCTAGATTTCAAGAGCACTTTTTCAACAAGATACAAGTCTTTTATGTCCATTTCAATGGATCTGACGATCAAGTGTAGAGTTCGAGCTCAAGATGGCTCAGAATGAAGCTCAGAAGTTGTGTTGAGACAAAAGGAGCACGACCTCGCAAGACACTGTCAGGTGGCGCCCCGAACTCATTTCAAGAGGCTCATTGAACGGGTTGGTTTTTTTAATACATGCTTCTTCGTGAAATCTTAAAAAGCAAAAAAATTTGAAAAAAATAAAATGCAAAAAAATTTTTAAGAAAAAGTATTTGAAGAACTCTTGAAGAAGGTTCGAATCTAAGCTTCAAAATGAAAAAAACTACAGAGTTAAAAAGACTAGCAATAACCTCAGGATCCATTCAAACGGTACACTCCATGGATTTTTATTTAGCTAACTTTTTTTCGAAAAAAATAAAATGAGAATATCAAATTTTTCAGGCGCCTTTGGTTCGAAAAAAAGTCAGATGTTGAAACGTTCTTGGATTGAAATTTTCCGTGAAGCGACCGAATTCGGAGACCATGAGCCTACTGCAACTAAAATTCTCCTAATAATTAATAAAGTACTAGTTTTGACTTATAATCTTGAAAACGGAAAATAAAGAAGTGGAAATTTGGCGAAAATCTTTGAACTCACATCTTAAAAACACTCAACTCGCAAGGAAAACCTGAAGTTCTAAAAAAACTGAATCATAATAGAGATTCGAACCTTCGTCTCAGGTTTTCCAAACACGCTCCTGAACCACTAGACCAACCAGCCCTCTGATCATCTCTTTAGGAACTCGGGGATGATATCAGGTTGTGTACAAATAAACCCCGCCTTTTATCAATCATGAAAACTAAGAAAAAAAAAACTCAGCTAAAATTGTCTACCTGTAAAACCTCACAATCAGAGACTGTATTTCTGAAATTTTCGTCCAAATATTTGTAGAGCCGCTTGAAACTTCGCAAAACCAAATCGCACCACGTTTTTTTCATTGAAATGTAAAAAATTGAAAATTGAGAACTTTTTCCAAGAACTAACAAAAAAATTGTTCCTTTATTCCAAAAGGCTCTATAATTATTTCGACAACACTCATTCTTTGTGCAAAAAGCTTCAAAAAAACCAATCGATCTAGGAAAAAAATTTAAATTATAAAGCCTGAATCAATTTCCTAGATGTCTATGACCTAAGCTTTAAAAAGAACTTCACGAGATTTTTCGACTGAACTAGAAAAAATCGAATGAAAAATTCTAAAAAGTGACATTGCATTTTACTGCGCTCAAAGAAATCTATCTTTATGAATCTAAAGAGAATTAAAAAAATTGCAGCTGTTCAAAAAAAGCTAAAACTTTTTCTGGACCCGCTTCAATCCTTTCCCTGTCGTGACTTAACTTTGAAAAAAAAAAAGCTGGAAAAAGGCAAAGTTTATTCGTACACAAGCCAATTTACTAGACGCCACCTTCGAACTGACGAGCTTGGAAGGGAAGAAAGAGCCTCGCCCCACAGTAACCCCCCTCGACAGAGGAAAAGGCGCATGTATGCTCGGTTGAGACCGGCGAGAGAGCACGAGGATCGCGGAGAAGCCAGACTACAGCCCTCCGCTTTTTTGATGCTCTCTCCGACCTGAAAAAAGCCGAGGGATACAGCCGCCTTTTTCTCTGCGCAGCCACCGACCAAAGACGCCGGCAACATTCACCCCACGGACAACACATACCGACAAGGACATAAAAAGTTCCCTTTTCCTCGCGAAAGTTCAATTAACAACTTTTATTAAATTAAACCCTAGGATGATGTCGCACGAAGGTGATTGAAACTGAAACTAAACCAGAACCTCAAAAAAGGGCAGCAGTTTCTGGAAAAAAAAACGGGAAGAGTGAGCTTTCATTTTTACAAATTTCATCTATAAGAGATGAACAAATAAAAACATTGTCTGAAAAACTAATCTAAAAAAACTAAACGGACATGAAAACCTAATGCTAAAATAGGTGAGCAACGCGGTCGCGTAGCTGTCCCAAATAGTTTTCAAAACAATGTTTTGAAGCAGCTAAAGACTCGACCGGTTGACCCTAAAATACTAACCTTTTAAAACCACGAAAATGAGAGGGCAAAAAAATTGCATATAATTATAAACGACGGGAAGTGTAAATTACAAAAAAAAAAGTTATGATGGTTGACCGCGTTGCTTCTTGAGAACTGCGTTGAGATCTTCTACGAAAATGGGAACGGGGCTTCATGCGACATAATCCAGAAGAAAAAATGAAAAAGAACTGAAAATATTTATTAACTAAATTTCCGTTGAACTTTCGAGAAGAAAAAAATTTTTTTGAAGACGAGACACTTTTTTTCGTTGGGACACGTCATCATTAAAAATGCTATTGGGTGAAGAAAATGGAAAAAAAAATTTTGAAAATTTTAAAAATTTCATTCAAACGCTTCCCAGCGCAAAAAAGACACTGAACATCGATTTGTTACCGTCAAAAGTCGCCTCGTTGAAATCGTCGTCGAAGACGCGCCTTCTCTCCAGAATCCATCGATCCTCCGGCTACGGTGACGACGTCGCCAGCCTGAATAAAAATATTATTTCCATAATCGTATTTTAAGAAACACCTTATTAACGTCCTGATCGACCTTGTCTTCAGTTCAAACTTCCTCGCCAGGGCGTTTAAAAGCGCATTAGATGATTTAAAAGAAGTTTCGAAGCAAAAAGTAGTTTTTCGAGTAATTTTAGGTCACATGTTCCTTTAAACACCCCAAATAAGGAACTCCAAACAGGCGAGAGAACCCCCGGACGTCGATTTTTCTGGAAAAATGTCATGAGTATGAGAAAAAAAGTATGAGAAAAAAATGTGTTTGTATATATTAAATTTTTTTAAAAATGACGAAAATTAAATACAGCAAACATTAAAAAAACGAACAAGTTCTATGAATATATGCCATGTTAGAGGAAAAATTATATTGTTTAAAGTTTATTCCAAGTTTCAGGCCAAAAAAACGTCAAAATTAGTTACTAAAGTGCAAATTCTTTAAATGAAAGATCTAGATCGGCACCAACCTGAATAATGATGCTAAAAATTAAACATTTGTTCAAAATTCGAACGAAAAAATCTAGAAATTTCGTTAAAAATGAACTAAAACGCATAGAGTTCCTCTTTAAATACTAGTGGAGGTTAACATTCAAAAAAGCGACATTATAAATCAAAATGACAAATAAAATATTCAAAAAACAGCAACACCGTCCAGCAGGCACGGAAAAAGAAAGAATGACGCGGATTTGAAGGCGCCGAGCCTTTCGCGCCAGGACTGGAGATTCTTCTCGAGAGTCTGCCGCGTTGACCTCCGGAGTCAGGTCAAAACTTTTGACCGTAACAGACTCGCCATTTTGCACAGTTTTTCGTCGGACCTTTTTCTTATTCAATATTTTCTTTGCCTTTTCGCGTTTTTCAGTCAATAACACGTCAGGTCAAAACTTTAGCCCATATCAGACTCGCTATGTTTTATTTGATTCATCGAATTTCAGCTCTCGGAATGGCTTTGAAGTTCGCCAAATTTTAAAAAAAAACGCCAATCTCTCTGAATTGCTTATTGAAAAAAAAAATGTCCGTCTTTCTTGAGCAGAAGACTTTTTTCAAGGGACAATTGTATTCTGCTCCGAACATCAAGCTAGATATGCTCGTTTCAACAAAAGAAGGATGATTTTGAGAGGGCCGAAAGAAAGGCGGAAATGATGCTCAACTGGGACGTTCCCAACGGCGTCGCCCGACGGTCCTGGTCGGGAAATGAGAACGCGCGAGAGGCCATCGTCCGTGCTCAGCAGCAGGTTTCCTCCTCTTCTCCTTCCTTTTTTTTCCTTGCCTTCTGCCGAAATGCTTATCCATCCATTTCATCTTCAAGGTCCCGGAAATGCTCGTCACACTTCCGCATCGCTGCGACGACGCTCTGCTCGACGACCTTTTCTGACGACTTCTTCAAAAGAAACCTGCCCCCGTCTTCTCTAAAAATAATTGTTCATTTTTCTTCCATACATATACAAAAGACCGAAATACAAATATTAAAAGAAAAATCGTCGTGGTGTCATTGAACGAGAAGATGCTCCGGCCATTTCACAAACGCATAGCAGAAAAAATCATCAAAAGTGTTTGTTCAAAAGTAACAAATGTGGTTAAATGGAAGAGCGTTGGATGAAGAGAGTCATAACACAAGTTCTTTGTTGCAAAAAGAGTGCGAGTGAAGAATGGCGATAGATTGATTAATTTAATAATAAGAGCTAAAAGTTTACAAGTAAAACGTTTAGAAGAAAAGTCCATTCTCCACTCACACCTCGATGCAAATAAGTTAGGTTTTTTTTTGTCTTTTTGAACATCGTGCAACTCTCAGCGGGGTTGAACACGTTTGCAGAAAGCAGCCAATACAAAAAAAATTAATAAAAGAAAACATTGCGTTCATCATAATACCAATATATAAGAGAAGAAACAAATCATGATAAAGTCGATTAATTTAGAGCAAAAAATGGGTGGTGAAGAAAAAATATGTATAATATTAAAAAGGAGGAGAAAAATAGCAAGTGCATGATGATACGGATGAAAATTGTAGGAAAAAAAAAAATCAAATTCAAAAAAAAAAGCGCATGCTTTATCTCGAGGAATAATCTAATCAAATGTGAATGTTGTGGGGGGATCGCGAGAACGCAAAATCAACGAATGAATGATGACAAAAATGATGATGATGATAACTTTGTTGTTGTTGTTGTTTCAAAATCCATAGTCGAGTAGGCATTCACACAAATCGATGGGTTTACAGGATCATGCATTTGCTCTTCTTCTTCTTCTTTTGTTGCAGAGCAGCTTGGGTAGCCTTTTCAAAAACCTGCAAAATTGGATTGATTTGGAACGTTTCTTTTTTTGTTGGCAATTTACTTCACGAATTCCGTCCTTCGTCTTTGCTGAGCACTCCAAATAGGCGAAAGCGCCAATTTGTTCGGCGATCGCTCGTCCTTGCTCAGGCTTCACGGGCTCCTAAACCGATGAATTCCCATCAAAATGTCCAAAAATGTCACAAGAACCAACCTGCTTCATCTTGGCCAGTTCTCTGACTGTCTGGGGGTCGTTTCGCAGGTCCTTCTTGTTGCCGACGAGGATGATCGGAACGTTGGGGCAGAAATGCCTGACCTAAAGTTTGAAAAATTATTTTTTATGAGTAGGAAATAATGATTTTCCAACCTCTGGGGTCCATTTTTCTGGTATATTTTCAAGCGAATCCGGTGAATCGATCGAGAAGCACATGAGGATCACGTCAGTGTCTGGGTAGGAGAGCGGACGAAGACGATCGTAATCTTCTTGTCCGGCCGTATCCCAAAGAGCCAGCTCCACCTGCAAAAATCAATCATTTGAAAAGATAAATCATGATGTTTAGATTATGGTTCAAATCTTGTTTAAAAAATTCCTTTCCCTAAAAAACGGTAATTTTATCATTTTCACTGTTTTAACGGAAAAAAAAATGTTCGGGGTACCGGTTTAACAAAAGAAAGGAAAATATCTAAAACACAAAATCAAAAGAACTTTCCCTTGAATTTGAAGTTTTTTTCTCTTTTTCAGTTCCAAAAAACTTCTTCGCAAAAATTCACAATGTTTTTATTGAACACGCCACATAAATTATTTTTTTAATTACACTTTTTTTAATTGAAAAACTCGAGTCATCATCATTATCTTGTTGTTTTTCCGCACTAGTCTCGTGCATTTACAAGAAGCTAAAAAAACAGTATGAAATCATGATCGAATTAATTTTTTTATTTTTCATCGTTTTTGCTATTGCTTTTTGCGAAATTCAGAAAAAAACAATGAAAGAAACTTTTTTTCATCGTTTAATTAAACTGGTTTCGAAAAAAACTAAAATTCGAAAAAAATACTTAAAAAAACTGATCATTTTTCTGTTGTAACAAAAATTCCATCTTTGCTCGATTAAAACTTTATTCTTGAGCTCAAAATAAAATAAAGATTACGTTCTCGATCTTGAGCATAGTTTCATTTTTTTGGATTCAACAAAAAAATCATCGTGAAATTTCGCGCTTTAAAAAAACAAGTTCAAAGTTTTCTTTTTGTCAAAAAAAGCTTCTTGATTTCTTCTTATCAAAACTTTCCTTTGAAAAAAAAATTTTTTTCTTCGTAAATATTTTTTTCCAAATCAATTGCAGTTTCCAAACATAATTCAATAATCCTGAACTTTCTCAACAAACAATTTCAAAAGTTCAATCATGACTCATGGGAAAAACGAATGTTTACACAGCGAATTGAACAAGTTTCTCACCAAAAATTTCGATTTTTCAAGTTGAGAAAAAAAAAATTAACCTGCTTTCCATCGACTTCAATATCGGCGACATAGTTTTCGAATACAGTCGGGACGTAGACGTCCGGGAACTGATCCTTGCTGAAGACGATCAGGAGGCAAGTTTTACCACAAGCACCATCGCCGACGATAACAAGCTAAAAATCAACCTAATAATTTTTTCATTCCTTCAAACTAAAACCTTCTTCCTAATTGCAGCCATGTATTCAGACGAGGGAACACCCGTAGAGCCCTGAAAGGCCAAAAATTAAGTTATTCATTGGGTTGAACGGAGAACGACAAAAAAAAAGAGCACGACTTTTGGAAATTCAAGTTTCAGGAGTATTTTGAAAAAAAAAAAACGTAAAAAGTAGAATAGGGCCACGAAACGCCAGAAAAAATGTATTTCCCGCATTGGATGAGTAATCAGACTAAAAGCGTGACCAATGCGTGTACAAAACCAAATTATTTCCACAGAAATGTAGTTACTTTAACACACAAAGCAGCTTTTTTGAAATGAGCTTGGCCTAAATTGAAATGAAAGAGGTTTTTCGCTGTGAGGCCTCTATTCAATTTGCTAATGCTCCTTCAAAAATCTTATGACGATGTCAAAAAAGGTTTCAAACAAAGCGTAATCTAATAATTTCATACAACTATCACAGCGAGTAGCCATTTACAAGTTAATTCTGAATTATATAAAAAAATGTTAGACGATTTTTGCAAGCTTTTTCCATACAGAACAGTCCAAAAACTTGAATATTTGAAAAAATTTGGGGTTATAATTATCTGCTACTAATAATAATAATCAAAAAATAAATCTTTCCCTTAAGAAAACTGGAATCAACAAAATACTATTTCAAAACCATGGATCAAACATCTGCGTTTGATTCATAAGCTACTCTGATTTTCGCAACAGTTTCTGATGAAACTTCTGGTATATTCTTTGAATTTCGAGACAAGCTGGCAAGAAACCGAGTTGGAAAGAGGAAAATTGTGGATCGAAATAAATAACTGACATCACCAAGCGGCGGGGGAAAAAGTTCATTAAAGTGTTTTCGTCGTTGTGTGGAAATTAAAGCACCATTATAGACTATAGTGAACGGGAAGGCAAAAAAAAAAAAACAACAGAAAAGAAAGGAGAAGAATTGGAATTTTCTGTTTCAAATTGAAGGCCAGTAGTCCAGCCAGCAATTCGGCGCTTCTTCTTCTCCTTCTTCTGCTGCGCTCCTTCGCCGGCGTTCGCATAATCAATTGCATTTGTCAACGAGCAGGCGACTCATCTCTCGCCTTGCCCTCCCTCGCCATTGTTCCTTTTTGCCTCCCCTCCTCTCGCGTCCTTCTCTGCCTCGACACCAACACCACTTTAAATCGTCCTATTTCGAAATGCAGCCGCAGCACAGCACACAGCCATAAAACCCACGGTTCTTTTTCGCATTTTCCCCTCCATCAAATAGCCTTCGCACCATCATATGTTTTAAGCCCGAATAATAACGCCTTAATAAGCCTCAATATCTCACCGAATTCACACCATAGGTTGAATAATCGTGTCCGGAGAGCACGAAAAAAAAAACAAATAAAACGGCTTGGGAAAATTTATACGCTATCTACCGCTGGCTTATCGCGTGTTCAATGTATATATGAGTTTGAAGAAAAAAAATGAGTCAAAACGAAAGAAAAATATTTTTGGGCAGTTTCATACTCTCAGACACATCATCAATCCAGAAACGTTTCCTTGTGATAAAAGCGGCAGAAAAAAATGGTCGTGGGAAACTAATCGTATTTTTCAACGCAATCTATGACTAACTCATTTTTTGAAATTTATTTTTCAACTCATATTGAACACAAACGGTGACTGATCGAGAAAAAAAAATTGAGCTAAAGAAAACCCATGCGTTCAACAACTAAAGACGCCATGATTGCACGCCAGAAAAAAAAATTCTATGCGCAATATAGCGACGTTTCGTTCCAAGCCAAAGGTTAACATAGTATACTTACTTTAAATTCAATATGTACCTACAAACGATTAAAGTGATCTACAATAGGTATGACTGCTAAAATCTTTAAAAAAAGATTCTTCAAACTTAAACAGCAAAAAAATTGAACAACCTTTTCCAGGTATGTTTCGAAATTTCAAATCAATGCAACGCCTTCAAGAAATATGAGAGAAATGGAAGACGCTATGTCGCAGCCAGCGATTATTTTCACCGTATCATGTTACAAATGGGGCAACGATGACTATATTTGCATAATACTCAATGCGCAAAAAGGGGAAAAATCGTCGTGGCATTTTGAAACGCTGCAACAAGGAAATTTCCGTTTTCAAAACTGTTATTGGCAGTAAAAAGGCGTGCCGAGGGGATATAAAATTGTGGGTTTGGGGGAAAGCCTGCACATGGGAAACTGAAGCCATGGAAACCATAAAAAAAGACTGAAAATAAAAATTCTGTCCGACCGGCCGCATTGATTACAGGTGGGGGACGCTGAGTCAAGTGATTCAATACATCGTATGTTAGGCAAAAGATGGCGGAGAGCGCAGTGCAAACATACGAGAACGGAAAGAGGGGGATGAGAGATATCTACTGATCTGAGATATGGGAGCGCGCGAGGCCGCCGTCGCCTGCGGAAAAGTAACGGTGAAAACATTTTTCGGAGATAAGGCTCGGAACGTCTTTTAGGTTGCAAGGAATGCATCTATACTCTTCCAGGTTAACCGGTCATAGTAAGAAAAAAAAATAATATAGTTAAAATCAGTTGCTTTACTACGCCGGTGATTGCAGTAATCAACAAAAATGCTGTCGTGAACGGGAAAACATTCGTAACATTCGTTGTCTCTCATACTAAGAAGTTGCCAATTAAAATTTCGACTTGTGGCTAAATAAACTTATAACATATTTTCTGAAAAACGAAAACAAAAAATTAAACGAAAAATTCAGGATACTATCAAAATAATTTCAATCACTTCAAACGATAACTAAAACATTTGTCATCTTTGACAGCGAACTTTTCATATTCTTCCGAAAAGATATCCTTCGTAGAATTTTTTAACAAAAGAAAAAAATCTCCACTTATTCTTTTGAAAATGATATTCGGACGATTCGAACTTATTTTTGGAGCGGAATGCGAAAAATACTTCACAAAAAATTTTTGAGTACGACTAAATAAATCATCGTCTTTAAAGACGAAAAAACGCAAAAAAATTAGTTTCCAGACTCGAACCCTAAAAGAACTGTAGATCAACTGTATTGTAACTTTTTCTTTCACTGAACCGCGCCTGTTCTATACCGATATGAAATTTTTCTATTTTCGTCAGTTTTGATGCACACGGCTGATGTAATATCTGAAAAGTAAAAAAAGGCATTTCCAGCGAGAGCGGAATTTTCCGGAAAAAATAGAATTTCAGATTAGAGGTAATTTGCATTGATTACGAAACAATTACGGAGCCGTTCACGGGCCTTGTCTGAGGCAGAAAAAAACTCTTTGAAGTCCAGTTTTTGCAGTGAATCAGAATTCAGACATTGCCATGAAATTTTAGCGTAGGAAACCAAAAAATTGACTTATAAAAAATATAATTGTGTTATATTTTAGGATAGTCTGTCTACAATTTCATAATGTTTTCCATGACTACTCACCAAGCAAAAAGGCATTCAAAATGAAACAAAGTTTTACGCATTTATAAAACGGTTAAAAACCAATGAAAATAGTCCGTGACGGGCTCGCGACTCTTCAAGGAATTCACAACCTGAAAAGTGCATTAAAAACGTAGAAAAAGTCCAGTGAAACAAAAAAACAAGTCGACGTTGCGTGGATTTTGAAATCGGAAAAAAAAACAAGCGAGCCGCAACGCGAGCTCCAGCGACGCGGTCATCTCTTCGTTGCAAAGCGTTCCTCTCCACATTTCCTATGCGCCTTCCCTGTGCTCCTCCTTTCTGCGCCGTTCTTTTGCAAATTCTCATCTTTTTGTACAATTTCTTTAACCAGTGGTAATTTAACCTGAGTATTGAAAACCTGAGCTATGGGGACAGAATTAAGTACATTACAAGACCTGAATCGGCAATGGAAGGCATAGGAAAAACGAAAAAAGTAAGAACAATGCTATATTTCTCTCTTTGAACAATCGTGTCGGCAAACTGTTTTGCTAGGTGGGCGGTATAATGTTTTGGGAACAAAAAAAGGGAAAAAGAAGACGAGGGGAGAGAAAAAAGCGAGAAAGAATTTCGCAAACACTCGAAGAAATAGGGGGTGAGGGAGGCGAAAAAAGAAGAAAAAAAAAGAAACGAAATCAATACGCGTAGAGGAAGACGAGGCGAATGAGAAAGACGGAGCCGGAGAGGGGCAAAGGCTGATTAGGAAACGAAAAAGCGCTGTCGGCGAGGATCTTTCCTTCTCCTCAGTAGGAATTGGTGGAGCTCGCCGCACTAATGGACGCCATGCTGATGTTGTTCATCGCCACAGTGCATCGGAGCTCGTGCAGCTCCATTTGGAGGTGGTGGACTTGCTGTCGGAGTCGGAAGTTCTCCTGAATATTTATTTTATAAAATTTGCGGTGTTCAATTAAATTAAAATTACAATCTTTATTTTCAGGATATATATATATATATCTAGATGCTCAAGAGCATTCAAAAATGCGGAAGCTCTGAATGGACTAAGGTCATCGAAAATACGAAAAACGGTTTTTTTGTCAAAAACTTTCTTGTAAAGAGTTCAATCGTCCTCTAATTTCTGGGGTTGTGAAGAATGTTATTTTCAACACTATGGCAAAAGTTTTAGTTCGCACAAAAAGAAAGGCAGCTTACAAAGTTTCAGAGTGATCCAGCTAAATATAAGGAAATTATTAGCAAAATTTATTAAGGTATCTTTTCTGACAGTATTGTAACACGGAGAACTGCTCTTCGCCCTCTGGAAAGTAGAACAGTCTTTGATACCCTATTAAAGTCTTTCCGTAGTTATAGTCCATTCGAATCAACTTTCAGAGTTGTTTGAACCCCAGAAGACTTAATATAACAATGAAAATGGCTCTTCGCTTCAAGACCATACGAATTTTGTCTATACTTCTTCAAAAAGCAGTTTTCAAGAATTCGAATCTTTTTTTTTTTAATTTTCACAAAGGAGCATAAAAATAGCTATCTGTGTTGTTTTAGTTCATATAGGACTTTAAGAAGCATTTTTTGAACATAAAGTAGTACTTTTACAGCTCGAAAGTCAATAAAAAAGCGTTATTTCCTGCTTGTTTTGACACAAATCAGTAGCTAGCCGACACTTCTCAAAAACAATGAACGGGCCAACAAAAAAACAATTCGATTTCCTTCCAAAAAGCTTCATCATTCCGATCCAAACCAGCTCCATCAAACTTGTTGTTTGCCGGCGGCCGCAGCGGCGAAAAAACTTTGATGAGTCATTTTGGTTTTTACTTTTTTTTTTCTCTTCTTTTATCGGAAAATAAAATAGAAGAGAATGGTGAGAACGCGCCGGTTAAAGTGTGCTCTATGATCATTTTTCGAGTTTTTATTCTAAGTTTCTGATATAAATTATTCGATACGAAGTTGAAACAGTCTGACCTGTTTGCGCTCTCTTTCCTCTCACCGACAGAGTCATAAAAACATGCTCATTTGAGTCTACTTATTATAAAAAAATCATTCTTCGATTTTGTTTTCATAAAAAACAAGCTGAAAGAATCTCAAGAAAAAAAAAAATCATTTCTAAGTTTCAAGTATTACGTCTTCGATTTCCATGGAGCACACTTGTCCATGGAGCACACGACACAGGCGGCTATTTTCTTCAAGCTTATTTTTCGTTTCTAGGATTATTTATTCACGGCTTTTTATTGAGTACGACTTTTTTTTTTTGAGATATTGGTCTGAGAAGGGAGGACATTTTACTTTGCAGTTGGGATCTTCCTGAAAATTCGTCAGAACACTCCTTGATTAAGTAGATTCTGAAATTCTCAACCTGCACAACTTCCTAGTTTTCAAGAAATAAGGGCTCAAGGCTCAAAAATAGCCCGTTTTAACGAATTTTAAGGGTTTTCTTACACTTTGAAATGTCCTTTCTCGAAAAATGGAAAGTTGTGCAGCTTGAAGCTTCTAGAACCTTCTTCTGGTACACCAAGGAGTGTTCTGGCCAATTTTCAGGGAATTCCCAAAAGTAAAATGACCTCCCTTGCGGGTCACCTTTTTAAACTTTTCTATCCGAGCCTCTTTTCCAGGTAAATTTTGCAGGATCAACTCTTTCAAGCTATTCTATCAAAGGCTAATTCTAGGCCGTTTTTTTCAACGTAGTTTGGTAAGATGACCTTCTCAAAACGATTCTATCCGAGCCTTTTTTCAAGGTTAACTTCATGGGATCATCTTTTGAAATCTATGTTATCAGAAGCTTTTCCCTCACAAGGAAAGTCATTTGACCTTGCGTTTGGAAATCCTTTGGCCGAAATACTCTTTAACGTACTAGAAATATATTCTGAAAGTTTCAGCCTGCACAACTCCTGGGTTTTCGAGAATGAGGGCTCAAAGCCACAAATCGGCCTATTTTAACGGATTTTGAGGGTTTTTTTCGACCTGGAGGTGTCCTTTCTCAGAAATTAGGAATTTTGAAACTTTCAGAATCGTCTTCTGGTACATCACGAAGCGTTCTGACCGATTTTCAGGAAACCGCAAAGTAAAATGACCTTCCTTGTCATATCTTTTTCCAGGCCTATTTTTGACGGCTATCTTTCTTCGACCCACCCTTTGAGACTCCTCGAGTCGCTTGCTCGTCGTTTCTTCTTTCCATCGACGAGCCTCGCGCGACTTCCTGGCCGCCTCGTTGTTCCGTCGCCGACGCTCTCGGTAGTTCTGAATGTGTTCGTCGGCTTTGTGTTGCTTCGTTTGGCTTTGGGGTACAAAGAAGAAGGAGCAGAAAAAGAAGGGAATATAATTCGAAGATTCCAGCGACAACTTGCCGGGGTGTTTAAGAAAATGAAATTTTTTTTGGAACTTTGATTAATTTTTAAAGTTCCGGCTCTTTTTTTAAAACCTTGGCTGTCTCCTGGCTGAATTTTTAAAAAAAGTTGAAGTATATAATTGAAAATCGTAAAGCTATAGTTCTTTCACCGCCGACTTGACGAGATTTCACTTAACTCTTCACCAGATCAGCGAAATAGTGTGCAAAAAGAAGAGATTTAGACTTCTCTACCGTGATTTTTGTAGCGGAGTTTTTTCAATCAGATGACTTTCATTCGCCTCTCACTGTCTCAAGATGACAGAAAGAAAGAAATGAAATTTTTTCGAAACAGGAAAGTTGGCCTAAAATGTTTCCGTACATTAAAATCACATCGAAAATTTAAATTTGAATCTAGAAGTCATGGACTTTTGCAATTTCACTATTTTCGTTTAAAATCAAAACAAAAACCGCTCAAAATCATTTTTTTAGGCGTACTAGTCTCGAAAAATCTTAGGCTACTGTAAAACTCTCTCCTTTTTGCCCGCTATTTCGCTACTGTATCCTAGATAAATTTCGCAAACTTTGATAGATTCTACGAAACTCTTGTCAGGAATAATCACAAAAACTCGAAAAGAAGAATAGATTTCACTAGGGAACTTAGAGAAAAAAGTTTTTTTTTCTTGAAAAAATTCGTTACCTCATCTTTCTGCTCATCAGGCACAGGTTGGGGCTTCTTTTTCGAGGGACATGGGGATTCTCTCGCGGATTGCATTCCGGTGAACGAGGACATGTGATGGGCGAACAGCGGGTGGAACTGGAGCATCTGAAAAATCACAAATTATGATTTTTCTTTCGATAATCATAGATTTTATTCTTCTTTCACAAAGTCCAAAGAAGCTCTTCAGCCAGAAAACTTGAAAACACATATTTTTTTTTTTGATTTTCCTTACAGATCGTAAACTCCTTTCTGAAGATTTCAAAGATAGGAAAAACTCAAATATTACCGAAATTCCAACCCGACCAACCAGCTTTTCAAAAGCTGCTTTTTTGGGTAAAAAAATATCAATCTAGTACTAAAATAGGTCTTGTAGTTTTCTGAATACATGGGCAAACCATTTTTAAAGGCCCCCAACCCCTTCCCCAGGTCTTAAAATTTAAATCAGTACCACCTCCTGAGGTTGAAATTACCCTTTATTCTGTCAAAACGACTTTCCTGAGATTGAAAAATAGACCTCATCCCTGTTTTTTTTTTTGTATTTTCCCTAAGACAGCCTTTTCTCTTGAACTTTCTGTGTGCTCTATTAGTCTAATTACGGTTTTACTAAACATCGAAAAACTTGTTTTCGAAAATGGCGTAAAGTAAGACCTTCTCGTCCTTGGGGTACTGCTGGTACTGCTCGAAGTTCCACATCTGGCTCATCGCCTTGATGTGCTGCGGATCGTAAAGGCCCGAGGCGATGTGCTGGTGAATCTCCGCCGCCATCTCGCCGCTCTCTTTCATACAGGCTCTCAATCTTGGTCTGAAAAAAGGATTCGTTGAGCTGATTGATGAAAAATCAATAATTTCTGTGGAAAGAATTAATCTTCAAATATTGATGAGAAACTTGATAGAAAATCGAGTAATCAATCAAAAAATGCAAGTACAGGAAAAGCAAGGTTACATTGGGAAATTAAAAAGATGATAAAAGTCGGGAATTTTTTAAAAATGAGGTAAGGTATCTTTAAAAATTTTCTACACTTAGAAAAGCTTTATTAAAATCAGGTTTTTTGAGACTTATCATTCTGATGATGAGATTATCCTTATACCTTATCCAAAAAACCTTTTTGAGCAAGAAAACAAGAAAAAGAATGGTCTTCTCCACTGTTACAGTCAATCACCAGACCACAAAAAACGTTAAAAATCAGTGTAATTTCAATAAAAGGGTCCTGGAATGAGCAGCAAGAAATTTAACTAGACAGTGAAGAAACAAGGTGGAAAAAAATCAGCTATAAGTCCGCTGCGAACTTTTTTTAAAAAAATCAAAAAAACTGGTATTTTTTTAAAAGGATTTTTTTGAACTACGATTCATTTATTTATTCATTTATTTATTTATTTATTATTGATAATCAAAATCTACCTTCTAAAGTCCGATGATTTTTTTCGAAAGAAGTCACAAAATGGGGAAAAAAATAGACTTACGGTATAAATACACGATTTTTTTAATTTTTTTGGTCAGTTTACGGTTGTTTTTTTCAATATCTTCGAGACAAGCTGAAAAATCCGCCAAAAAAACAGGATAAAATCCGAAAACACTGTAGAAAATCAGCAAGTCTAAGTTCTCTACAAAAATAGGATTTTTTCAAGAATTCATGCTATAATTTAACAAATCAGGAGAAAAAACAAAAAAAACAGAGACTACAGTAATCAGACAGCTAGGTCTTGGGGTATCCTAAGAAAAAGGTGCCTGGAAATGGGGGGCTGAGTTCGGAGCCGCAGAGGACGGCGGTGACCCGAAGATCGGCGGCCTCTTTGACGGCACAAGGTATGCGCAACCGACCGTCTTGCGTCACACCCGTGTGCTCCCAAACAACTAACGAGCTAACGAGCTCATAAAGCAAGGTGTGCTTGTTCATTGTTCAATTTATTAGGTTTTTTTTTTCAAAGGTCTATGTGAAGTCTAAGGATCCTAATAGACCACTACAGTGACCATTCAGGTTATAAGTTGGTAGTGAGCTTTTAAAGCAAGGTGTGCGTGTTCATTATTCACTATATTAGGCTGAAATTAAAGGTTTTCAAAAGTCGAGGTACAGTCTAAGGTCCCTAATAAATCAAGACAGTAGCTACTTGGAATAAGGTATGTGCTGGTGTTGGGATCATAAAAAAAAAGCTGTTTTGTTAACTATACCGTTTGTTAGATCGAAACTCGAGGTCTTCAATGGTCCATATAAAGGTCACGGTCCCTAGAAAATCACTATAGCGACCACTTAGATTAAAAACTGCTGCCGGACTCATGAAACTAGCTATTTTGTTCACTATACCGTTTATTAGAACGAATTTCAAGGTTTTAAAAGGTCTAAGTGAAGTCTAAGGGTCCTAATAAATCACTATAGTGACCACTCAGGTGATAAGCTGGTGATGAACTCAAAAAGCAAGGTGTTCATGTTCATTATTCACTTTATTAGAACGAACTTAAAGGCTTTCAAAGGTCTAGACAAAGCCCAAGGTTACTAATAAATCACTACAGTGAGCACTCAAATTACAAGCTAGTGCCTGGCTCAATAGGTTTAGTCCAAAGCTTTCGAAATTCAACTTTACGTCTGTTTTTGTTAGACCCCTAAAGGTGCCACTTGGAAAAAGCGGATAGCCGACCTTGTACAACTCCATCCTGTGCAACAGGACGCCACTCCGCTCAAGTCGCTTCTGGTCGGGCGCAATAGTTTGAAGTCATCAGAAAATGCAACTTGAAACTTTGCGTCATTTGGAGTGTCGTTCTTAAAAGTTCGTACTATGAATTTATACCATGAAATCGTGTTTTTTCTCAACTTTTTCAAATCCTCACCCTTTTTCATGAAGAAGGGTCATTTTTTATAACAAATTATGTGGTCCGATACCCAGCTTTATCCTACTGAATCAGTGTAAATTTCGTTAAAGGTCTGACGTCACAAACTAACGACGTTCCCCAATTAGGAGAGGGAAACAAATTTGTTTGCGTGCCAATGCCACATTTTTTTTTTCATTTCTGAAGAATGGCTGGGAGAAGGCCTTGTAGTGCAAAAACTCTGTTGGAGGGTTGATGGATGTGGAAAAAAAAAACAACAAAAATCCCAGTTTTTCAGGGAGTTTCAGGCAAAAGCAAGAGAGAAATTGCGACAAAAAATTTTTTTCAGACCAAATTTTTTGGTTACTAGAATCGAAAAAGGTTATATACAATTTTTTTTTTGATGTTTTGAGACAAAGTTAATCGAAAATTCAAAAAAATGCTCCTAATTCATAGGCTATTCCAAGTTCCAACACTCCAAATGACTCTGAAGTTTTCCCACAGCTGTCTGAGCTTCACACGATCCGCGAGATAGTGTGCAGAAAGGAGAGTTTCTGAAGTTCTTATCCCAAGCCAGCTGTAAATGATGAAGTATTGATTGGGATTGAAAGTTTGAACTTTTATATCTGATTCACGACTGGCTTGAGTAATCGAAAAAAGGGTCCTGACACGAAAAAAAAGAGACAGTGCCTGGTTGGTGGAGAGCGCAGACACCTTTTTTCGTTACTACAGTATCCCCGTTTTTTTTTGATTTCGGGTAGATCATTTTTGTAAAATAAATTGATGAAATTAGCTTCAGAGCGCATTTTCAGCGTGTTTTTTCGCTCTTATTTGACACTGTTTTTTCAAAAAACTGCATTTCTTTTACTCATAAAATCCTGCACCTTAAAAAATAGATTTAAAATATTCTCAAAAAAACTTTCAATTTTCAAAAAAAAGGCGCGGCACGATTAGGTGAGCATAAGGGGGGACTCGGCTGGTTGCGCAAGTCCGCTTAGCGCTTTATTTTGGAGCCGCCGAAAGACTCGGGTTTCCTTTTCCCGCCATCTGTAGAGTTCTCAAGAACCGGGGACGGCTGGTGTCCTCGTGGGCCGCCAAATACCGATTTACAGCCGAGTAGCCACAAAAACTTGTCGGCGACTCGCTTAGCGGAGGCTCCTCCAATTAGCTCGACTGGTCGTAAAAAAATCAGGTGGTTAGCGGAGGCCTTGGAGAGTTTGATCGTTGTATCGTCTGATGGAAAGGTAACAGAAAATACCGGAAAATGAGCATGAAAGTTCGCCCTACAGCTAATTATTTTTTTTTCTTGAAATAAAAACGATATGGTCGATTTTTAACACCGTGATCTGAACTACCGTAGTGCAAATATAGGAGAAAAATTCTTTCGATGTTTTCGGAAAATGTCCCATATCAAAAATCGGAATTTCTATCTACACCTCCGACTTGGAATAAGAATTCTCCATAAATGTCTGAAACTCTCATTCTTGTACAATATTTTTCTAATCTTACGTATCTTATCTCCAAGCGTGAAGAAAAATAGACGTCATTTGGAGTGACGGAATTGAAAATAATCTATGAATCTTAAAGGTTCCTATAAACCCGCGAAAATAACGACAAGACTCATAAAATCAAGCAATTTCGGAAATTACGCTTATCATTTCTCTAGTTCTCTTTTTACGAACTCCTTTTTTAAGATAAAATTCTAATTCTTTATTTCTCTCTACTGACCCGAAGCAATATCTACATACAAATATGGGACAAGAAGCATGCAAAATATCGTCGAAAGTTGCAAGTTTCTCATGCTCAAGACGAGGCAAGCGTCTGTTTCTGTGTCAAGTTCCAATAGGCGCCACGGAGGCTCATCAGTTCGGCGTGGGTTCCTGGAAAGTGACATGCAAGATCGAGCATTCAGAGATCCTATGAATTCTGAAAAGATACCTTTCTCGATAGCCTTTCCATTATGAACGACGACGATGCAATTCGAATTCACAACGGTTGAGAGTCGATGAGCCACGACAATACAAGTTCTGCCTTGGGAAGCGGCGTCAAGGGCCGCTTGGACCAACTGGAAGAGTTCAGATTACCATATTTTAGTAATTCCAGGAGACCTTCTCGCTCTCCGTGTCCAGAGCCGACGTCGCCTCATCCAGAAGTAGAATCCGCGGATTTCGGATTAGGGCTCTGGCGATGGCGATTCTCTGCTTCTGACCTCCGGACAGCTGAGTTCCCTTCTCTCCGACGCGAGTATCGTACCCCTAAAGTGGAAACTCTCCATGGCATTCCCTCCCTAAAATACCTCGGGGAGTTCGGACACGAACTTGTGGATGTTGGCCTTCATGGCGGCGTCCAAAATCTGGGCCTCGGTGTATGAACCCGGTTCGAGTCCGTACACAATGTTGCTACGGATGCTGGTGTCGAAAAGCGTCGGCTCTTGAGAAACCAAGGCGATGTGCGACCTCAGATGCGTCGGATTCATCTCCCTGATATCCTCTCCGTCGAGATTCTAGGTTCATCCTCTGTTAGAATCATTTTCAGAGCTTTTCTTACCACATGACCGTCCAGAGGGTCATAAAGCCTTTCCAAAAGAGAAATGACTGTAGATTTTCCGCATCCACTAGAACCTACCAAGGCTAGAGTTTCGCCAGGTCTCACCTGAAGAAATAATTGAATACAGGTTTAAATTTGAGGTTTTCACTTCGATATTCAAGCCACCGAGGACCAAGACACTCGGCCTTTCCGGATATTTGAAGAAGACGTTGTCAAAGTGAACACGTCCGGTTATGGCCGGTCTTTTTCCGTTTTTCGACATGTTGTCGATCCTTGGCTTTTTCTTCAGCATATTGAAGATCAAGCCAGCGGCGACAGTGGCTTTTGTGTACTCCGTGAAGTAGGAACTCGTGTAACCCATAGAACCAGCTGTGAAGGAAATGGCGAATAGAACTCTTGAAAAATAGTATTTTTTGGGGTTTGTTGTTGATATCGAACTTGAGCATGTCGAATGGGAGCATGTGGCAGGTCTGGACCAGCCATAGACCGAAACGGAACGAGGCGGCAAAAAGGAAGAAGAAAATTGAGGCAGAAAATCCATAGCCAAGGCCCTAAAAATTCGAAAACTGATGATTTTCCAAACTATAAGCTAGGTGCCTGGAAGCACCCAATCTGACAAAATGCCAAGAAATCGAACCTTATAAGTTTATTTTGGCCTCATTTCGAAACAAATTGGTATTGGAACTATATAAAAACGAAGCAGAATAATGGTACGGCTCAAACTTTTTCGATCATTCACTGCACCCGACTTTAAACTACTTTCGCGTAGCTGCTTCAAAATTCTTTTTAAAAATTGAGGACGACTTTTGGCTTTTAAAAAACTTGACAGTACATTTCAATATTTAGCAAACCGTGTGGAGACTGAAAATCGAAATTTCAATCAATACTTGTTATAAAATATTCTTCCATCTTTTTATCCCTTATCCTGAAACTCCTGCAGCTCTCTTAAGTCCTCAAGAAACGACCATACACATTTTAAAACTGCATTTTACAGAACAGGCTTATTTTTTAAAGGACCTTTTTCGCTTTTTTTTTTATACACTCTTATTTTTTTTTAAACTTGAAACCACATAAAGAGCAAAACAACGAACAGCGTAGACATGACGACGATTGGCAGCCTTCTGAGCCAAGTTGAGGCTTTCGCAGAACGACTGGTACATGGTCGGCTGCAAGGTCAACGCCTGGACGGTGCGCACGTGTTCGATGGCTTCGATCGCGATTTTGCCGCCGTTTTCCATCTCCTTGGGGTCCAAGGAAGAGTTTCCGGACATGTAGCGCATCTGGAGCGTCTGGCCAATCACGCCAAGTGGAAAGATGGACATGCACTGAAGAAAAATACCTTGTTGCTTGTGAAATGGGAAGAAAAAATCACCATAAGCGCCATTTCCCAGCCAAAGTAGATTCCGATTCCGATGCCGACGATCAAGGAAAAAGTGGAGGCAAATACAGAACCGAACCGATTGTCGATGGCGGCTCTTAAGTGAGAAAATAATAGTTTTGAAGAAAGTATTCATAACTCTCTGACATTTCTGCGCTCTCTTTTCTTTAAGGGAAGAGGGGATAGAAACTTGGAAAGATCACGTTGAAATGAGAGAGTCGGCAAAAGGAGGAAGGAGAGCGCAGAGAAACCAGAACTTTCAAAGCTAGCGGCATTAGAGAGGTCTTGGAAGAGCTCGCGAAGCGATACTTCAGAATTCAGTGTTTTTATCGCGACCGACCGAAAAATGTTTGCGCGTGGCGGCATATTTCCTTCGATAGAAACATGGAAAAAGCAAGTTAAAAGGAGGGAGTAGGCAAGAGACAAAAGGAAAGCGATGAAATCAGAAATTTTCCAAACTAACGATATTTAATAGGTTCTAAAGGCTCACGAAACCAAACTTCAGAGTTCACTGTTTTTATTGCGCCCGACGGAAAACTGTTGGAAAAATTGTGCGTGGCGTCATATTTCATTGGATAGAAACATGGAAAGAGCACGAGAAAATGAAAGAGTCGGCCAGAAAAAACAGATTTTCCAAAGCTAGCGGCAGTAGAAAGGTCTTAATAGGGCTCGCAAGGATATTCTTGAGATAATCGATGTTTTATCGCGCCCGACTGAAAACTGCTTGCGCGCGGCGGCATATTTAATTGTGGTGGAAAGAAAAGCCTCTGAAAGTCGGTCGCAACATTATAATAAGGTTTTTTCTTCACAAAATCATCGTTTTGAGCCATTCTTGGCACTACAAATCATCAAAAATCAAATCCACCAAACTCCCCTTTTTTCAAGCCTACACTCTAAAACTCACTTGACATTGGGTGCATCCGTGGCAAGACGAATGGAAATTTTGCCCGAAGAATTTTGTGGCGAATCGAAGAAGGCTCCGTCCATCGACAGTACGTTTTGGAACACCTAAAAATTTTCTTGAGGTCCATAAAATTCTAAAAAAAAATCCTACCTGACACCGAAGTCGCCTTGTCAGTCTTTCAGAAACAAGACCGTATAAGAAACACTGAAAATTATATTTTTTGAAAGTGAGACTTTTTTAACAAGTTACCGTAACGATAAATGTGACCAGTTCGACGAGACCCAATCCAATGAACATCAAAGCCCAAAAATGGCCTTCTTTCTTCATTTGGTCCGGCGGCTTGGCGAAGGCCTTGAAATTGCTGATTTCTCGGGAAAAGACTAGATGGTGGATAATGGCCGATAAAAGGGAGAGGTTCGAAAAAGGTCTCAGAAAGGCAGCAAAACGAGTCGCTTTATCGCTTTATCGAAAATTTAATTTTTTCTAGAGCTGTGAAGGCTCAAGAAATGGTGGAAAAAGGGAGAGGCAGCAAAAATGGTACACGAGAGCCGATGAAATGGCACAAAAAGGTAGCAAAAAAGGAGCCTTTTTCGCCCTAAACGGAACATTTTAATAGAGCTTTTTTGAACTTTTTCTGACTTAAAAAATTTTCTCGTTGCTGTGATGTACTTGTAGAAGAAATTAGAATATCAATCAAAAGTTGAATTTTCATAATCTTATTCTTATTTTACTTCTCCCTTGGTTGGAATTTAGGCTGATTTATTAATTTCCGTTTCCGCCTCACAGTTCTCGTTTCACTCCTTTATCGTGGAGAACATTAAAAAATGAGTTTTGAGCAGATTTTTCTATTCTAAAGGCAATTTTTCAATTGTTAGGATTTTTTTCTTTTAAAAAATCAGCATTGCTTTTTGCCTAACATCCATTTCAAAGCAAATAATTACCCTAATTTTTATTTTTTTTGAATCAAAAATCTTTTTTTAAATATAGGTTCTATTCAGTATTCAATCGGCGCACAGGGAAGTTGATCCTCGATATTAAAAACCAAAAATTCGAAGCGATTCGCTTTTTTTAAACCTTGATGCCACCTTAGCTTGATCCAAAACTTCAACTGGAATCTTTTTTTTCTTTTCAAGACCTCAATTAAACGAAACCTGAGCTTTTTCAAATCATCGCTGATCCGCCACAGTCCAGTAGTGCTTAGAAAACCACAAAAAAGCCTTTTTTCTCCACCTACTTCAATCATCTGCGAGAAGAAGAAGGAGAAGGCCGGGTATACACATCCTTGGATACAGGAGAAGATAATGGCGATGGCTATATATTTCCACTCGGGACGGGCTCTGGCGAGGATTTCGAAGAGTCCCGCCGGCTTGGCGCCTTCCATTTCCAAGTCTTCAAAAATAAATTTTATATTTCATTTTCCTGAGACTTCCACCTTTCTTCATCCTCTCCAACTCTTGCTCGGGTTTCAGTGGAGCTTCATCTTCCTTGCCCGTAGGGACACTGACACTATTGGCCCTAGAGGCTTGAGAAACGATAGATCCAGTTCTTTTCGAGTGTTGTTCATCGACATCGACGAAGATTTGGGATTTGACGAGTTCCGAATAAAGGCCGCCAGATTTGATCAGCTCGTCGTGGGTTCCTTGTTCAACGACCTACAAAATTATGTTTTTGAAAGACCATGAAAAGCTTTAAAAAAGGTCTTGGAGAAGAGATCTCTCATTTTCACGTGCTATTTCCTCAGACGTCTGTGAGAAAATAAGAGAGCGTAGATATTCAGTCAGACTTCAGCTTGTAGGAAATTATACATGACTTGATAAAGTAAAATATGGACGACTAAAAGGAGGCTCAAAAACGAGATTACTGTAGAAATCGTTACAGGACCCGTTCATTCTATGCATCGGTTGTATATAACTGGATCTAAAAAAAAAATTAATGAACGCAAAAATATTTGATAGCATTTCCATAATGAACCCTGAAAAACCTGTATACGACTCATTTTCGCAACCAATGTACAGGAAAAAAATTTTTATCTTCGTTTACACAACATCTCATGGATAATTCTAATCCTGCTCAACTGAACATAAACTAACCTTTCCCTCCTTGACGGCGATAATCGTGTCGGCATTCCTGACAGTAGAGAGGCGATGAGCAATGACGATGGTGGTGCGACCTTTGGAGGCCTGGAAAAAGGCTCAGACTTCTTCTCTTTTCTTGTTTCCGAACATTCTCGAGAGCATGTTGAACGACGCTTTCGCTCTCGGCGTCGAGGGCCGAAGTCGCCTCGTCCAGGAGGAGGATTTTCGGGTCTCGGACCAGGGCTCTCGCGATGGCGATTCGCTGTTTCTGACCTCCGGACATTTGGGTTCCACGGTCGCCGACTAGCGTTTTCAGGCCCTGGAAAGTCGAGGACTGAAGGCGAAAGCGCAGAAAGATCCTAAAAAGCCCCTAAAGAAGACCCTAGAAAGTAAAAGACTGAAGAAGAAAGCGCAGAAAGATCCTAAAAAGCTCCTAAAGAGGATCCTAGAAAGTCATACTCTGAGAGGAAAGAATAGAGTGAAGAAGAATCCCTAGACGAACTAGAGATCAGCGACGACCTGAAGAGACGCCAGACACACTGAATTTCTCTCTATTTCTGGCGTCTCTTCAGGCTCCGCACACTCCCAACCTGCGGCAACTGCTGCACGAAGCGGTAAGCGTTGGCTTTCTTGAGAGCCGCCCAGATTTCTTCCTCCGAGACGTCGGCCCTTCCGAAACGAATGTTCTGCTCGATGGTCGTGTTGAAAAGGACCGGTTCTTGTGAGACGACGCCAATCACACTGCGCAGGTATTCAATGTTGTAGTCGGTGAGTGGAAGGCCGTCTATCAGAATCTGTAGAGACACGTTTTTCAGCCCTCGGGAAGGTTAAAGTGTTAAAAAACCACATTCTGCTCATCTTAATTTTCAGAATTCGTGATAGAAGAGGCATTCTGGAGAGACGCCAGAGATATGAGAGTAACTCTTTTTCTCTAGCGTCTCTTCAGGCCAGCAGTACTCTTCAGACTCTGCTCGCTTTTCAGAGTTCAAACTGACTGAGAGCGAGATAGCACAGGCACCCTGGAGAGGATCCAAAGATATGAAAGCATCTTTCTATCTCTGTTGTCTCTTCAGGCCAGCGTTACTCTTTAGACTCTGCTCGCTTTTCAGACACACATACTGACTAAAAGCGAGATAGCATAGGCATCCTGGAAAGCAGCCAGAGATATCAGAGTATCTTTATGACTCTGGCGTCTCTACAGCAAAACGCTACTCTTCATTTTCCTATCGCTTTTTCAGGATTTCAAATCGACCAGAGATCAACCCCGCGTGAAGAGACGTCAGAGAAACGAGATTATCTTTTTATCTCTGGCGTCTCTTCAAGACAGTGCTACTTTTCAGGTTCTGTTCATTTTAAGCTCGCTTTTTCAGAACTTCAAATTGACTGAAGCGAGATAGCAAAGCCTCTTGGAGAGACGCCAGAGATATGAGAGCATCTTTCTATCTCTAGCGTCTCTTCAGACTCTGCGTATTCTAAGCTCGCTTTTCCAACCCTTTATAGATATCAAAGCCCGCCCAAAGAGACGTCAGAGAAAAAGGAATCTCTCTTTCTCTACCCTCTCTTCATTTCAAACACTACCTTTCCGCCGGTGACATCATAATATCGGAGAAGGAGCTGGATGATCGTACTTTTTCCGCAGCCACTCGCTCCAACTAAAGCGACCGTTTTGCCAGGCTGTGTAGTGAATGAGACGTTCTAAAAACCAAGTTGTTCTTCATCTTTTTTCACTTCAAAACGTTAAGAACAGTGATATCCGGCCTCCTGGGGTAGGAAAAGCAGACATTCTGAACTGTGACTTCACCACGGAGTCGTGCCGGAGAGACCCCTTCTGGGGAATAGGCATCGATTTCTGGCTCCTGATAGGAAACAAGTTACTCAGGATGACTTAATAAACCCAAAACTCGATCGATAAGTTCATAAAGAACTCCGGCGGCACCTTGAGCCGTGGCAACGGCTGCGATTTGAGGTCCAGCTTGTCCCAGGGCCATGGCGCCGAGCATTACCGAGAAAAATACCTAAAACTAATTTTTTTTCAAGTTCATGAATACTAATTTGCAGCTAAAATTCTTCTAAATTTTGTCACCTTTCAAAATTTTCAAAATATATCTGCATCGAACATTTACACAGCGTAAATAAGCTACCGTAAACGATTTTAATAAGGTCAATTCTAATTTTTTTTAGCGGATATGAGGACCTATTAGGCTAGAAGGGCTCAGTAGAAAGAGAAATTTTTTTCTTAAAAAAACGTTCATTCACGCTGCGTAAACCTTTCTGCATGAGACCAATGAAACATGAAACTTTGAAACCCCTAGAACCGAGAAAACTGTCTCAAAGCATATAAAATCAAGGCTGATTTTGAGAAAGAAGTCGATTTTTGGGAAGAAAATCAGATAAGAAAAAAAATATATGAAACTCCCCAGTATATAAAAAAAACTGTTTCTATAATTTTAAGCTGAATCCTTGAATTTTTTCAGTCTATCTTTCGAATTTCAACACGTTCCGTTCGAAAAACCCCGTCTTTTTTTTTTCTCGAATTCGGGACTTTTCTTCAATTCTGGACCTTTTTTTTTGGGTATATTACAGTATAACCCCTCACCCCCCGAATATGAACGATTGTCTAGGCGTTTCAGTATCGGCCCCCGTCTTGTACTGCGGGGGCCATTCTAGAATACAGATTCGTTTCCTGCGTTTGATTCTACCAGAAAAACAGTGTGGGGGGAGGCGATTCTACAATTATTTTTGCATTTTCTTCCTCCTTACAGTCATCACAGTGTTGCCGTCCATCTTTCCGTCGTAAATGAAGTTTGTCCCGAGCCAAAAAGTGAAGCAATAGGAGGAGAAGCCGATGAGGAAAGTCATTCCGATGCCGACGCCGAGTAGGACTCCCTTCTTGACACCGATCCGACTGCAGATCGCTAAGGCTTGGGAATATCTCAAAAAAGAAGCAATTTTCTAGCTGATTCGAATTTTCTACCGATCCAATTCGTAGGGTTGTCCATTGAAAGCAACGACGGTTCGGATGGAAGTTATAGCTTCTTCGGCAATATTTCCAGCTTCGGCGTACTTTTTGGCTTCTTCTTTTGAAGCCGAACCCATCACCTAGAGCTCTGACCCCAGTCGCCAGCTTTCCGCCAATCTTTCGCCAGCGCGCGCCCCGTCTTTCGCGAGCTGGCGCGCCATATCGCGGCGAGCTGGCGAAAAACGCGCCAGAAATTCGCCAGGGTTATCTATAGCGCGCAGATTCCCCCTTTTTTTCAATCATTTCCCTTCCTCCAATATTGTCATTTTTTTATACTAAAAAAATATATTTTTATCAACTTTTATTATTTCACAAATACAAAATTTAATGGAAATAAAATCAACATATAAAATCAAACATGAAGAGAACTTGAAAAATGAGATGTAAGAAGGAAACGCTTGCAAAGTTTACAACTTAATTTAAAACAATATCTTTCGAGCCACCGGTATTTGTACAGATTGCCTCACGGTAAATCGACCCCAGATTTCTCAACGGGGCGCGCTTTCTTCCATCCCATTTTTTTCTTTTTCGTTTCTTCATTGCAAATATGTTTCTTCTAGTTTTTTCTACTATTTCTATTGTTATTCATTTTCACCTTGTCGTATCGTACTTTCATAGAGCTGAGATTCAATTTTTGAGATTTTTGAATCTTTAATTCTTGAAAAATATGCCTCAATTTAGGTTTTTTTTTCTGCAAGTATGCGCTGTTTTTTCAAAACATCCAATAGTCAGTGTCATGTGAAATAAGGAACGTGGAAAAATCATCAAATTTTTCAAAAAAAAAATCTCGGAGTCAGTGGTAAGGCGGCGGAACGGTACTAGCGAGGTGCATTTTGAATGTGCCTTTGCAAACCTGGGAAAGTCTGTATTTGCAAAGGAGGAATGTACGTTTATCATGACCTTAAAACTGATGAGAACGAAACCGCTTGAAAAATTGTTATGCTTAGATTTCGAATTTTGTAATAATTTCACTGAACGAGTAAAATATCCAAAAATCTCAAAAATTAAATCTTAGCTCTATGAAAGTACGATACGACAACGGGGAAATGAATAACAATATATTGCAAACTTGCATCCTCCAACCGTAGTCCGCTGTTAGAACTTTTGCATCAGGGCACATTTTATCGCATGCCAATTTTTCTCTTCACGTCCACCCTTTTCAAAACGCCGTGCAATAGAGAAAGTAGAAAAAAATGGAACAGAAGCATATGCTTATATGCACATATCAATGAAGAAACGAAAAAGGGATGGAAGAAAGCGCGCCCCGTTGAGAAATCTGGGCTCGATTTACCGTGAGGCAATCTGTACAAATACCGGTGGCTTATCTTTCGATTCGAAAAAGATCATAATAACAGAACATCAAAAACTTTACCAAACAATACATCTTAGAAAAAAATGTAAGCCAAAAAAATCCGAAGAAACAAAGGAAACTTGAAGCTGACTGCTCGTAAACCCAAAAAAATTTTTAAAAATTTAAAAATTTTTTTAATTTTTCGATAATATGCAAAGAGTTATTTGTTGCTTCAAAATACCAAAAAGAAGAGAGAAATTTTAAAGCTCCAACGCATTTAAGAAGTGATATCGACGAGCAGTCAATTTTTAAGTTTTAAAATTAGTTTATAGAGAATTAAACAGAAGACTCTTATACAAAGTTTTTTGAAAAGAGGAAATTTTTTACTCGTGAAGAAAACTTTGAGCCATTTATCACTTTACTTCAAATGGCCACAAAATGAAGAAAAATAGTGCGAAGAGATTCTGATTGTTCACAATTATGATCAAAGCATTACATTTTTGTTGTGCAGGGATACAACACGGTTCTTCAAATTTATCAGCCCCTTTTCAAAGCAAACTACGGAACGTATTTTCAAGTCCGAAAAAAACTGCTTCGAAAACTCTACTCGTCAGCCGAATTTCGCGAGCATGACAAATCCGAGTAATATTTTTTTGAGGCTAAAATATATAAGCTGTATTTTTTTAAAGCTGAATTTTTTTACGACGGACACAAAAAAATAAAATAATTTGGGTGCATCAAGATATTTTTTTGAGGCTCATAAAGTTGATGAACGTGTAAAGTTTACAAATATAAAAAAAACTTGAAAAATTTCGCAGACATTTTGCGTCGTACCCGTTCTCCGTATTTTGGTCAAAGCATCGTTATCCATTTGCAATGAACATCATGACGCCGTCGGGTGAGATCGAAAATATATATCGATGAAGTACTTTACATGAAATCCAAAAATTACCAAAGTCAGAGGAAAAAAAACACCCTTCAGCCGTAACGAGGACTTCCTGACGATGCTTTTTTTTCTGAAGGAAGCAGTTGAGAAAAAAAGTAGAAAGCACTTACTAATTCAACTGGAGTCGTTCTTTCAGCCTCACGGAAAGAGAAGTTCAGCATGAAAACATTAAGCTTTTAGAGCGGTTGATCATCCACGAAACTAAATCGAGAAAATAATCCGAATTTTCTTATTTACCAACCTTTCAAGCTGTTGTTTTTTAAACCTGAAACCCTCCGTCGCATCACATTTACTGAGCTCTACACAAATAAAACAAAGGTTTATATTCTAATAATTTTCTGACTTTTTAAACTTCTTTTCAACTAAAGTCTGTTCTTTTGTTTCGTTTGAAGGAGGATACGTGCCTTTGCTGCAGAACTCCAGATGTAAAAACTATCTTATAGTCTGTTCAGGTTTTTAATGTCAACCAGCTAACTCCGCCCCCGCTGAGAGGGTACCTTTTCGCGTCGATTTTTTATCGCGCGGGATTACTTTAGATCTTTTTTGATCTAAATGCAGCCTTATTAAAGGGACATCGTCATCTGTAGATAAAAAAATTAACGCGAAAGATATTGTAGCCTTGGGGGTGGAGTTAGCTGCTTGACATTAAAAATCTGAACAGACTATATAAATTTAATTGTCCTGCAAAAAATCGCGTTTCTTTCTTCGAACGACCTACGCAACCTACAGTTTCCTACTTCTATACACAGCTTTTTGAATTTTTACAAAAAAAAAGAAAAAATGAAATCAAGAAAAATTTCTTGTTACATCAAAACTGCATTGCGGCATCGCTTTTGCCCTAGTTTGGACAAAACAGGAAACGAACACTGAAAAATCGTGAAATCAGCAAAAAAATCAAATAGAAAAAAACAAAAAGACAAAAAAACGCGAGTCCCAAAAATTTTTAGATCGCAATATAAAAATACAGTAATAAAAAGCAAATTCGCGCTATTGGTTACGTCGCCAGAGAATCGCCAGGAAACCGCCACAAATTTGATGGGCGCGAGCTCGCGAAATGACTTTTTTCTGGCGGATAGCTGGCGCCTGGGGTCAGAGTAGAAGGAGACGCATTTTCTGACAAGGATTTGAAAATAAACTGGTTAAAAAAATCTATTCAAAAGTTATTTTACAAAGAAGCTTGAAGAGCGATAAAAAAAAAACAACTAAAAAGTTTTTTTTGGCGTTTTTTTGAAGCTATTTTTCAACTAAACGCTTTATTTCTGTGCATGAAAAGAGGAAAAAAGTATTTCATATATATAATTATTCAATAAAACTTGACAGGACTTTATCACAGCTGTCTTTTCAGCTTTTCTGAGGGCCGGATAAAAAAAACTAGCAAGTCGGGACTTTTTTTGAGCCCTACGCCTGCGCCTTTAAACTAAACAGCAGATTTGCTAGCTAATTTCTTCGGAATCTCGAGAAAGTTCATGGAAATCGCGCAAAAGACCAGTTTTTCACTATTTTAATTCTTCAGAACCCTTCCGAAAAAGCTTCCCTTTGATGAACGCGACCTTTTTCTGTCCATGCGCCTTTAATTCTGCCTAAATTTCTGTCATTTTAAAGGCGCAGACACCGAGACAGGCCGCGCGCATCGAAGGGAAAGGTTCTGTAGCTCGGGAAAAAAAAAATCGTGACAGGCTGGAGCGGAATGAGCTATAGTAAAAAGAGCAAGAAAATTTTTGATAAAAGCAGTAAAATTTCAGAAATACTCTTTTTTTCTCCTCACCCTGGCTATAAAAACGCCACAAATGGCCATCAGCGGGGCGAAAGCCATCATAATCAGTGTCAGGTACCAATTATAGTAGAATCCGATGGCGAATCCGCCAACGAACTGGGACAAAAACTGGATGAGAAGGCCCAATTTGTCGCCAGTTCCGTCTTGAACTCGTTCAACATTACTTGAAAAAATGTGCATTTTTTTTCGGGAAATTTGTCGGGAAATACTCGAAAAGGCTGGTGGCAAGTGTTCCAGAGTGTTTCGAGTCGAACCAGCCGATATTTTGGCGGAGGATCGAGTTGAAAAAATTGCGGCGGAGACGGTTGGTCAGGTGTTTGCAGACGTTGGCGAAGCAGAACGCCTGGATTTGGGAAAAAAATGAGTTTTTTTTTGATTATTTCGTGAAAAAATTATGCTCAAAACTCAAAATTCCAAAAAACGTTTCTTTGAGCGCATCATAAACACAGACGCACCAAAATTCTTGTAATTTCGAGGGAAGAAAATATTTCCAAACTGTAGAACTAATTTTTAAACTCCCAGTAACTTCCGAGAAAACGCCTTTTTAGAGTGTCATGCTCAAAGAATCTCGTTAATTATTTTTCTTTGGAAAAAAATTTCTAAATTTTTTCATGAAAAAAATTCAAACCTACTAGTTCCAATTTTATAATATTCTCATTTATAAAAAAATATTAGAAAGAGCTCTGAAAAAAACCCTGAATAACTTTAGAGCTTGAAACAACGAAATAAAAGAAAACAAAAATAATTTTTTTTTTGATAAATAGACGTAAATTTCAATAGAATATGAAAAAAAGTCTTCAAGGTTTGAAAAAAACTGATTATTCCAAAGTTCTTGTTTTTGAGAGCTTCCAGCTTTTTAAAATAATTTCATTTTTTTGTGAAGTTCGTGTTCAGGGTAATTTTCACAACAAACGTCAGACAGTGAAAAAAAGATAACCGAAATTCGGAGGGTCAGAGAAAATTTTGAACTTACAACTTGTGAGAGCGGAGCTTACATCCAACACGGCATTGATTGAAATTTTTTAAAAAATGTTTTTTGAAACGTATCTTTCAAGATTTTCGAAATTCACCTGAACACACGAAGAGACGAAAATGGCAGAGCCCCAATAAGTATATTTGAGGCAATTTCCTTCGACAGCCGAGGAAAAAGCGGACAATTCCTGACGCTTCGTAGCGCAATCTGAGATTTTTTGAGTAAAAGCTTGACTTCAAAAAGGAGCATGAATATAGTTCAAACGTTAAATGTCAAGCCGCTAACTCCGCCCCCAAAACGCTCTATGGATGGCTCGTTTTTCTGATTGGTTTGACTTACGCATGAGGGGCGGAGTTTAAGCGAAGACTTGACATTTAAAATCTGAACAGGCTATGGAATTTTTTTAATATTGGCAAAATTAGAGAGGACGAATCAGAGAATAAAAAGCAGTCCGAAAAATAAAGATCATAAGAAACAGGAAAACAGGAAAAGAAATATTTAAATTGTTTTCAAATTTAAAACTCACCCGTTGTGTTGGACATTGTCGCGTTCGCCGAGTCGATGAAATTTTGGGACACATTTCCCTAAAAAAATATATAAATATTATTTTTGAAGAAATGTGGTGAAAACCATCATGACGGACATCATGGGAAGTCCGAGGCCAGTGACAATTGCACAGCAAAAACCGACGAAAAGTAAAATTCGATCCGTCGCCGAGGCATATCGGAGCTTAAAACCTTTTTTTGAAGATTTGAAGAAAATTTTCGATTTGTGTAGAAAACTAATGGCAGGGGGTCATGAAATACAGCAACGTCAAGGAAAAATTCGACGACCCTCTATAAGCTTTTGAACTAAATGCGGTTGAATTGAAACATTTTTCGCGCCGAAACTTGTCGAAAAATCAGAAAATCCGTTTCCTTGTTTTTCAAACGGTAGCAAAGAGTGAAAAATTAGGAAATATTGGAGCAAATATTTTTTTGTGACAACCTAGCGGATTACAAGAGATAGGAAAATATAAAATTCTTCTTTAAATTTGTGAAATTTCCAATTTTTTTCTCCTCGTAACCACTTTTTATCGGTTCAAAGCCTATTTTTGAAAAAAACCTAGATGAAAAAGAAAATCTGAAAAATAAATAAGATTGTTTTTCCATATTTTTTTATTCCCTCCTTTTTTTAAATTTATCGATTTCCCAGAAGAAAAAAACATAAAATAACCAATTTTTTTCTCTTCTATTCTCAGCCAAAACATCGTATAGAAAAAAAATTACAGATGTGCTCTGGATAATTGCATTTATTTAGTGTATTGCATGGAATGATGTAACATTGCGATTCCCTTTTTCCTATATTTGGGGACGCTAAAATGTCGTATCCTTCAAAATATGTAGAATTATGGGGCCCTTTGGTAGTTTTTCAAAATTATTTAAAAAGAAAAATGCGTTTTCTAGCCAGAAAAAAACTCTAATTATCCCAAAATTCGTGAAATTCAATATATTTTCCATTCAAAAACCACAAACCAGGCCAAAAAGCGACGCTTTCGGTAGCTTCTCCTCTTCAACTTCCTTCTCATCGCTTTTATCACTGCTCCTGAAACCAAAGTACATGGAACACGTAGCAAAAAGGACGAAGCGAACTTCAGAAAAAAAAAACAAGTCAGACAATGATAACGGTCACAAATGCCTTGTCGATGAGCATTTTCATCATAAAATGTTGTTGAATCGAAAGGTTCAAATCAGAAATCAGAGATCTTTTCTGTTGGGAAAACTATGACTTCAGATAATTTCGAGTGAAACGTAATCTCATTCAAAATCTTGAAAATAGTTTTGTTTTAAATATCATATTCAAAAGCTGCTCATCGATTTGAAAATAAAAACTGAAAAGTAATAAACTTTTCGAACAAAAAAATAAAAAAAGTTTTTTAATAAATAGTCGTTCTCATTTTTTTCTCAATGAATAAGCTTTACTAATGTAATGATAACTTTGAATTGACTCCATAAAAGTTTAAAAAGGAAGAAAAATTACCATTTTACACTATTTTATTGGGGGTATGAAAAACAAGATTAGCGAAATTTACGTTGGCGAACTAATCGAAGACCGCAAAATCGCGGGCGGTGTATGCCACCGTGTATGCATACTGTTTGCGAAAAAAAATCAATAAACACCTTTCCGACGGAACTTTTTCCGACTTTTTGCCTTTTTTTCAAATTTTTGGATTTCGTCACTCATTTTTTTGTTTTTCTGTTATTTCATCTTTTTCATCGCATTATGATCCTTGTATCGGAAAAAAAGACCTCAAGTTTTGTTTGAAGTAAAAAAAATTTTTTGGAATAATTTTCGTCGTGATGGCTGTTGGAACATTGTTTATAACAGTTTTTTCTGCGTTTCAATTACAGAATGAGTGAAGAAGAAAGAGCTATGAGAGAAACATTGGATGACATGCTTGATTACTTGAGTGACGCTGATTCCTACAAATCTGTAAGTTATTGTTTTCGTTTCGGGCAACATCAAAATTTCCTATATCTTTCACATTCTTCTCGTGTCATTTCTTATTTTTCCAATTTCTTGTTTTATTTCATTTTCTTTCACCATAGTCCATAGATTTGTTGTTTCCAAATCTTTTTTTTTCATTGACATCGTTTCCTATCGATAAATATATTGTTATCGAGAAAAATTAGGAACAATGCGTACCAGAGGATCATAATGCGATGGAAAAAGATGAAATAACAGAGAAAACCAAAAATGAGTGACGAAATCCAAAAAAATTTGAAAAAAAGAGGCAAAAAGTCGGAAAAAGTTCCGTCGGAAAGGTGTTTATTGATTTTTTTGCGCAAACAGTATGCATACACGGTGGCATACACCGCCCGCGATTTCGCGGTCTTCGATAAGTTCGTCAACGCAAATTTCGCTAATCTTGTTTTCATACCCCCATTTTATTAATATGAAGTTCTAATTATTTCATGAGAATAAAGATTTTCGAACAGATTCCAAAAAGACAAAAAAAGTAACATACCGAAAAAAACAAAAATTTTGTAAAAACTAAAAGAAAAAAACAATCAGAAAAAAAAATTCAGAAAATGTCTTTATTAAAAGGCGCTTGAGGTTAAAGATGCTCCATGGTGAATTCAATAAAATTTTCAATTTTTTTTCGCTATTTTTGTTTCACAGATTTTTTAAAGGTAAGTTTACTTATGTTCATCGCCAGATTTATACGGAATTTGTGAATTCGAAAGGTTTGTCGTCATAAAAGTTTAAAAGGTTTTCCTATCTTGTTTCATTGCCAAACATTTAAATCAGCTACTGATTTTCTATACTAACGATTAAAAAACCGAAAAATTTCTATATATATTCCAATTTTCAACTAAAGAGAGCCTTTAACTTCTGTTGAAGAAAAAAAAGAGAAACTCACTTTGATTTCTTTCGGAAGGCGCCCATTCTGTCCTCTTTCCCACAGATTGACAATTTGATCAGTTTAAGTTCGATTCGATGGAAAAATATTCGGACACAAAATTTGCTCGGCCAAAAGTACGCTACGCCCCTTTGGCAGTTCGATTTATCTAATCAGTTCCACCTTTTTCCCTCGGAAAACTCGAAAATCAATGGAACTTCATTTAAAACTCCAACTTATCAGAAAAATACTCGCTTCCTTCAGAAAAGGCAAAAAAGGAGTGAACTTTATTATTATAATCGGGTTAACAAAATTGGAGAGATCATCTTCTAAAAATTATGAATTGAAGGTTATTAAGCTCATAGAAAAAAAGGTCAACAAGAACAAGTGATACGTTTCAGAACACCGACTATCACAAAATCACAGGTCGAAAAATGGTTCCATATAAGATTATTAGTGTAGAAAATGAATAAATTATTTTGAAAAGTGATAAAAGAGATTTTCAGATGCAAATAAAACTAAATCTAATCAACAGCAAGAGTTTGTTTTTGTGTAAGGGCATAGTATGTTCCGCGTTTGTTCATCAATTCGGAATGCGTTCCTGAAAACGGTTTCAATGTGATGAAGATTGCAGAAAGTATTAAAAAGATCGATTCGAGTAGAAAAAAAACAACAAGAATTCTGTAAAATTGGATAAGCCTCGAGAAAAAGTATACTTGAATGTTCTTAAGGATAGGAAAAGCTTCGTCTTTACATCTTTTTTTCAGAATGTTAGAATAACTATATTTTTCCTTTTCTCTTATCCTACGATTTTTGACTCATCAACTTGTTTTGAACTCAGAATTTTATTTCACATGAAAAACATGATTTTTCTGAAATTACTATGGAAATAATCTTAAAAAAAGCAAAACTCAGAAATTTCGAAGACTTGAATAAGCTAGAGATTTCGACAAATCTTCGAATAGATAAATTTCGATTAATATTCGAACTCCGAGAGTTAGACGCGCAAGATGATGACATAAAATCGGCAAATACGCTTGAAGTGGTCCCTAAAAGGGGGCTTTGAACTTTCATTTTGCCTCAAGGTGAGTAAAACCTCCTCCACAGATCCTTTTAAGATCTGTAGGGAGGTTTCACTCACCTTGAAGACAATGAGTTTCTTTCAATTTATACGAGGCTCCTATGTCTCTAAGAAGCTCACGAAATATTTTCAATAAAGTACGATCTCTTTCAAAATCTGTAGAATTTTTTTCCACGCTGATGTTGGTCCCAACCTTTCTTCAACAACTTTGCCATTATGAACCACAACGATGCAATTCGAATTGACAACGGTAGAGAGTCGATGAGCCACGACAATACAAGTTCTGCCTTGGGAAGCCGCATCGAGGGCCGCTTGGACCAACTGGAAAGAGTTCAGACTTGAATCTTCTAGAAAATTCAGGAGACCTTCTCGCTCTCCGTGTCCAGAGCCGACGTCGCCTCATCCAGAAGTAGAATCCGCGGATTTCGGATTAGGGCTCTGGCGATGGCGATTCTCTGCTTCTGACCTCCGGACAGCTGAGTTCCCTTCTCTCCGACGCGAGTATCATATCCCTAAAGTGGGAACTCTCCACGGCACTCCCTCCTACAGTACCTCGGGAAGTTCGGACACGAACTTGTGGATGTTGGCCTTCATGGCGGCGTCCAAAATCTGGGCCTCGGTGTAGGAACCCGGCTCGAGTCCGTACACGATGTTGCTACGGATGCTGGTGTCGAAAAGCGTCGGCTCCTGGGAAACCAAGGCGATGTGCGACCTCAGATGAGTCGGATTCATCTCTCTGATGTCTTCTCCGTCGAGATTCTAGGTTCATTCTCTGTTAGAAGAATATTCAGAGCATTTCCCACCACATGACCGTCCAGAGGGTCATAGAGCCTTTCCAAAAGAGAAATGACTGTAGACTTTCCGCATCCACTGGAGCCTACCAAGGCTAGAGTTTCACCAGGATTCACCTGAAGAAACACAGTTCCGAAGAATTTTTCTGAAGTATTACTTCAATGGAAAGTCCTTGAAGGATGGGGACATCGGCCCTTTCGGGGTACTTGAAGTAGACGTCCTGGAGTTTGACGCTCCCAGTGATCAGCGGCTTCTTTCCCTTGTCCGTCATCCCGTCGATGCGCGGCTCTTCTTTCAGCATTTTGAAGATAAGTCCGGCCGCGTAGGTCGCTTTGATGTACTCGGGGAAGTAGCCGCTGGCGTAGCCCAAGCCTCCGACTGTGAAGGAAATGGCGAATAGTACTCTGGAAAATTTCACAAATTCGTTTCTGCTTGACTTTGAAGCTTTTGGGCGCATGTGGAATGGCCTAATTGTGAAGCGGCTGGTTCAAGTCGCGCCCAACTCGAAACGTCTTACGCGCAAAATGAACGAAATGTGAAACCGCAACGCGACCGCGACGCTTTGAACCATTTCAAATGCGAGAAGGCCTTTTCAAATTTTTCTTGTAGGTCTCAAGTCACCTCAGAACATGGATCGGCATCATGATGTCCTCCAGAATAAGGTAAAGACCGAATCTGAAGGCGGCAGCGTACAAAAAGTAGAAAACTGAGGAGGCGAATCCGTAGGAAAGACCCTGAAAATCTCAAATCACTCAAGGTTTTACTCATTCAAAAACCTGCAAAACGGCCTTTTTCTGGTTATTCTGATGGGGTTTATCGAGATGAGACTCGAATTGCTCGCAAAGTCGGGGCTGGAGAGTTAGAGAATGGACAGTTCTGATGTTCTCCACGGCTTCCAGGGCGATCTGAAGCGACTAAGTCTTCAAAATATGGGGTTACTACAGACTTTTCCGCTATTTTCCAGGTCGGCATTATCTCCAGCCGCTTTTCCCGACAAAAATTTCAGTTGGATCGCGTGACCAACACCGAGGAGGGGGAACGTCGAGACGGTCTAAATTACTGCAATTTATGAGAAACAATGGTGAAAGTTTGAATCGAGGAATGTTTTTTGGACTCATACACTGGTGCCGCTGGCGGGGCAATTATGTCTTTTCCAAGTGAACACTACAGGTGCTTCAAGGACACTTAAGTGACCACTGAAGACCCTTAGGCAATTTTTCGAAAATTTTTTTCTAAATATTCCTTTTACTTTCCTTCAACGTCACTTTTTTTCCTCTACACATTTCTGCGGCATCCTTATTGAACTTTATTATTTTTTATATTTTATCAGACACCCTAAAAAAGTAACAGCTACTTCTTCCAAATCTATCAAATTTCATTGATTTTGAGATGAAAACTGAATCATTTCTCGCTTTTTTCTAACTTTGCCTCTTTTCTGAAGTTAAAAACACTACTTCCTTGTTTTCTTTCATACTTCTAAACCTTCAAAAATGCATTTTCTTGATAAAAACCAACAAAAATGGCCATCTGCCAGCCGAAATAAAAGGCAATGATGACGCCCAGGACGACGGAAACGAAGCAATTGAAGACGGATCCCAGCCGATAATCCAGTGCCGACCTCAAAATGAGCATTTCTTATCGGATTTCGACGAATTTCGGGAAAACTTGACGTTGGGCGCATCCGAGGCGAGTCTGGTGCTGATCTTCCCGGGCGAATGGCGCGGCGAGTCGAAATACGTGGCGTCCATTCGCAAAACGTTCCGATAGACTTTCGACCGGAGTCGCATCGTCAGGTTCTCCGAAGCGACGCCGAAAAAGGAGCACTGGAAATTCTGGTTCTCAGAAAATTCTACGAATGCTTTTGGGCCGAAAAAAGCCTTCTGAATGAAATTTTCGGGTTCAGGGATCTGGAAAATGGAAAATGGACAAGAGGGTTTGAAAAAAGAGGTAGGGTCCGTTTTTCGCGACTTCTTTACGCCCTCCTCGTCTCACGTGCTATTTCTATATTTCTCTGAGATCGCCGGTGAGGGAACAGAGAGACGCAGACAAGCGAAAACATTCAAGTCGCGGTGAACTGACTATAGTAAGACATTTAACAAAGAAGGTCATTTTTGTTTGAAATGAGGGATTTTCTCTAGAAGTTTGCTTAAAACTTCCCACGAAAAACTTGTGAGTTTTTTTTAAACCCCGATTTTTTAGCTTATTCTTGTGACTTCCAGTATGATTTTCATGCTTCTAAGTCATTCCCGGCGGGAGAGAAGAGAGCGTAGACAGACCAGACAGTTTTCGACACTCCGCGATTGATTTTTACTAACCTGGGTCATCATCATCACACTCTGCAATCCACCGAGGACCAAAAACATCAAGGCCCAAAAATGGCCATCGGCTCGCAATTTTTCCACATTTTTCTCGGAGAACACCTGAAAGAGCATTTTTCCCTCATTTCCTGGTCCAAATTTATGGAAAATCATTCGAAATGTTAATCACAACGTTCAAAATTTGACCAAATCCCTACTGAAAAGTTTTTTTCTTTGAAACCTCAAACTATAGAGTCTTTATTTTTGACCAAAATGTTTAAAGTATTCAAAATTTCCATCCAAAATAAGGAATTTTCAACAGGAATCACTACTTTTCCGGTCTCAAAGTTTCCAAACCTCGATAATCTGGGAGAAGAGCAGGGAAAACAAGGGAAAGACGGATCCTTGAATAATCGCCGCCGTGACGGCCAAGGCGATGAAGCCCCATTCGGGCCGCGCATATTTCAGAATCCCGAAAATTCCGACCCGCTTCGCGCCTTCGACCACAAGTTCTAAACGTCAAAATCCATCATTTTCAAGTAAATAACTCCCAAAAACCATTTTTCAACCGATCTAGTTCTTTTTCCGGTTTCTTCCAGTTCAGCTGAAGGAGCTTCTTCGTCAGGACGAGCCGAAGTCAAAGATTTCATTCTCTGAACAAAATGCTGGATTTTTGAAGTTTTCCGAATAAATTCACAATCAAATCTGATCTTTCTGAAGTTGAGGTAGGTGATTTTGGTCCAGACGAGGATTTATCGCGAGGCGAGGCTTGATTTGGGATTAATTAGGAATTTGACAGCTGAAGCTCACCTGGATCAGTGACGTCAGTGAAAACCTGAGCATTGACGAGCTCGTGATAGTATCCTTTCAAGGCGATCAAATCGCTATGGGTTCCAACTTCTACGACCTAGAATATTCCAACTCGGTATAAAGACAATTTTTTTTAAAATTCTTCTTTCTTTTGGTCGAGCCTCAAAAGTAGATCATCAGTATAATTTTCAACTTTTCAACATTTTCCTTCACAAAACAATTTATATTTGAATATAGTCCATTCGTCGCTGACACTTTTCAAGCGTCTGCGTCTCTCTGTTCTCTCACCGGCAAGGCAAGGTCAGAGAAACAAAAAATATCATGTGATCATGAGAGAGTCAGCCAGAGACGAGGAGGGCGCAGAGAAGTCTTATCATTCCGAGTTGCGAAAAACAGACTAAGTCCCAAAACTTGAATCATTTCTCTGCACCTCTTTCACTTTCAACGACTCTCTCGCTTTTGAGTGTTATTTCCTTGGTTTATAGGACCTTTCCGGTGAGATATAAGAGGGCGCAGACATGTCAGAAAATTTTAAGTCGCTTTAAATTTAGTTCAAAAACCTACCTTTCCTTCCCGAATTGCAATAATTTTGTCGGCATTCCTGACAGTAGAGAGGCGATGAGCAATGACGATGGTGGTGCGACCTTTGGAGGCCTGGAAAAAGGCTCAGAGTTTTTCCTTTTTCTTGTTTCAAACGTTCTCGAGAGCATGTTGCACGACGCTTTCGCTCTCGGCGTCGAGGGCCGAAGTCGCCTCGTCCAGGAGGAGGATTTTCGGGTCTCGGACCAGGGCTCTGGCGATGGCTATTCGCTGTTTCTGACCTCCGGACATTTGGGTTCCACGGTCGCCGACTAGCGTTTTCAGGCCCTGGAAAGTGAAAGACTGAAGAAGAAAGCGCAGAAAGATCCTAAAAGCCCCTAAATAAAGCTCTAGAAAAGTCAAAAACTGAAGTTAAAGTCAAAAAAGCTGAAGCGAAGGAACAGTAATTTTAAGAAACGCCAGAGAAATAATAATGTCTCTCTTTCTCTGGCCCCTCCAAGTTTCTGCTTCGTACTATCGAGTATTTTCGCTTGATTTACTAGTACCAATAAGATCAAATCACTCATTTTCAAGTTTCAAGTTTAATAATTATAAAACAAACTTTCTTATTTTCAAAGACCTGTCTTACCTTATCCCCTCGAAAAAATGTATCTTCCAGTTTCCGATGAAAAATCAAAAACTGAAGCCTTGTACTTAAATAAAACAAAATCTTTTTTTTTTCGTGGTCACATGTTCTACTTTTTCTCGCAAACCAACATGAGGGAATGATTTGACAAAGTCGTAGGCGTTGGCTTTTTTCAATGCTTCGAAAATCTCAGTCTCCGTGATGTCTTCTCGCCCATACCGGATGTTCTGAAAAAATTTTTATTCCGGAAAATTCCAATCAAAAAGCACCTGTTCTATGCTGGTATTGAAAAGGTTGGGTTCCTGGGAAACGACGCCGATGAAATTTCTCAAAAAGTCGATATTCAGGTCCTCGATGGCGATTCCGTCAATGGTCATCTACAGAGAGAGTGATTTGAGCTTGAGAAAATATTTTTGAATCCAACTTTTCCAGAACTGGGGTTGTAATAACGAAGTAGGAGCTGAATGATCGTACTTTTTCCACATCCACTCGCGCCGACCAAAGCGACAGTTTCGCCGGGGTTTGCCGTTAAAGACATGTCCTGAAAAACACTTTTTGTAGGGGTATTACAGTCCATTTGGCTAAATAATAATATTTATCCAGACGAAAAAAATTACATGTACAAGAATGGTTTTATAGAGAAAAAATTGACCTATAATCCTTCGATTGGAATTTTTTTTCGTTTCATTTTTGGCTTTGGTTGGTCGCAATATTCATGACATAATATACATTGACCGTGAATTAGTTTTTGCGGAAAAAAAATAGTCAAAAAGGAACTTCAGCTTGAACAGTTTGCAAAGAGGGGTTATAATGACCTTCCTCATGCTTTTCGGTTGCTAAATTCCAAAAACAAAAGGTAAAAGTACTGTCTAACCAGCCTGGTGAAGTTTATAAACGTCTCAAACTTCTAAACCTCCAAGTTTTCAAGAAAGACCCTTTAAAGTCGAAGAAAACCATCAAAAACCGTTGAAATGGGTCATTATCAGACTTTGGAGCCCTCTTTTCTCGAAAACTAGAAAAATTTGAAGGTTTAGACATTTAGTATCTTCACCTTGTTCATAATAAAGCGTTTTTTTGACGACGCTCGCGCATATTTTTTTCGTAAAGTGTAATGTGTAGTGTGCATGCACTGCGACGCTCTCGCACAAGCCGTGTTCGAAGAAATTTTCGCGAAATTCAAAAAAATCTCCGAATTTTCGAAATTCGGTTTCATTTTCCAATTTCAGCCGGCTATTTTAATTTTCGCGGAATCACTTTGAACAAAAATCGGGTTTTTTTAAATGAGAAATCGATTCGTCTCATGACCCATTGAACATGCTCCGTTAATATTCTCTGTTGTTTACGATTGTTTCTCATGACGTCACATGGGAAGGGCGGAGTTTTGGCTACACCCCTTCATTTTTGGTTCCGCATTTTCTTCCACTAACAAAAACGCCATGCTAGTCAATTTTTTAGGATTCAGAGTCAATCACCTAAACTGACATCTCTTTTTCATTTGTTTTTCATTTTTATTCATCTCAAACTAACCTGAAGAACAGTGACATCGGGCCTAGTCGGATATGAGAATTGGACGTTGGTCAGCTCGACCTTTCCTTCTAAATTTTTCGGTTTCAAACCTTCTTGAGAGTAGGCATCGATTTCAGGGTCCTGTAAGGTAATTAAACTTTATTATTTAACTATATTTCAGTTATAAAAATGATTAAAAACCCAAATGAGCTGACACTTTTTTTCAAAATGAATCCAGTTCTGAAAAAAATGGACAATCTATTACAAAAAGGCTAATTTTTCATCAAGTACCCCACAAATTCTCTTCTTTTATGTTTTTTTCGAATTGCTCCGTAGGGTTCTATCTCTGAAAATCTCACGGGTTTTTTTGAAAATTTTTCGGGAATCCTCGAACTTAAAGAGATCTTTTCGTTTTAAAATATTTTTTTATTGATTCAGCCGTTGCTCCTTCAAAGTTTCGAAAGCTAGAGAGCATTCCAAAATGAGAGGGTTTTTTTGCTATAACTCTCTAGCTACATAATATTGCTGTCTCGAAGCTTCAGGCTCAGTAGTTAAAGTTGAGACTTCATTTAGTGCTCAAAAAGCAATTTTGAGATAGTTCCTAGCCAAAAATACCCTTATTTTTCAACCTACAAAAGCCTCACCCTATCAATGACTTCATAAAGAGACCCAGCGGCGCCAATGGCCGTTCCAACGACGGCGAATTGGGACCCCGCCTGTCCCAGAGCCATCGAGCCCATCATCACCGAGAAAAACACCTAAAACTCTGAAAATTTCGGGAATAGTACACTTTCCGGTACCGTCAAGACAGTTCCCCCAGTCATTCTTCCATCGGCGACAAAGTTGGTCCCAACCCAGAAAGCCAAGGCGTAGGAGGAGAACATGATGGCGAAGGTGGCGGCGAGGCCGAGACCGACGTAAATCGACTTTTTGACGCCCGTCGCCTTGCCGTCTTTCAGTGCGTTTTCGTATCTTCAAGAAAATTTTCTTATGATTTTATTATTTTCTTAGAAATATGTAAAATAAGCTGCGGAGCCGCCATAAAATTTACCTCTAGAAAAATTTTTTTTTTTGCAATTGTCCGTCCTGTTTTTTTCTATTGAAGCAATTCAAGTCAAAATTTAAATGATTTTTATGATTTTTTTCAAAAAGTTTTATCAGAGTAAATCCTACCGATTTTCTATTCTCAAAGGCTTCATGCTCATTGAACAAGTTATGATTTCTTGTCCCCTAAAGTGGCCTCTAGAAATTTCAGTGGTTAGACTTCTAAAGTGGCCACTTCAGGCACAAATTTCATCTGGGTCGACTACTGTAGTGGCCATTAAAACCTCAAAACCCTAAAGAGACCACTGAAAATTGTCCCAGTATGGTTAAATTTAGACAAAAAGACTTGTGGCAAAAAAAAATCGTCTTCTCTATGAATAACTCAAATTGAGGATTATTTTTAGAAAAAAATTTTTTTCTGATATTCTTTATATTTTCTTATCAAACTATGAAGTTGATCACAAAAGATGATGATTTATTTTTCTCAGAAAAAAAACAAAAAAAATAAATTTCCCTTACAATGAAAAAGTTTCAGTTTTTTTCCGTTTTATCGATCATTTTTTTCGATTTCAACTATTTTTTTATTCATTTTATACCTTTCACACTCATAAGTCTGTCCATTGAAAGCAATGACGGTCCTCATCGACGTCAGGACTTCTTCGGCGATTCCGCCAGCGACAGCGTATTTCTTGGACTCTTCCTTGGAGGCCGTGGCCATCAACTGAAAGGAGAGGAATCTTTTCAAGGCTTCAGAACTTTTTTTGAAAATTCTCAAGATTTTTAAAGATATGTAAAAATTATAACAAATCAATCTCAAAAAAATCGGAAAAAAATTTCAAGAAAACACTGAAAATGTCTCTAGAGCAACCTAACCCCCATACGAAACTTTTTCAAAGACGATTTTTGCTCATTAATCAAGTTCATACACCTCGAAGGTACTAAAATCCTGATTTACCACAAAAAAAATGTCAAAATTTCAAGCTCAATATTCAACATTAAACTTGGAAAATTTTCCGTCGCGACCAGGTTGCTCTGAAATTTCTGAACATTTTTGCTAGTCTCAAGATATTTTGAGCCTCCCACCCTTGAGAGAAAAGCTCCACTGATGATCATGAAAGGCGAGAGGGACATCATGATCAGCGTCAACTTCCAATCGTAGAAAAAGGCGATGAAGAATCCGCCGAAGAACTGAGCGACGGACTGGATCATCAGGCCGAGTTTGTCACCAGTTCCTTCTTTCACTCGTTCCAGGTTGCTGAATTTGGAAATAATCGTTGATTTCTGGATTACCAAGGAAATTTGTAAAGCTTTCAAAGACCCTCAAGGGGCCGCTAAAAATATTTCGTTCTAAGTGACCTCTTAAGAGGACTTCTGTCTTCCGAAACTAATATATTTTGAGTGCAAGAAAATGCTAAAAGGTTTCAATTTAGGAATTCCAGAGAGATCCCTATAGAGGTTCGGGAAGAAAACAACCACTATTGAGGTCAAAAAAATGACCCCTATAGGGGTAAAATTAAGATCGTCCCTATAGGGGTCTGACCCCTTAGCCCCTAAAGCTCAAGTGGACCCTACAGGGGTCTCTCAATTTAATTCAACAAACGTTTATTCAGTTTTTCCCATGATTCTTCGCCTATAGTTCGTAAAAATTATCGACTAGCATGCCCCCTATAGGGACCACTTTTTTAAGCTTGAGTGGCCCCTATAGGAGGCTTAAAGCGGTCCCTAGAGGTGACTTTGTAGGTTGCCCCTATAGGGAGCACTCTGGAAATCGCAAAAAAAAATTTTAAAAAAATGGTCAAAAAGAAAATCCCCAAAATTTACTTTCATCATATTTTTAGTGTCTATTAAGCTTCGTAAAAATCCTTAAAAGCCCAAAACACTCTAGTGGTCACTACAAGCAAATAGAATTCTCACTCGAAAAGCTTGGAAGTCATGGTTCCCATGGTGTTCTTGTCGAACCAGGGGATGTCCTGCCGCAAAACGGACTTGAAAAAAACGCGTCGCAATCGATTGACCATGTTCTCGCAGACTGTCAGGAAGCAGAGGGCCTGAAAAAATTCTTTTTTTGCTCGAAAACGATTATTTTGAGCTTATTGAAATCTGAAACTTTTCAACTTGTCTCATTTTTTTCAGCGAGCTTTTCCGGGAAGAAAAAAGTGAGCTCTACATAAGGAAAAAAAAAACTAAACAGAAATGCTGGAATTCGAGAGACGAATATAGTTTTCAAAGCATTTTTGAGCAAGCTTTTCCTTGTTTGAAGGATTTGAGCGGGGTTAATATTTTTTATGGGACTTTATAGGGACTTCCAGCCCGAAAAATGCCTTTCGGAGACTGCAACTTTCTAAAAAAAACCATTTTCTTCATTTATGAATTTCCAAGAGGTTCGTTGAGAAAATAAGTTAAGATAGGCTAAAAAACAACAAAAAAAGGCCTGTTTTCGAAAATTTTGGGTTCGTTTGGGCCATTACGACAAGAGTTTACGAACCTAAAAAGGACATTTTTCGGTTATTACTGTGACATTTTTTTGTCCAACCGTCAAACCAAAATTAGCGAAAATGTAGTTAAAATAAGAAAAAAAAAGAATTTTTAGAAGCATTTTCAATCGATTTTTTTCGACATAAATCCGCCCAAAACTGACTTTTTAATCCCACAAAATTGTTCTGAAATTGTTCAAAAAACTGAAATTGCTCTTCAAGAAATGAAAATGTCAACCTGAACAGTAGCGGAAATGAAGACAGCGATGCCCAAATAAACGTATTTGAAACAGTTCTCGATGACATAGTCGGAAAAAGCTTGCTTGAAAAAGTCGGGGATCGCTGGAAAAGTTCAATTTTGAAGGATTTTCATCTTTTTTTCGATTAACTGCTAAAATTGGCGACTTTGGTGACGTCGATGAAGTTTTGGGTGGTGTCTCCCTGGAATTTTTGGCATTTTTTGATGATTTCGTGGGTTTAAAAAACTATAATAATCGTCATGAGAGGCATTCCGAGACCAGTGAAACAGGCGACCAAGACGCCGATCAGAAGCATCAATTTGTCCCATCCCGACGTGTAGCGGAACTGGAAAATACAGTTGTGAATTTATCACTTATTATAGTCCGTTTCTTGCGACTTGAAAGGGCGGGATTTCTCTGCGCTCTCCTCGTCTCTCAACGACCCTCTCTTGTTGACGCACTATTTTTCGCGTTTCTCTGACCTCGCCGGTGAGGGAACATAGATACTCAGACACGCGAAAACTGTCAAATCGCGGCGGACTCTATCAAATAATCATTTGGTGAACTTAGTTGAATTTTTCATCAAGCTTCGAAACTAAATAAAAAAAGATTCCCTAAAAAAATTGAATCAAAAATCATATTAAGACTCGTGAGAAACTGGGAAATTAAAGAAGCATAGAAAAAAATTTTTGAGAAAAAGTATCGAGACGAAAAACCAATTCCAGAAATACTCCAGGTCATGCAAAACTTAAAAACCTTGAAATTCGTCGGAAATTTTTTTAAACAGACTACATGTTTGTGAAGAAATCAGAGGAATCTTCACAGAAAATTCTCAATTTCTTTCACTTTTTTTGAGAAGTTTATTATCACTCCCCCTCTCTCTAAATAATTTAAAAAAAATCAGAAAACGTGACAAAAAATGTATTTTTTCATTCTTGCCCCATTTTGCACACTATTTTCCCTACAACTCATCAAATCTAAAAATCCTCCGTAAGTTTATAAAGATAAACTTTTTCGAAAAAGTTTTTTTATTCAATTCCCCTACTATATGAACTCGAAAAAAACCCTCTCAAAAAAATTAATTTTTCTGAAAAAGAACTCTATTAAACTAGATAAAATTGATGGAGGGTTTTAAAACGAAAAAAATTCGGATATTTTTTTGTGAAGGACTTTTTTTGAACTTTCCTTCAAATTTTTTTCCTCTCTTCCTTTTTTTCATCGAAAATTACTAATTTTTTTCTGTAATTTATCAAGAGAATAGTCCCTCAGAATTCTTCTTAAATTTCTGAAAAGTTCCTATTTTTCATAGTTTTTTTCCCAGATTTCATCATCAAAAGTGTCAAATATCTGTCTTTTCTCTTTCGCAACTCGAAAACTCCCGTGTTTATTTTCAGTATGGCTACGTCTAAATAAACAGGTTTTCCACGTTTATTTTGTCAGGCCATGAATCATCACGTAAATGTTCGTTTTAGCCAAACTTTGGCCTAAATGAGTAACGAAAAAAGAGGGATTAGACGACGAGACAAGAAAGCGAGAGATTTTCCCACGCTAGACGCAGAGAAAATTGGCGCCTTTTTTCAAATTCTGTGCACAGATCCGTTGTCTTCTGAGGCGGAAAAAAGTGACGTCACAGTTCACTGCAGGATATCATTTGAAGGGGTATCTATGCGCCTTTAAATTTCAACTTTCAAGGAGGGTTTTCTTTGAAATTGGTGAGTCTTAAAAAAATTGGAAAAAATTGGTCTTTTTGAACTCGTTAAAACTTAAAGGCACGTAGAAAGAAAAATAAAGAAATCCTGACGCGAATTTATTAAAGAAAGCAGCGAATAGACTATTTATTTTTTTCAAAGCTTAGCATAGTGTGTTGAAGGAGATAGGGACCTTCAATCTTCTTATCTTTTTCAGTTTTTCAGAAAATTCGAAAAAAAAACCAACCAATTGAAACAATGAGACTTTTTTCTCGGTTTCCACAACTTCCGACTCGCCTTTGTTTCTGAAAATTCGAGCACAATTCGTGAAAAAAAATTATTTCTGAGCAAATTTTAAACATAATTTCTTGCAAAAAATCAACTAACGATCGAAATTTGGCGAGAAGACCCTGTTTGGACTCATCGCCCGCTGCTTTGGGCCTTTTCGTAGAGCCCATTTTTTTATTGGGATGATCTGGAAAAAAATCATTGGAATTTTTGAAAAATAAAGTGAATCACAAGGAAAAACGAAAAGAATCAATCACTTTTTTTGATTACAGGACACATTTTCTCGAAAAAAAATCACATGAATCAGAAAAATAGTAAGTTAGATGTCAAATACACATCTAGGGCTAAAAATCGTGAACATCATATATACATAAAAAAACAAAAAAAGAGAAAATGCCAATTTCCAAAAAGGGAGGAAAATGAAGTTCTAAATTTTCCTCTCTTGCAGAAAATTCTCACAATGTTCAGAAAACCAAGTATAAATTAAATAAAATGGAATCACATGACGAAATATGCAAATTGAAGAAAAATAAAAACCAAAGAAATTTCGAAATTTCCTTCCCACGCATTAAAAGTAGACAAATATCAATTGAGAATCGTTTTAATTTTTTTTTTCAAAAGTCAAAATTTTCAAGAAAGAATCCTCTAGAAAAATATAAGAGATACCAATTTTTAGCTGGAATCTTTGTAAATTTGGCTTTTTACAGCTTCGAATCATGGAATTTGTTCTATTTTCTGGTCATTTACAGAAAAAAATTGTAGTTTTATATGCGCCAAAAACAAATGCTACATTTGAACAGAAAATGAGGCTTGATTTGAAATTTTTTTATAAGCTTGATTTAAAAGCGAACGATGATTTCTTGAACTCGAAATTTTTTTAGATGCAAAAGATGAAAGAAATCCTTTTTTTCCTATATAAAACTGTTCCAAAATTTTTGCTGCTGTGCAAAAAAATAAGCAAAAACGATTCAAAAACAAAAAAGAGAAATAAATTTTGAGCTTCTACCTAACAATTATTTATTTTTTTATTTCTCCCTTCAAACAATAAATTCAGTACACCTCGTACAGCCTGCGAAAACGAACTATAATGAATCGAAAACCGTAACATCGCGTGGCGACAAGGCTGTCAGAAAAAGTGATCGGGAAACTCCGCCCCTTGGTTTATTCTGTTCGTTCTTTTTTTCCCCCAGTCACAGACCACACAGGTATTTAACCTGCAGAGAGGTTTCGAAAGATTGCGTAAAACGGCCGGCCGTCAAAACGGCCGCGCCGATCAATTCCTGCACACGTTTCCCCGAGAAATCCCCTCCGCAGCTGGCGCGAAAAAAAAATGCTGCTGCATAGAATGTTTGCACTCGGGCAAGGACAAGAAAAGAACATCTTCCAATATATTGATGGCAAATCGAGAGAAAAACAAGCAAGATTTGGAATATTGAATGCAACATTTTTGAAATTCCCTTTCTCAGAGCAAGTGTGCTCTAATGCACTTCGGCGCGAAAAGTAGTAATTCTTAACGAATTGAGTTTTCATTTCAGTAAAAACAATTTGGACTTGAAATTGCGGTTTGGGAAATCCCTAAATGAAGTCTGAAAGCTCTCGAAAATAATTTCAGAGCCGCCAAAAAGTTTTTTTTTTCTTCGGCAGGTGAAACTAAAACCTGGTTGAAATCAGGGCATGAAAAAAATTAAGAGTCTGAGTTTGAAAAGTTTAAAGCTCATTTAAAAAAATATATAAACAAGTTTTTCTCGAAAAAAATTAGAATTTTTTTCTCAAAGCTTCTGGCGGAACAACTATTCAAAAAAACTGTAATGGTCGAAATCTCAAATTTCAGAAAAATATATTTTTCACAGGAAGAGAGTTTTCTCTCAAAAACCATCATTTCCGAAAAAAATTCTAAAAAAACTCATTAGATAGCCTTAAATAAAAATCTCCCAATACATTAAAATTACCAAAAAGTATGTTGCTAGGAAACCGCGAACAAGAATAGCAATAAAAAGCAATATTACTACTACGAAAATTTCATCCTTTTAAAGTTACTAAGTACAAAATATATATGCATTTACTATCACTCTATTGACTGGATATCAAACTTGATTGGTATTGCAAGATATTACATTAAAATAAATCGGACGAAAATAATGCCGTGTTCAAAGTAATTTCCGCGAAATGCGAAATGGTCTCTGACCCTCCAAAATTGAGTTATCTTTCTCTTTCTCTGACGGCTATTTTGAATTTCGCGGAATCACTTTGAACACGGCATAACGCAGAAAATAAAAATTGAATTTACAGAGTTTTGCGCGTCAGTAAAATGCAAAGTCTGCAGCCACCGTGTACACGACTACCGTAAGCTCAAAAAAAAGCAAACTTCCAAGCTTTTGCTTTTATCTTGTTGGCTTTAACGATGCTTTTCTTTTTTTAATTTTCACACACTTGCATAAATATTTATCAATCAATACCCGTTTCTTTTCTATTTCATGCATGAAAATCACATTTTCTCGAGTGTGCTCCTCTTCTTCAAATAAACTTCAGGAGGTCGGTATTGCTCCCACTGTTCGGCGAGTGAAGTGAAATAAATATGCGTTTCATTTTTGACGACGTCCGCCACAGTGTTTGCCTTTTTCAATTCCTCCGCATAACAAGGTCGAAGGAGCAAATTTGAGAAAAGTCCTGAATTTTTCATGAAAATTATTCAGTTTTTTGTTCTAGAGAAAACTTACGAACAATGGCGATTGAGAAAAACTGTTTTCTATAGGAATCGTCGGATAACAAGCAAGTTAAGCTTAAAACGATAACAAATCTGGATAGAAATCTTTTTTTTATAATTTTATTCAAAACTCACACCGCCATGCTGAGATTGAAGGCGGAATGGACATAAACGGCTTGAACACCTTTGAAAACTTCGGAAAATGAAGCTGAAATTTCATTTCAAGGCTTTGTTAATTTTAATCATAAAGAAAAAAAAAACCTATCATTATACAGCCACATACAGAATTGCCACCCGTGCATATTATGACAGCGTTTCGAAGTAACTGCAAAAAAAAAGGTTACAAAATTTTGCGAAGTCAAGTTGTTTCAAGTCGGGCGCGTGTTAGAGCATTTTTGCAGTCTGACCTGTCTGCGCTCTCTTTTCTCTCGTAAAAGAGGTAGAATATAAAATAATTGCCGAGGGAAAAGAGTACCCAGAGAAACCAGGCAGTTCCAAGTTGTGGAAAAAACCAAACTACAGATTTTTTTTCCATTCAAGGAGTATTTGACTAGCATAATGGTCCAGCTTCATTTATTTTTTTCACGATTCTCCATGGAGCGCAAATAAAATCCTTAATTTCGGCCATTTTTTCTCCGGTAAGCTTTATGATCTTTTTTGGTCCAAGTTTCCAAGCTAATCTTTTTTTTTTTCATCCTCCGAAGTCAAGTCAAAAAATGTCCCTTTTCCGCTCCTACATGATTATCCACAGAGCGCAAAACACTTCAATCCGCGGCTATTTTTTCTGGATAAAATTCTCACCTTCATAACTCGCAAATTCTCCTTGAGCTGGAACCGATAACTCAGCGTGTAGGGACTTCTCGCCGAATTCTCGGCCTTTCTAAGTGTCTCAGCTTTGAGTCGATTTGTATTGAACAACAAGAGGAAATATCTGAATTTCGATCTCTTTTTAAAAAATTGATCAACGACAAACCGCTAGGAAGAAAATATTAGTACCAACACCAATAATAACCAAAGGGATGAGCGAGAAAAATTCTGAAAGAATCAAATTTTTTTTTGAAGCATCGCGGTCGCGCTGCGTTTAAATTCTTCCTCACAAGGGAATGATTTCAGTTCACAGTGGGACTTCTGATTGAGATTATGTTCACCAGATGCTGTTTTTTACGGTGGTTTTGAATCTGCGCTTGAAAAATAACAGAAAGGTCGAAGAAAAAAGTTATGACCGGTCAAAGTCAAAAAAGAGTGCTGTCTGAAGCCTTAAAGACTCGGAAACTTTTTTAAAAAAACTTTTTTTAAAAAAAATCTCAAGCTAAATTTTTCAGGACATTTTGCAAAAGACAGTTATTCTTTTTGGCCAAATCTGTCTATCACCCATAAATCGAGCTCAATCCAAAATTTATCTCTTAATTTTGAGCAGCCATCTTTTTTCACAAACCTATCCAGTTTTTGTCAAGTCCAGTTCAAAAACAAGCTCAAAAAACTGAATCCAGCAAGCTTGTTTCCATATAGACGCCCTTTTAAGCGCCAAAATAGAGCAAGTTTCTCTCTAGTCACCTTTCAAAGTGTCACCGCGCGCAAGTAGTTTCTGGTCGGCTGCAGAACTCACCCAACAATATGACAGTTGAAACAATGGATCCTGAGATCAACATCATCGACACAATTAGATACGATATCCATTTCCGCTTCTTCTTCTCGTAATTCACGGCCCAAATCGTCGCGAAATAACGCTCAAATGCCAATGAACCGACTCTGGAACGTATTTTTCAGTAAATTCTCGGAATTTTTAAAAAGAAACTCACGCATTCACAGCGAAAACCATATAATAAACACGGAACCAGCTGGCGATCAAGATTGGCCAGTGATTTTCAGGATCACCTGCAAAAAGTGATGTTTCAGACTTTTTTTTACACCAATGGATATATTTTTTTCTTTGATTAAAAGTTAGAGATGAGGTCAAAAAAATTTTTTTCTATAAAATTCGTCATAGATATCTCAAGACCCTAAAACTGTCCATGGAGCACATAAATCCATTAAATTTCTGCCAAAATCTCACTGGATCTTGAAAAAAACTTGAAATTTCGTGACTATAAGGCTGTGAAATTTGGGCTACTACCCGTGGAAAGCTCTTTTTATCCAAAAATTAGTTTATAAGGGGCAAAACTACTTTAAATTCACCCAAAGAGTCGATTTTAATGTACAATAAGCTTTAAAAACTGCTGGAAAAGCGCCAAAATCCGATTTGAAAAGATGGATTTATGCTCCTGGGATGCCCAAAACAAGTTTTAGGTAAAATTTAATGGTAAAAAAATCATCGGTTTCATTTTAAGTATTTTTAAAATTATCGAATCGTACGTAGGTCTTGCTACAGCAAAATTTTCCGGTATTTTCCAGTCTAAATAAAATTTACTAGAAAACACTCTAGTGGCCACTTAAGACGTTCTTCAAGGACTACTTGGAGAGGACACTAAAGTGGCCCTTAAAACGACCTCTATAGAAGCCCCCGTTTTGCGTTTTAGTGGCCACTGCAGTGTTCTTTAGTGGTCTAGTAGCATCACTTGGACTTCTAAAGAGGCCACTGAAATTGATTTACTTAAGTTGCCACTAAAAGAGCGATTATAGTGGCCCCTAAAACGTTGAAACCCTGAGGTGGCCACTAAAAGATTTCCGAGTACCCTTTTTTCTAGTAAAACAAGTAGAACATCCCGAAAAATTCCCAACTTCAGTAGCCTCACTTTCACCATTTTCAACATATATTCAAAAACTAAACTTCATGGAAACAAGACGTCTTCAGCTTGTAAAATTAAATAATTTCATAATTAAAGCTGATAAAACATAAAAATTCTCAACTGACCCTCCAAAGTGATCCACTCGTTCTCGTATAAAATGACGAGGCATCTCGAGGCGATTGAGAGGAAATAGTTGCTGAAGAGGGTGAAGAGCAAGACCTTCAGGTTGAAATGAAACGGGGTCAGATGGACGACGTAGATGCCGACGATGAAGCAGAGGCTGTTGTGGGAGAGGAGACACAGCTCGGAGAAGACCAGAAAGGTGATGAAAGGGCACTGATCCGGCCATTGCGAACAGTTCGTCTGCCTGTATTGGAGCAGCATTCTGGGACCCTGAAATCGAAGAATCAGTGGATTTATGGCTATTCGGAAGAAGTTGGTCGCACGGGAGAAGGTTATGAATATGAGGGAAGAGCTGCTTAAAAATGCGCCGGACCCAAAACGACTTTCGCTGATGTTAACAAAATTTTTCTTTGAAAAGGTTCACAGCTTATCATAGACCTTAAAAGTTGTTATCAATGAAATATATAAGTAATTGTTCGCACGGAGAATGGCTTTTACACAAGAAGCTGCTTTGCAACTCGCCCGACCAAAACCGACTTTCGCGCTAGGGCATCAGCAATTACGTTCTTATCTTCAACTTTGATAAAAAAGTCTCAATTAAGAAATTCCAAAACTGACTTCTAATTTTCACGTTGAATCCTAATGAAGACCGACTGCTAAAGCGGTTGCTTCTAGGTGCAGCCGACTGTAAACGACTTACGCTAGGGAGCTTCCTAAGGCATTTTAATCAAGCTACCATGAGTCATTATAGCAGCGGCCAGAGCAGAGATAAATGGAATAGAAGCTAAAAAGACAGCGGCGTTCGTTTTTGCAGATTTTTGCATTCGCTTGAATGATTTTCCGCGGGTTGAAGATGGAAAATTATTTCCTTAATCTTGAAAGAGAAGACATTTTCGATAAGGTTAAAGGGTTTTCACAATTTCACTGATTTTTGTGGGCTTGCCAAGCCAAACTTCGGAATTTCAAAATTTCCGGAAAGGTCCTGGAACGATTTTCGAGACAGTGCGGAAAAAGGAGAGAATTTAGAGTGATCTACGGTATTTTTTTGAAAGATTGGATCGAAATGAGCTTTCAGAAATGTTTAGAAATTTAGCACTACGAAGAAATTTTAGTGAACGATTTCTCGGCCAGGTGTTTCACAGAGGGATTTTCAGCTGTCGGTCGTTTTTCCAATGATGAAATAAGTAATTGATGATTAAAAATTGATTCTCGATACTCTCAAAAATACATGAGACAACAAAGGTAAAGGTTCACGAAGATTATTCTCGACTTTTCAAGGCCTCTAAATGTAATGGCTCGTAGCGCGTCGCGGTCGCGTTGCGTTTTGCCGCTTTTAATTGGAGGGAAGGTGATTTTTCCACGGTTGCATCCGACTTTAAAGCAACTTTGCTTCGCACTTTGCTATGCGATGTTATTGAGCGAAAGTAGTTTCACGTCGGAGGTAAAATAAAATGTCAAGGTAACTCAAAATGGTCACCGTCGCGTTGAGCTATTCTACGCAAAGTTTTGAGAATTTCAATCGGACTGAAGTTATTTTAAAAAAGCAATTAAAAATCTTTACTTCAACATTTTCCCATCGAAAGTAAAGTCAGGTTTTACTCAAGAATTTTGGTATGTAAAAGAGTGGATTTTGTACCTCTTTCAACAATTTTTACAACGTCACATACCTGTTTAATGAAACTTGGATTCACCTGCCATTTTCATTCAAAAAAAGGGAAAAAAAAAAAAACTTGGCGACAAGCTACCGATAAAAAAAAACTCAGGCGTTCGCTCAAAAATCCATCAATTTTATATTAAATTTAGCATAACTCGGATAACTCTTCTGGGTTCTGGAAAAGTAAAAAAGATAGTTTTACGTTGCAGAAATAAATTGGAAAAGCTCAAGACTTCGATTTTTAAAAGAGGAAAAAAAGAAAACTCAAACGCATTTTCAACTTTTCCCTCGAAAAATATAACTTCATTTTTTTTCAACTTGCTGTTCTGAAATAACTTTTCATTGAAGTTCGATAACGGATCAATTTTTCCATTCAAATTCTAAACCCAAAGTTTTTTTACAATTTTCCAAAAAATGACCGAGAATAAACAGCCGCCGTGAGCGGAGCATTTGCGCTCAATGGACAAAAATTATCAGAAAAGTTCAGATGATCTTTTTTCTACACCTATTAAAGTTAAAATCCCTCCAGAGACACTTCTAGGGTCATTTAAAAACGAAGTAATTACAAAATGTGATCGAAATTTCTTTCAATTTCCCATAATAACTTTATTTCCAAGCGAAAAGGTTTCAAAAAGCGGGGAATCTAAAATATTCCAATCATTACACCCTCGATCAAGCTTCCGGAAAAAAAAAATTCGGACACATTTTTGAGGGCCAGCTGTTGCAAAATCATGCCGCGGTCGGGTCATTTCTTTCAGTTCAATCACTTTTTCTTTGCCTTCAATCTGCCCGCTTTTTTCTCTTTTCCTATTCTCTCCAGTCTATTTTGTTAAATTAAAGGATTCTACTGGGAAAAAAAACCTAGTTATCGGATTTGGAGTGAGAAAATCAAACATTAAATAATTTTTGAACACTAATCAGTTTCAAAAGAGATCTCTCTATTCGAAAAATAGTTTAGAAAAAAACCCAATCTCAATTTTGAGCCTGATAATAACTTTTTTTTAAGTTCTTTTGGAACGTTTTTTTCCATTGTTAAAGATCTAAAAAAATTCTTTTTCGGCTGAGAAAAAAAGGTTTGAAACAAGATCAATACAAGAAAAACAAGATTTAAAAGAACAAACTTCAAAAAAAAAAAAGAAAAATATTTTCAATCTTAGTGACACTTTACATGGTTCGAAAGCTGTAATTTTCTACCTTTTTTTTTAAACTTGCAATAAAAAAGGTTTCTAATCATAGTGAGCCTCAAAACCTTTTTTTCCTTTTTCTATATAGTTTGATAACTTGTTTATTTCTTTTTTTTTTCTTCACGTTTTTCAAATATTTCTTTTCTGCTGTCGATTACACAAAACGACGTCATTTTCAAACATGCTCTACGATCTTTCAAAACAATTTTGGTTTCATTGAAAATATATCAAACTTATATTTATACTTCTTATAATTGTCATTGGAGCGCAGATATTTTGGAATTTCCAGCTTTCTTTTTGTACTGCACCCGAGTGTAACGGGTGAAAAAATTTTAGCGATTTTCAAGTTTTATTTATTAAAGGGTTTGAGAAACTTTGGAAAATTTCGACTTTCAAGTCTTGACCCCTACAGAGCATTTATTATAACTATCGAAACAAATTCGCCAAAAACAATCCTTATTAAGCATTTCCGACAGTTTCATTGAAGTTATCATTTTTCTTCTTTCAGTAAAGTTTTCAAAAATAGTTTTTGTGTATCTTTTCAGGATCTTCTTTCTCGAAACTCGGTGCTTCTTTGAATTTCTTAAGAAGCTAGCAGTAAATTGAATGAATTCATTTTTTCAATATTTTCTCATCTTTTTTTTTAGGGATTTGGGTTACTTTCTCAATAGAAGTATACGGGCAAGATTCAGAAGGAAAAAAAAGCCTTCAAAAGCCTCGAAGGCTCCTCTTTTTCTTGACCTTTTTAGGAGCAGAAAGAAAGAGAAAAAAGGCGATCCCGAGGAGCTTTTGACACATTCCTAGGGACTCTAAAAAGAGCTCTAGATTCTTTTTTTTAGCCGTTTGGACATTGCCCGTGATTAAAGCATGCAATTAAAAACCAACTTTTCCTCTCGATTTTCGTTGACTCCCAACTTTTCAACATGCTTTCGCCCCCTCAAGCTTCCAAGTCATAACTTTGATGTGCAGGCAGGCCTCGTCTCGACGTCAAAAAGCAACAAAAAACGCGTGAAAAAGAGGACAAAACGGCGAGATGATCGGTCTAATGAGACGGAAGCTCAGTTCGAAGAGGTTTTTTGAAATCCGATCGCCCCATGCATTGTCTCTCACGTCTTGCTGAGAAGCCAGTCTGTTCCAACTTTTACTCAAACTGCGATGAGTCTCACTGAGGTGCTCAAGGAAAAGTTTGAGCAGATTGGCGAGCGCGAGCTCGACGACTTGTAAGCTCACCCTTTTTTTATTATTTGTTTTAAATCATGCGGTTTTTTTATTGAATTGTGGAACACTCCGTCTCAAAAAAACTCCTAGCTTTTTTTCTGAAAATATTTGTCTAAACAAAAGATTTGAAAAATGTCCCGATAAAGGCTTTTTAGTGTTATTTATCGTCATTCAAGCTCACTGCTTCATTGGAAAAACCCCAGCATAATCATTTTCAACGAGAAAAAAAATTTCTGTTCGGCTTTTTCAGAGTGATTTTTGGTTTCTGATTTCGAGAAGAACCTTTTGAAAATACCTTTTTTTCCAAATCATCCTCTCAAAACTGCCCAAAACGGGACTAGATTTATAAAAAAACTTTAAAAACCAGTTTCGTTAAAAATCAATAATTTCACAGCTAATCGTTGAAATTTCGGTTTCTTTAAACCAAAAAACCCGGTTTCAATACTGATTTTTTTTTTCGTCAAACTCTCATATTTCCCATGCACTTTTCATTATTTGAATGCTGTAAAACCATGCAAAAAACTTCATTCACAATTCAAGCATTAAGACATTTCGCATGCGTCTTCAGGCAAAGATTGATATCTTAAAAATCCCGTAATCCTAAACAAATTTACAATTGAGTTCTAGTAGGCTTTCAGAGTACATGAAAAGTTGAATTTGAGGAGAGAATCACGGAGATGGAGAGAACCGCCAGAAAAAGCCCTACGCGCCGAGGATATAGTTGTCAAGTCGACGACCATGACTGAGCAGCGGACTCAGCAGGTTTTTTTTCCTCTTTTTTCGGACTATAACCGTTTTACAACTTTCTTAACCTCAAGGTTGTGTTTTTGAAGATTTTCGATAAAAATGGGTGAGTATTTTTTCTGGTTTTTCGTTCATAACTTTGTTAAAAACAATTGTTTTGACCTGAAATTTTGATGGGCTTTCAAGAAAGGTCAAAGAAAAATTTTAATCACAGGATGAAGCAAAGGTGGGGAATTTATTTTCGTATATTTTCAAAATCGCAAGTTTCACCAAATACGAACGAAAAAAAACCAAAGTAATGCTCACCGATTTTCGCCAATGTATATAAAAAGAGCTGTTCTTCTAAAAAAACATAATGAATAAATTTTTACAAAACGATTAGAAATTAGAAGTTCCTATTTTTCTTGGAGAGTCCTCTTATAACTTATTACATCTTCTGTCAAAAAAATATTCCGTCCTTTTTTTCCGCATTTTCTGAGTTTGCTAGCCGTGATTTTTGGAAAATAGACATAAATTCAATCAATCAATCAATATTTAGTCATAGGTAATACCTTGGAATGTAAACGTTGAAAAAAACGCTTAGAAGCGCCATTTCTCCACCTCTGATAGGTAATCAATCAATCAATATTCAACTAAGTGGTGAAAAAAAGAACTTCGAAAGTTTTAACTTCTTATAGTAATTTTTTAAAAATACGATAGTTTTTTTTTACCAGGCCGTAACATGTCTGGGTGACGCTCTAGCCAATTGTGGGATCGAGAACGAAATCGCGTCTTTTATGAAGCGAAAATTCGATGAATTACATGGTTAGTTAATCTAACTTCTAAACTTCGCGGTTTGAAACTGCTCTTTATCTCTGCGCTCTCCTCGACTCTCGGCGACTCTCTTACGTTGACGTGCTGTTTCCATTATTTCTCTGACCTCGCCGGTGAGGGAACAGAGAGACGCAGACATTCGAAAAATTTCAAGTCGCGCTGATTCACGGCTGACTTGAGTCATTGAAAAAAAGGGTCCTGACACGAAAAATGCGCGAAATAGCGCCTGGTTTGTGGAGAGCGCAGACATTTCGTTTCCAAGCTAGCCGTGGATCAGCTATACAATTATCTTTATTTTTTTTCCTAGGAATAAAATTTATAACGAAATAATGAGCTAAAGATGAGAATTGAAGGTTCGCACTGGCAGTGCATCGTCGGCCGCAACTTTGGAAGTCACCTGGACACTGTCGAGCACGTTCATCTGATCCTGTCCAAAATATCCGTCCTTCTGTTCCGATGTCATTGATTTGCGTCAAAGGCCCTCATTCATTCCATTTTTCGCATTGCCAATAGTAAATTTCTGGCCGAATTCCTGGAAATTTACGCATTTTGTAAATATGAATCGTTATGTATGAACTTTTTGAGAGTCCCTCTGTCTCATGTGTTCAAAGGAGCATAGGAAAATGTTTGGAGGAGGAGATATTTTTTCAAAATTCCTGATTCCAGAAGAGCTCCGACTATAGTTATCTATTATTTTTCACCAATAAACTATTTTCAAACGCTCCGAGACCCTAATTCTCAAAAAAACCTTATGTTTCTCCTTGGCCTCGGCGATTTTCTGAGCAATTCCCTTCATTTCAACGCGTCGTCGTCGCAATTCCATCAAATTTTCAGCCGATTCTTAATTTTATTCGTTTTTACTAAAATCTCATTTATTTTTCGAAAAAGAACACCTGCAGTATTCGTATCAACAACATCCGGAGCACGCTCCAATGTGCAATTTTCTGAAAAAGAGATTTAGTGAAGAAAAAAAAAGGGGAAAAAAAGGATTAAAAATATGTTATTTGGGGATAGCGTGCATAAAGGTCGAAAAATCGTTAGATTCTATATGATTACTGCCATTTTTTTCATTCAAAAAAAGGTGAGAACAAAGTTCAAGAATGGAAAAATAAAGGAGAACTGAAAAATAAGTGTTTTTTTCCCAAAAAAAGAATCAACTGGGAAAGTTTTTAGTGGCCACTGTAGAGGCTCGCCAAGGACTACTTGGAGAAGACACTGAAGTGGCCTCTATTTTCCGTTTTAGTGGCCACTTCAGTAGTTTTTTTCATTCAGTATTCTTTACAGTAACTCTGATAATTTTAGAAGAAACAGATAGGACCAGTTATGTTAATCCATTGACCCCTTAAAAGTGGCCACTAAAATTTTTGTGGTCTAGTAGTACCATCTAGACCCTCTATAGTGGCCACTAATTTTTTTAACCCCTCAAGTGGCCACTAATTTAACTACTACAGGGGCTACTAAAACGTCAAAACCCTATAAAGGCAACTAAAAAAATTTTTCACAGAGATTGAACTGAGTTTTTGAAATTATATACATATTAATTTTTTTATAAAAAAATGCTAGAAGGTAAAACTTTTTTTCTAATTGAAATTATTTCTATTGGAATCATACAATTTAATGACTTGATGATTTTTAAAAAAAAATTTTCCAAAAAGTGAAATGTTTGAAGGTTTTCATAGATTTGTACTCTATAGTATGAATTGAAAAATAGAAGGAAATAAAAAAATATTTTTTTCACCAGTAATCAATTTTCCGAACTCTTTCCATTACCTTCTTCACTGCGCTCTCCATTTTCGTCGATTTTCTCCGAATTATTGCAGGATGACTCATCTTTCAGCTCCTCTTTTTCTGAACAAAAAAGCCTCATTTTCTCAATTTCTCAATCTGTTTCGAAACCTGGCTCCTCCTCTCTTTTCTGTGAAGAAATAGACTTGGAACTTGATTTTTGATCTTCTTCATAGCCCACTGAAAAAAGAGCTTTAATTAAAAATAATTTGGGTCCGCGAATCTCACCTAAATTTGAGTGTGATTCAGGGAAAAAGGCTGTGGATTGCTCTTCAACATCGGCGGCTTCTAAAAAAATTCATTTTTGAATCGAGAAAATTCCACGTAATTAAAAAAATCAATTATTACCTTCATTTTCAAAACTATCTTGAGGTTTGAAGCCCCCGGCTAATTTCTGAACGACTTCTGGAAAAAAATTCAGTCCTTTTCTTTTTTTAAATTTAAAAAAACCTGAATTTTTCAAGATTTTCCTTGAAAATTGCCACTGCAGTGTCGTCACCTGATTCCTCAACAAGTTCTAAAAAAATTGATTTGATTATTTTTTTAATCGAGAAATACCTCGGTTTTTCAAGATTTTTCACAGCGATCTTCTGGTTTGTAGGGGACAAGAGGATATTTCGAGAGATTCTGAAGATTTGCTTTTATAAAATTTGAAATTTGTATTTTTTTGAACACCTGAATTTTTCAAGATTCTCCGTTTTGGAGCCGTCTTCCGATTTTTCAGAGGCTTCTGAAAACAATTGTTTTTGTTTTTATAAAATATCGTACCTCTATTTTTCAAGATTTTTCCTTGGGATCTTCTAATGTTGATGTTCGAGCAACTTCTAAAAATATTTGCGAAATTTGAAAAGATTTTCAGGAAAAAAAATCACCTGAACTTTCATGATTTTTTGATTCTTTCAGACTCCACGTTCGCACGGCTCCTACTGAAAAAAACAGAAATTAAAGAATTTGTCGGTTTAGTCTAATCAAACTTAGAAAAAAACCAAATAAATGAAAAAGGTCTAAAAATTATTTTTTTCTCGGATTCGAAAGGCGAGAAACCCTCTGTTCCTTATAAGTCTTAATCGACTGGTCGATTGAATTTCGCGATTTTTTTGTGCATGCAATTTTCTATCAAAGATATAACGATCTTTTTTTATCAAAAAAAAACTACCCTATTGATTAGATTATAAAAAAATAAGCTGAACTTGTTCCGATAAGAAAAAAGATCTTATAAGCTTGAATTTCCTCACTCAAAACTTTTTCCAAATATTGAAATTTAATTTAATAAAAAGTTGTCTAGAGCAAAATTCGGGTCATGAAAAAAAGTCGTCAAAAAAATTTTAGATGAAAAAAAAATATCGCAAAAAAACACTTTTAAATGACCTTTTTACAGGTAAAAACCCTTATCAGCTTAATGTTTCTCCCTCTCAACCTTTCCGCAAAACTTCCTTTCTAAACTAGAAAAAAATAACCAACGAATACGTATTTAAAACTTTATTTCTTTTAAAAAAATAAGAAAATATTTTCAAAAAATTTTAATTATCCCTTATAGGTTTCAATTACCTTCAATCCAACCTTCCAAAAACTCACTTTTCACCAGAAAAAGAACTAAAATAAGCAGAACCAGAGTTGCGAGAGCCGAAAGGACAAAAATCATGTTGAAAGAGTAGGAAATGGACGGGGAGGAGACATCGCCGTAGGGGGGCGTTTAAGAATGGATGAGACACGAAATATTTTCTGGGAGGCGGTCCATTCCTACGGATCTAATGGCCTGGAGGGAGCCTTCAAAGTGGCCAACTTGGCCCCATTTCCTGTATTAGTACACTTATCTCGTTTTTTTTTTCCCAGTAGTTCATTCATGACTGCTTCAATGACCTCGAAGACCCACGAAACTTATTATTCTCAAAGGTTTTTTCCCAATTTTCTCAGAATGATTCAGATTTCAAACTTTCTCAGAGAAGCTCGAAATTTTTCAAAGTGTGGCTATTTTAAAACATCCGCTTAGACTGCGATAAAAGGCTTTTTGATTTTTAAAAGTGATGATAAGTTAATGATAAGAAAATGCAATCTGCGAAAAAATTAATTAAATCCGAATATAATTCAAAAACTCACAAAACTAACAACAAAAAACAAAAAAAATAGATATTGCGCGTCAGACTGCGCTTTCTGTGCATACACAAATCATTGCGTATTGATGGCCTGCCGTAAGCTGTAATTTTCAGATATTTTACGATTTTCACATCATTTTCCCGATATTTCCGTCACATTCTACATTACAGAGAAGTTAAGCAGCTTAAAAAGCGCTGAACGAACTTTCTATGAAAAAAAAAGAAAGATTCGCGGCAAAAAACCAAAATGAACTTTTCAAATCAAGAAAAACCAAGCAAAAACTAAATATTTTTATTGACAGCAGCGGGATCGCTCATTTTTCTGGTTGCGTTCAAAGGGGGGCACACACACGGTTGACCTGACAATATGAGCAGAGAGAGAATAACGAGATAGCATTTTAATTAAGGGGAAAAAAGAGCTGAAATGGTGAAAGTTCCGAAACTCCCAACGACATTCCGCCGTTCCGTTGTCGATTTAAAAGAAAAAAAAATGCTCAGAAACGACGAGAACTCTATCGAGAGTGTTCAAAACAGGACAAAAATTGAGAGAAAGAAAACTCTAGTTTTTTCACCGGTGCCTGACAGATTTTCGCGTTGAGACCTAGGCGATGCGCCTTCAAATGAACGGTTAAAAAGGCTTCTTTTTATAACATATCTTTCTTTTTTACTCCAGCCAGCGGTGAACAGACTATACTGATTTCTCTGAATTCCAAAAAAAGGTTAAGGAATTATGCGATTTGGTTTAAAAAGGCACGTAGAGCTCCTTCGTGCAGGGGAGAGTTTCTAATTTGTTTTTTTTCTTCTTCTAAACACAAAAAAGTCAAGCATGAATGAGCTTGACACTTCCTAAATTTCAAAAAACAACAAAAAAAGCCGCATTTCATCAGGAAAAATAGCAAACCTAATAAAGAAGATAAAGAAAAGATAATATCACAGAAGCACGCGTGTTAAGAACATTTTTGTGACTACGTATTGGACACACGAATTTTCAAAGACAAATTGCGTAAAAAGAGGAAAAAAAGATGGTTCGCGGGGAACGGCAAAACTGGGATAAGTTCTAGTGGCTTCTGAAGGGATTCAAAAAAATAGCCCAAGTGGCTACTAAATGGACTTGAAGTGATACGTTTTTTTCTGTCATTTTTTTTTTCAAAAACATTTTTCTTCTCTCTAGTTTTCACTGAAAATATTGAGTGATCACTCTAGTGTTTTGATTGAGAGCGATATCAGCAAATTTTATCAAAAATAACTCTTTTTTCCGACTTCAGTCCATTTCCGTCCTCAAAAATCACTAGATTTTTCTCGAAGCTCTGGTGATCACTAAAATGACCACTCCAGCTCAAAACCCTACAGTTCTCACTAAGACTTTTCCCAGGAAGCGCGTCTGACAACAAATGAAGGCAAGAGACCCAAAAAAGTTAAATTTCACAAGCAAAAGCACGGGAAAAACGGTGCAATAAAATCGGGGAATGTCCTAGGTCTATGAAAAAAGTGTTGGAAAGAGAAAAAAGAGGAACAAAAAGGCTACACGGAATTGGAATGTCTTTGGTTTTGAGTAGTGGTGTTGAACAGTGGGAATTTGACTAGGAATGCTCGGTGATGACCTCTTTGCCCGTCCCGCGGACGAAAATCACCCGGTTGATCTTGTCGGTCATCACTTCCAGGTAGTGAACGTAGTCGTCTAGGGCGTCGCCTGCAAAATCATCAATCTACTTTGTAAAAAAGGGACAGATCTTGAGTTTTATTGACATCATGTTGTTCATAAATCCGTATTAGACTTCTCAGAAGTGAACAAATCGAATGAACTTCCAATTAGAATTAAGTGGCCACTTAAGAAGTTCCTCAAGGACTACTTAGAGAGGCAACTAAGGTGATCACTAAAATCTATAGTAGCCACAATTTCGCTTCTTAGGGGTCACTATAGGAGTTCTCTTTATAGTGGCTACTAATACGACTACTAAAGTGGCCACTTAACCGTTCAAACCCTAAAGTGGCCACATTAATCCGGGATTTTTTGAAACGAAAATTGTCACCAAAAACTTGATCAACAGTGAAAAATGAAGGCTCAGTCCAAAAAAAATAGAACAAAAAAATCATTTTTTTCAAACATGAAAAAAAAATTTTAGAAATCGCTCAGTTTTTTTTTTTTTTTTTCAAGTTACCCCTTATCTTTATCAGACGTATGTCCAAAAACGAATTTCGAATTCAATTACCAAAAAGCCTTAAAATTAAAAAAGAGAAACTTTTTTTCCACATTTCTTTAAACTCACGATCTTTGTGAAGAGGCGGTTTGGGCAAGTTGAGCAACACCAGCTGGCTGTTGGCCGAATGTTGCAGCAAAAGTTCGTTCAGCCGCACCGCCGTGTGCATTTTGAACACCTGTATTCAACCAATCTGATGATTCGAAATTAATGAACAGGTTTTTTTAAAATGTTTTCATAGTCCTGGATGTCTTATTCACCACCTGGTCGATGACAAAAAAAAATGAATATTGATAGAAGCGAAAAAATTTAATTATCATTCTTATACCTCATAAAAACGTTGTTGATTTCACTCAAACTTTATAATCCGTCCAGCGCGACTTAACAGTTTTCGCGTGTCTGCGTCTCTCTGTTCCATCACTTGCGAGGTCAGAGAAACATCGAAATAGCACGCAAACATGAGAGAGACGCCGACAGATAATGAGGTCGCAGAGAAGTCCAGTCCTTTCGAGTCGCAAAAAACGGACTATATTTTACCTCGACTTCGAAAATCAAGGAATCAAAATTCCCAAAAAAAACTCTATTTTTGAAAGACAAATTTTCAGAAGCTTTTTTTCAATACTCGATTTTTTGAGTTCAATCATTTTTCCCTGTACCTTCTGCTTATCCAACGCCTTCATCCGTTCCTTCTTCGTTTTGGGCGCCGCGTCGTCCTTCTTATCCTCGTTTTTGTCTTAATTTCCAAAGTCTTTCTAAAAAGGTATGAAGATAGAAAACCATCGCCCTCTGCGCTCTCCTCGCTTTCCGTCGTCGCTCGTCGTTCTTCTTCTTCCTTCTTTTCTTTCTCCTTCTTCTCAGCTGTTACTAGCGGCTAAACAAGTTGATTGAATGAAGGAAGGATGTGAAATTTCGTTATATTATTACTGAAAAGGTAACGAGAAAGTTGCTTCATAGGAAAAGTCGGAAGGGTCAAAAAAGGCACTTTTTTCTGCCTTTTTGTGCCATTTCATCGACTTTTATGCACCATTTTTGCTGCCTCTCCCTTTTCCAACATTTCTTGGGTCTGTGAAATCCCAGAAAAAATGGAAGACTCGATAAATGGACTCTTTTTGCTGCCTTTCTGCAGCCTTTCTGTGGCCTTTTTGGAGCCTCTTACTTTTAGCGGCCATTATCCACCATTCCGACTTTGCCCGAGTTCTCTGGCTTGAGAAATAATCAAAAAAAACTGTGCGCTAAAACTTTTCAACCTTGCGTTTTATTATTTAGGCCTCTTGAGGGCCAAGCCGGGTCTGACGGTCCTCAAAAAAGCCCGGTTCTAAAAAGCAAACCCGCTAGAAGAAAGCGTTTTTTTTTAAATATGGATGGTTTTTAAGTCTAACATCCCCCCTTTCACGGCATTCCTAATGGGGTGAGGGAAGGTGAGCGAGACGTCAAAGTTTCTGATTTTCCAAAAAAAGTAAGTGCGTGCTTAGGATAAAATGCATTGAGTATCAAACGTTAACAACTGGTTTGTTCGAACGCCTTTGGCTGCGTACTTGAGATTTAAATTTTCGCGCCAAATTTTTTTTGACGTCTCCCCAAACCGTTTGGGAACGCAGTGACTTTCTCAACACTTAATCCATTCCAAATGCAACCCAAGATACAAACCGAAACGGCTCTGGCGTTCGTCGCCGGGGGCAGGGACAAGGAGAGTCCGGTGCCGCCAGCGGCGGCCGTCCTGGCGTTCTGCAGATCCCGCATCATCATCGTCCTTTCCTCCATGAGAAGAGTCCTCTCGAAGGCGTTCTTTCGAGATCTCCGGATCCGCCAGTTCGACAATCTTCAACCAAATTCATTTTTTCAGGACTTCCTCCTTTTCCAACCATAATCTTGGCGTCGATTCTCAGTTGGTAGACGTACTTCTGAAGATCTTCCTGCATTTTCACGTTGTTGTCCGTCTCCTGGGCGATGCCGATCACGCGGAGCTTGCAACCTCGCCAAACCTTCAAACAATTATGTATTTTTGGGTCCATGATAACTGGTAAAGGAAATCAAGATAAGAAAATTGAGCTTAACACGCTTTTTAAAGTACAAAAAATTCAACGTTGTTCTTGAGAGTTCTTCTCACTACCATATATAGTGAAGAACCTCCAGAATATTTTGAACCAGGATTTATTAAGCTCCGCCCACTATCAGGTTTACTGTAGATTTTCGCATTTGTACGATTTTCTGAGAGAACGCGTGTTAATAACGCTAACCAGGGAATGGTCTCAGCTCACAGTGGGACTTCTGAATGAGACCACTTTTTCTAGATGTAGTTTTTTATGCTGATTCCAAAACCGTCCTCAAAAGCTGCCACCGAGGTCTGTGAAAAAAGTTATGGACCCTCAAAAGTCGAAAATTTCATAGTCTCCGATTGAGTTCATTTTTGGAGGGTATATAGGTCTTGTCCCTACGGTCACGAAAAACCATCGAATTTTTCTCGAAAAAATTTTGAAGCCAAGATATGATCTTTCAAAGCCCCGCCGCACACAAGAGAATGCGCGCGCGGTGTCCTATTGCGGTCCGACGGCTGTCGAAGCAACCCATCATTACTTGACTTAATCTTCACTGACCGCCCCGACTTATTTTTTGATCTTTGTTCCAAAAATCCTCCTATCTACACCGACCATTTAGCCATTTCCTTCAAAATCAATTGTTCCGCACGCAAAAAAAACGGTAAACCTTTTCGCCTTGACTACCGTCGATGCAACTTTGCACGTCTCAACCTAAGTATGATCAATTACAATTGGGATAGACAGTTTTCATATTTTTCTAGCATCGACTCCAAATTTAATCATTTCAATAAAATTTTCAACGAGCTCATACGGGACAACTGCCCAGTTCTCAAACCACGCAATCATCGCGGTTCCAACTTTTTACGCAACTTCTCTTCCAAAATTCTCAAGCGTCTTAAACGCTTCAATCTGCGCACCTCCTTCGGTCGCGTAAATTTCAAAAATCAGTACCTCTAAATTTCGTCGTAAAACTCTACGTTGGTTCATTAATCATGAAAGAAAAATTGCCGCCGGCTCAAATGCCAGTATTTCCAAGTACATTAGTTCTAGGTTAAAACTTCATCATGATATTCCACCCCTTATCTCCAATGGCAGGTCTTTCATTTTACCATCCGAAAAAGCTAATTTATTTGTGGAAACTTTCTCCAAAAATCGTAATTTGCATAGTTATGATACACCCACCCTCTTTCCAAGTAGGAAACCTTTGACTGTTGAACCTGATTTCAGCCCTTACGCCATCTTCAAAGCCTTAGGCAAATGCCCATCAA